TTTAGCAATTCTGTTGATTGTCCCAGAGAATCATTTTCTTTTTCAACTTCTCCAGTTGAATGCTCTTCTGTGGACATTTTCGGTTCATCAGTTTGGGTCGATTCATCAAGTGTAAAGTTTTCAATGTTTCTTGGGGTACCTAGAGCTGTTGGATATAATTAGTAAATGTTTTTAGAAGGTTTAATGATATATAAAAATCATACTCTTTCCTTCAACAATTGCATCACCATTGGGAAAAGTTAATGATATAAGTATCATTAACAGACCCAACAACGGGTATTTTTTCCGAAAATTAATAAACAAATTTTCTTTCATTCGAAAATACTCGCAATAAAGGTAAGGATTTTATTTAGTTTTTCTTTAAAAAATTTTAATTTATGAATGACAGGATTTAATGTTTGACAGTCTTGTTTAAATGCCCTGATTAAAGAGGCGTTTCCTTGATTAAGAAAGGCAGGGCATTTAAGTGTGATTGGACAAGATGTAGTGAAAAAAGCGAGGGATAGAGGGATATAGATAGAGACTGATGATGTGGAAATTTTGCCTAGTTAAGGCATGATAGGCATGCCATTGCCAATATGTAAGAGCATGATTAAGCGCATGATTTAAATTGATTTTAAAGGGCAAATAAATATATTAAATAATAAATAAATTTTTAATTTTATTTAAATTAAAAAAAAATAATTTTAATTTATGTTTAGAAGTTTTAATAATTAATTTACTTAATATTTTAAATTCTTACAAAATTATTCTCAGAACAATTCAAATATAAACATATCTACATAGTTAGGTATACAGTGTGTTAAGAAATTATAACCCCCCTTGAATTTTTTGTGTTTCTCTATCTTCCCGTTGTTGGATTGTTCTGAAATTTTTGCAGTAGTGCTGTAATGTATATTAAATGATATTTACAAAATATCTTTAAAAATTCCTGATCTAAAAGTTTTTTATGGACGTTTTTGCAAAAAATTAGTGTTAATAAATTATAACCCCCCTTTATTAAAATTTTTGTTTTACGGTCAAAAAATCCACAAAAATTTTTCTGAACATATCTACCAATATAGATGAGAAATACAAAAGAAATGAAGTTCTTATGTACTCCCATCATCGAGATCTCGAAATCCGAAAATCAACGTAAAACGGGGGTAAAGGTCTTTAAAAAACATTTTCGACACCTTACAGGTGAAATAAAAATTTTATTTTGAGCTTATCTGAAAGCCCTTAAAATTTGCTGCAAGATACTTTTCATCTCATAATCAAGAAAAAATTCATCATTGAAAAATAATGAGTTTATTTTCTGAGTTACATTTTTGTCACTTTTTGGTGGCGTTGAAGTGATTTTTATGACTTGAAAGTTTATCACTTTGTCTCTCGACGGTGAATTTTTTTGTGTAATGAGATAAAAACTATCTTATAGCAAATTTAAAGGGCTTTCAGAAAAGTATAAAATAAAAATTTAACTCACCCTATAAGAGGTCGAAAATATTTTTTAAAGACCTTTACCCCCGTTTTACATTGATTTTCGGATTTCGAGATCTTGATGATGGGAGTACATAAGAACTTCATTTCTTTTGTATTTCTCATCTATATTGGTAGATATGTTCAGAAAAATTTTTGTGGATTTTTTGACCGTAAAACAAAAATTTTAATAAAGGGGGGTTATAATTTATTAACACTAATTTTTTGCAAAAACGTCCATAAAAAACTTTTAGATCAGGAATTTTTAAAGATATTTTGTAAATATCATTTAATATACATTACAACACTACTGCAAAAATTTCAGAACAATCCAACAACGGGAAGATAGAGAAACACAAAAAATTCAAGGGGGGTTATAATTTCTTAACACACTGTATCTAATAGTTTTGCAACACAAACAAATGAATTTAAACATAAAAAATATTTGCAAATCAAGACTGTCTAGTGTTTCAATGCAGTTCAAGGCGCCGCATTGAAAAAGATTATCCAATATTTTGTTAAAATTAATTTAAATTATTCAATCAATTTATTCAACAATTTTATTAAAATTAATACAATAACATTTATTGCATATATTAAATAAAAATAGAAATAAAAAAGGATATTTAAGGGTAATTTAAGAATATTATGAAACTAAAAGATAGAGGTTGAAAGATGTTTGTAGTGCAATTGAGCATTAAAAGTTTTTAAAGCTAATTTAATTTATTAATTAAAATTTTCTATCTTCTTTCACAAATTTCTACATAAATACAAAAAATAATAATTAAATTTAAGCAGTTAAATGTCCACTTTGTTGTTGTTGTTTTTGTTGGTGTTGTAAAAATCCGTGTAGACGTTGATCTCTTTCTTCATTTAATAATGCTGTTGTCAATGAAGATTCTAATTCATCCTCTTCATCGAGAACTAAATCACTGAAATTAAAAAAAGGTTTTTTGTGTTAATTTCCTTTCAAATTTACATATTTTCATCCTCAACCCCATCTTCTTCTTCCTCTTCATTACTTATTTGTTCACTTTCACTCATCAAAAGTTCATATTCAGTTAAACAAAATACCTTTAAAAATTATAAAAATTTCAAAAAAATCTTCCAAAAGAGGAACCTCCCAATCGCTAATTTCTTTGTCTCCAGTAGTTTTGACAGAAGCTCTTTCCCCATCTGAAGATTCTTGATCAACATATTTAATCCAATTAACAAATGTATTAAAAAATCTGTGTGCCAAACCGCTCCTAATTTTTTCAAATTGAAATTTAAAAACTTGTGATTTAAATTACCTTTTTAAATCACTTCTAGTTATTGAATACCCATTAGATGAAGATATTGAATCTAATAACTATAAAAGAATAAATGTTTTCTTATTAAATTAATTTTTGTATTTACAACCCTTGATTTGATGGAAATTTTTAAGAAATAAAAGGGAAAATTAATTAAATTTCCCCTAAATTTCTCCAGAATATGGACCCTTTCGAAAGGGGCAATTAATGACTAATGCATGGAATGTCTATTGAAATATTATGTCTCTTGTTATTTATTTTAATTTAAAATATTATTATTTAAAGTACATTGCAAATAACATCTCGAAGTGCAAGTGTTTCCATATTTTTTGAATTTAATTTTTGTTCAATTGCCTTAAAAATAATTATTTATTTTGTTTTAAATTTATTTAATTTACTTCATAAAAATATTCCATTTCGTATAAACTAATTTGTCCATCCCCATCCAAATCTATACATCTAAACCAATATTCAACACTTGTAGGATGCCTTTTATCTTCTTCAGCAAGTAAGAAACAGACAAAATCTTTAAAAATTAATTTTAAAAAATTAATTTTTAATTAATTAAATTGTAAAAGTAAAGATATTTAAATAATTTCCAAAAAATACTAAATATATGTAAATGCCCGTATAATAATCACAAATACATATTATGGAAAGGGCTGCTAGAATGAAAGAGTTAAAAACCAACGTGAATAGAATAATCAAGTCATTTTCAAATAAAAACTTAACACGAAAAAGACTCCAGTCCGTCACGTGCCAATAAAATTAGACACGAAATGACTAGAACGCCAGCTCGAACCGAAAACGGCAATCCCAATTATAGAGAATATTTAAATTTCCATTAACCATTAAAGGTTAACCCACAAATATTCAACGATCATAGAACGTATCCGTCCATATAAAATTATTATTCCAAAAATCCTTACCTTCAAACCCAATTGTTTCAATTGGCTGCTGCTTTACAGGGCCTTGTCCTGAAATTGTTTTTTGTTCTGAAGGAGTTCTTAGAACAGCTGCTGAGAATATTCGGTCAATAATTCGATCAGTAAGGGCTCTAAATTGGTAAAATTAAAAGAATATTTTCTGATATATTTCAATTTACCCATTGCAATGACGTTTCATGTCATCTCTGGAGATAACCTAAAAAAGTTGTTTTTAAAGGAGGAAATGGAGAGAGAATTTAGTTAATTCTTTTAATTAAAAGATTATCAAGAATATTTCTTGATAAAGATAAATTTTTAATTACCGTATTTACTCGATTAATTCCCCACCCTCAAATAATTCCCCACCCCCTATTAATTCCCCATGACAGGGATAAGTTGAAAAAATAATTCCCCACCCTTGAATACCCTACTACACGTTCAAATTTCAAAACTCGAATAATTCCCCTCCCTTGAATAATTCCCCATGCCACGGATGGGTTGAAAAAATAATTCCTCGGGGGAATTAATCGAGTAAATACGGTAATCAATCTAAATATTTCTACAAATAATTACCAACCATATCATGATCAGTATCCAATTCCCAAAATTTACAGTAAGTAACATAAAAATGTTCATAAGAGAAATAATCAGTTATTCGATTAATATCCGTAATATCATCCAACATTCGAAAAGTTTGTAGAAAATTTGAACGTCTCAATTCACTTGCTGTTATTCTACCACTCCAAGAACGGTTAACATTCCAAAATATACGTACAATTACCTGGGCAGATAATTAATGTTTTTTAATTTTTAAATTAAAACACACCACTTCACAATATTTACTGTAAAATTGAGGGGCTTCTTTCAAAAAATGAAGGCCTGGATGGGTCTGAAAAAGAGAATAATTTTTATTTAGAAATCCCTTAAAGGATTCACCAAAATGAGATCCATAAGTATTGGAAGGAAATCTTCCTTCCTCAGACAATGACTGTTAAATGGCCTTGTAGCAGCATTTAAAGTAAAAATAAATTTAGTAGCTTCATCGTGAGCTTCGGCACACATTCTATAATTTAAATTAATTAATTTTAACTTGTAATTTTAATATTCAAGTACCGATTCCAATAAATGATAAATTGATTAAAATCAATCTTGTGTGAATCTTTCAAGTTTTGCTCATTTTCTGTTTGTACAACAGATGAAGGTGGAATTGATGTTAAGTTGTTCATTCGACAACAAGCATCGTACACTGCCCTCTAAATTAATTAAAGTAATTAGCAGAGTTTTTAAAGAATTATTTTTTTATTAGTTTCTTTTTCAATATTTCTTATAATTTTTTGCTTATTTTATAAGTTTTTTTTGTAAAAAATAAAAAATAAAATTTTGCCTTAGTATAAATAGCCATATCCATTCGTCTACAAAGTTCATCAAAATCAGCAAAAGATATTTTGCCGTCCGGGAAGGATTGAAAAAGCTCTTTGATTCTGCTAAGTTTAGCATCACTTTCCGCCTTTCCAATTGGCCTACCCATGGGAAAATGAAATCTTAAAATGTTAGAATTTTCGATATTTTATAACTAACAATAAGATTATTCAAGGGGTTTTTGCTGAATGTTTTACTTTTGGTGTTTATTTTAAAATTCTATTTTAAAGGACTTTTGAGATTTATCATAATTAATGTCAACTTAATTTAAAAAAACACCTAGGTATTCCCGCTAAACGTCCAGCTATTGGAGATAACCTCAGAGAATTGGCTGCTTGTTGATAACATGGAGGCGGTGATAGAGAAGAAGAAAACTAATTTAAATATAATTTTTAAAATATATTAATTTAAAAGAAAATATTTAATTTTTACTTGTTTTTCAAATTCAGAATTATTATTTGTTTTTTGTTGTTGTTGATGTAATTCTGAATTATTAGGAATAATACCGTTTTGAGTTATTATATTGTTTTTCTGGTTAGTTGGGAGTAATGATGTTGTTGTTGTAGAATTATTCTTGATTTGTTGTTGCTTAATTTAAAAATAAAAATTATTTTTAAAAATTATTTAACAAAAATTTCTGGTTAAAAATATTTAAAATTATTTTTAAATTAATTATTTACAGCTTGTAATGCCGATGTTTGTATAACAGTTTGTGGTAAAAATGTTGAAGAAATTTCTTCATTATTATTATTATTTAAAGCAAATCCATTTAAATATTTATTATTATCTTCTATTTTCCTTTTTTCTGTTTGAATTAAAGGAAGAGAAGAGAAGGTATTTGGGTTTGTTGGGGTTGTTGGTTCTATTATTGGAAGGGTGGAATTTTGCTTGAAAAATGAATCATAATTAAAAATATATTTATTAGAATCTACTTCAGTTTTGCCAACAGGTAGTAGCGTTTCATTAACAGGGGAAGAGGGTGTATTTTCTAGTGAAGTTGAAAGCCTAAATTAATTTAAGGAAATTTAAAATTTTAATAAATTATTATTAAATTAAAAAAAATAAAAAACTGCGGCGCTATCTTAATATAATGCGGCAATCAAATTTTTTCCTTCATTTTTTCCTTTCCATATTTTTCCTTATTTTGTACAGAAAGGTCGGACTTTTTCCCTCGTTCACTTCAAATGAATTTTCCTGTGTTACATTTTTGTGTTGTCTGGCAGAAAACACGGACAGACAAAACACGGACAAACTCGGAAGAAAACACGGCCGAACACGGACAGACAAAACACGGACGAAGACGGACAGACAAAACACGGACGGTCCTTGTTTTGTCTGTCCGAGTCCGTCCATGTTTTGTCTGTCCGTGTTTTCTGCCAGACAACACAAAAATGTAATATTTTTTATTTTTTGCTTTTAATCTTTTTTCTATAATCACATTCGAACATGCCACAGGGAAATTCATTTGAAGTGAACGAGGGAAAAAGTCTGACCTTTCTGTACAAAATAAGGAAAAATATGGAAAGGAAAAAATGAAGGAAAAAATTTGATTGCCGCATTATATTAAGATAGCGCCAAAACTGCTTTTCTGAATGCAAATAATCATAAATTTTTAGTTTTTTTTTGTTTATAAGCTATAATATACTGGATATCTAAAAAATCAAAACCTCTGTTTTTGATCTATAACTGATGGCAAACTTTGTTGTTTTTGTAATTGTTGATCTTTTTTAAATGCAGGCAAGGCCTCGTTGAGAGAATCTGCACGCCATCGGGGACTTTGTTTGTTATCAACATTTTCTGTATTTTCTTTACTGTTACGTGGTGAAGATGTGGACGGGGTGGACTGTAAATTAGGTATTAATTTAGATCAGTTTGTGGCTTTTGTAAGATGTTATTTGCCACTAAAAAATTATATCCATATCTAAGTAATTGGATATAACTTTTGATTTTTAATTAACCAAGGTTGATTTAAAAATCAAAAATACTAGTTAAAAATGCCAAAAAAAAAATTTTGTGAATAACAAAGTGTTAAAAACTATCTACCCACATACATACAAACAACATTATTCAAAAAATATTTCTTAATTTTTTTTTAATTTTTCACCACCGTAAAAAGACGAAAAGTGAAGTGAACTTCATCTACAACTAATTTATCAACTGGCGATGAGTGTCTCCATTCCTCTCTATTATTATGATGATATGAGGAAGCTGAAGGGGGCAATTCAGCACCGGTTGGAACAGGCAAATTCATTATAAACGTAGCTGTTGAAGTACTACATTGACTTAAAGGAGTACTTCTGTCAGAACGACGACTGCTCCAGGGCGAGAGATATGCTTCATCTTCCGCTTCTTCATCATCTACTTCTTCATCCCAATCTTCATCCTCTATTTCATCCTCTCCTTGTTCCTCGTCTTCTTTTTCACCGTCCTTTCTTAGGCTATCATCATAATTTTCTTCTTCCGTCCTTAGCTCACATTCTTCCTTACCAACAAAATCTTTAGAACTTTCCCCCTTTTCCATTTCTTCAATTTGAATTCCATCTAATTTAAGCTCGATAGCAGATGAGGATTTGTGCGTATCTATGTGAAAACAGCCATTCTCTACTAGGCTTTTATCATCTTTTCTTTCCAATCCATTTATTACTAATCCTCTACAAGGAAGAAATCTTTCAAGAGGGACATTTCCATCAGAAGACCTCCATTCTTCCATTTTCTGATTAATATCACCCTTCTCTTCCTCCTCCAAATCTTCCTCTTCACAATCTTCATACTCATCTTCGTCATCATCCTCATAATCTGATATGTATTCGTATTCTTCCTCGTCCGTTACTTCCCCTTCTCCGTCATCCTCACTTTTGATTTCATCTTCATTCTCTTCTTTCTTCTTTTCTCTCCGTATTAAATCTTTATAACTTTGCATAAAAGCTTTATTTTTTATATCAATTGCTTCTTTTATTGTTTTTTGTAAAAATTTAGATGATTTTGTTAAAGACAGTCTTTTTTTGGAAATATTTTCGGGAAAAGAAGGGAAATTTTGTTGTCTTCTCTGATTATTTTTAAAAGAATATTTTTTTGTAACATTCATTGTCCCATTAGAATTATTACTTATAGATGGAACTTGTGAACATGAAGCAAATTTTGAAATTGGAAATGGGGAAGGAATTAATTGTTGTTGAGATAAATTATTGAAAGACATTCTTTTTAATAAATAATTACTTTCAAATTTTTTTGTAATTCCATTAAATATTTGGGGGTTAGAATCAGTGGAGGGGAATAAATAGGGATTTGAGTTATTCATATTAATATATTCTGAGTTTGAAAATATTTTGATAATAAAAATAAATTAAATCAGAAAAGAAATTAACAAAAAAATAAAAACTTGTTGTGAATTTAAACAAATATCCAAATCTGGCTTAAAAATATATTTTTTAAATTATCTATTTCTGAACAAATTCTCGTAAACTTAGAGTGAGTGAGAAAATTTGTTAAAAATAAAATGAACAGAAAATGTCATGTATGAACATATAAATATCACCTAAAAAACTACCTACATATATCTAAATAAATCAACATTTAAAGGTGTAACTGATCCTTTCTTCAAAAAAAATTAAATATTGGACACAAACAGCCTTAGGTGAAAATTTGTTGTCTAAAATAGATAAATAGTTAAGAATAAATGAAAAAAAACTTTTTTTAAAAAAAAAGCAAAAAATAAATAAATATACAAGAAATTCAAAAGAGAAAATGCTGGAAATATTTTAAAACACACAAGGTAAAAAAGGGGGGCTATTTTTCTTTTGAAAATTGATTGAAGAAAAAGATGGGGGAGATTTGTTTGGATCAAACAAAAAAGAGATTGGAGAGGGAATGGGATAAAAAAATTTTGGTATATTAAAAACCACAGCTGTTAGTTTATTTTATTTTATTTTTCTTTTGATACTTTTGCTCGAGTAAAATAAAAAGATGTAATGAAAAGAATTAAATTAGAAAAATATTTTTAAGCTTAATTTCATGAATGTGGAAGAGATTTGTATAATTAAGTTTACATATATTAGATTAGGAATAAAGAATGCCAAACTAGGAAATAAATTAGAAATTAATTTTTAATTTTAAAATAGAGGAACGGTGGAAGATAAAAATAATTTTTAAAATTATAATTATATTATTTATTTTGTTTTAAAAAATATCCATTTAAGTTAAAAACATCCTATAGTAAACCCCCTCTAAATTAAACCGCTCTATACCTTTCACACTTTTCCAAACTAAAAAAGGATAACAGATGTTATCCAATTATTTCCCCCTTTCCTATAACCCAATATTTAATTAAAATTTATTTTAACCTGAATATTAATTAAATTATTATTCTCTCCTTTTTTCTTTTTCTTTTTAATTTTATTTGTTTTTGTTGTTGTTCTTTTTGGAGGTGATGCTATTAGAAGAAATTTAACAATATTGCCAAGTAAATAATTTAAAGTTTGTCTACGTCTACTTAATAATACAACAGCTTCTTTTACTTTAATTTTGTTGTCCTCAAAAAGGGGTGGGGGAGGTAATGAATTTAATAATAATAAATTATTTTTGTCTCCTTCAATACTTCCACCTGAAGAACATGGAGACGAAGAAATGCCTGAATCTAGATTTTTGGAAGATTTTGAAGATGAAGAAGATTCGATTTTCTGATAAATATCCTCTTCTTCTTCCTTTTTTAAATTATTATTTTTTATTTGTCGGCGTCTAAAAGCTGCAAAAGCTAAAGAAGTACAGTCACAATTTGTTGAAGAATCGTTAATTAATTCTTTCTTTTTTTGATTAAATAAAATAGTATTTTCTCTTTCAGAAGGTACAATAACAGAATTAAAATGAGAAGAAGAAGAAGATGATGTTTTTGAAATTTTTGGATTTTTATTTGAAGAAATAGGGGAAGAAGAATAAGTCTTTGATTTTTTTAAATTATTTTTGTTGGGAGGATTTTGATTTAAATTAAAAGAATTCCAAGAAGAATTTTGTAAAAGAGAATTATTATTTGGCAAAATATTAGCCATTTTCTTTGGGTTTTCTTTAATTTTTACTATTTTTTCTAAATTTTGTGTTTCATCTACTAAATTTGTTGTTGTAGGGGTTGTCCATTTACATTCAGAAACATTTGTAATTAAACGACAAAGATTATTAGAAGGTGTAGTAGTTCCGTTAAGGTTTTTAATATTTTTATTATTGTTGTTATTGCGTGATATAAGCATTAATAAATCTTCATCTATAAGGGGAAATTTATTTGATGTTTTTATTGTTGTTTCTAAAAATGCTGGAGGTCGATGATTGAGAATATAATTATTGTTATTTATATTTCTCTGACGTCTTTGAACGAATGGAGGAATTGGCCTAAAACAAATTTTTGCGTGTAACCTTGGTGAAAAGGCTTAATCATTGGAAAGTTTTATCCAGAAGATCAATTCAATAACCAATAGACATGTGTTTATTCATAAAACTGAATCATTTCAATACATATGGGCAAAAAAGGTTGGCGTCTAATTGAGGCGGCGCCGAAATGTTCAAATAAAGCCTAAACCTTTAGAAGCTTTGGATTAAAAAGACAATTTGACGTTAACACAATTTGGCGCCAAAATTATTTCTTCACCTATAACTTTTAAAACTGACGAACTCTATTAACTATCTTATATCATTCGAAGGCTAAAGAAATAAGAACTATTTCTTAATGGATAAACCTTAAGAAAGAAAAAAAATTTATGAGACAAAAATTTTGGCGTCAAATAATCTGCGCCGAATTGTCTTCGACCGTTTCCCCTACAAAACCTATACCTTTTGACTTCAAGTTTTAAGTAAAAACTTGAAGCTTTTGACTTCAAGTTTTAAGTAAAAACTTGAAAAAACTTGAAACAAGTTTTAAGTAAAAACTTGAAGCCAAAAGGTATAGGTTTTATAAGGGGAAACGTTTTGGACAATTCGGCGCAGATTTTTTTGGCGCAGATTATATTTAATAAAAAGGAATTGAAACAAAACTAGAATGTTCTTATTCCTTCTCGTAATTATTTTATTAACGTTAGTCAGAAAAGTCGAAATTCGGGGTTGAGTTAGTCGGTGCCGGGGGATCAATCTTTAAGGAAAAGATAGGATTAAAATCCATTCAGTAATCTCCATTATTCCATAAAATAAACCCCAGATTTTAGTTTATTGATTTTGAAGGAATTAATCTTCTGGATTAACTTATTTACCAACCCTATTTTTTCTGCGTTTTCACAATTTTTTTTATTCTTTTGTTGCTTTTGCTGTTCATTGATTTTATTAGCATTCACAGGAGAAGTATTAGAATTAAATCTCCTAGCAGCACTTTGTCTTGCTGCTGGCATTAAAAGTAACTGAAAATCTCGTAATTCTTCAAATCCATCTTCATCATAATTAATAATATTATTCTCATTATTTTGTTCATCTCCTTCTTCTTCTTCAAATTCTCCCTCCATTTTATTTTTTTCTTCTTTCCAATCATTTGCTAATAAATGTTGATTTTCGAACATTACTATTCCCGTTTTTGTTAATGCTTTTTCTTTGCTAATATTTTCTCTTTATGTTGATGATAATCGCTTTTATTCTGTTCCAAACTTTTGTAGTAAAGGAGATAAACAGATATTATTTGTAGTGGAATGCATATATTGCTAGAGGCTATTTTAATTATTTTCTCATTAAAAAGTGAAGAAATAAATATTTTATAGAAAATCTGATTTTAATTAATTAAAAAACTAAAATTTTAATATTATTCTATAAAAATGAGAGAGAAATAATAAATAATTAAATGAGTAAATAATCACAATCGTTTATACTTATATTTTTGATTTGGTATAGTAAAGTAGTTGGCCCCGTAATCCCAGTGCCTAATCAGAATGATCCCGGCCTTATAATATGTATTTGAAAACGAGTGGAGTTTGTTATAGAATTGCACTTATTATAATTAGATAGATAGATTAGTAGGATTTTGGAATTAAATATAGTTTTTAATTTCATAACAAATACTAAAAGAATAAAACTTATTTTTTACAAGCTAAAGTATTTAGATGTGATTAAAATTGTAAATTTAATTGCCAAATAGGTACTCTTGTGTTATCTTCCCCCATTTTGTTTTTTTTCTCCTTTTTTTACTTTCTACACAAAAAGTATTGGACCCAATTCCAACGATGGTGAGTATCAGTACTTATATTTACTGATACAAAACGTTCACCGTTAACCAGAATATTTTATGGGAATAAAGAGCAAAAATACCGAACCATTGGTTCTAAAAAAAGATCTGGGTACTTTTATTGCCATAGATCGGCATGATTAATTAACTGTATGTTATTTTGATCAGGTGTATTTTTGAGGAGAAAGGAAAAGAAATGAGAAAAAAATTAAGGGGAGATAACAGTACTCTTTTGCAAAAGAGTACCTGAAATATTTTGCTACTTAATATTTAAGTAAAAATTTCGGAAGTAACAAAAAGGTTTTAATTTCTAAATTTAATTTTGGGATTTCGGGTTAAATATAAAATGTTCATGTAAAATAAGGATATTTATTAGCAAATATATGTTTAGGTTTACTGGGCATTTAATGAATATTATTTATTATTAGTGTGGCCATCATCCTTCCCTTTTTCTATGTGAAAAGTGATATACATACTAATAAAAGCGTATTTTCTAATCGCCATTTTCTCTCAAGAAAGCGCCGCTGGCTTTAAGTGGACACCAAACAAGCCAGTCGATGTAAATATAATCTCATATTACATTTTTCTACTAAAGTATTTATAAAGGTAAAAAGTAATAAAGGGAAGGAAAGGAGGAAAAAGCAAAACAAAATTCCTTAAAATATTTAAAAGTAAAGGATATATTTATTTATTATTAGCAACAAAACAACACAAGTTAAGTGGACATAAGAAAAAAAAAGAGAATTTGGCCCTTTTGTTTAACTGATAGGTAACTAAGAACAACAACAAATATATCCTCCCTACCTTTAAAATCGGGAAAGAAGAGAAGAAAGTAGCCACGTCCCACGGATTTATAGAATTTATATTTTAGTAGATTTTACTGGATATGAGAGGATATTATAATACAAAAAAAAGAAATATATATTGATTGGTCAGCCGGTCAGTCAAAAATTATTTTATTTATTTGTCCAAAACCTTAGCTTAACCTATTGACTAAAAGCTAAATTAATAAAGGATAAAAACCTAAATTGTTTGGTCAGCCGGTGTACTAATAATAATAAATCAGAAAATCTGTTATGGAATTTAGATTTAAAAATTAGTTTTATTTTTAATCCAAAGCCGAGACTAAATTACAAATTCTTGCCCTAAATTTTTCTGTTCGGTCTCGTATACACGAAGAATTTTGGAACCAATAGCCCTAATTCGTTGACTTTGACCACTTGTAAAATTCTTGGAGAACGAAAAGAAAAAGCAAATGAAAGGGAGATAAGGGAAAGATAAGTATTGTCTAAATTGTCTAATTTAATATTTCTAAAGAATAAACTCGAAATAAAATTTAAAAATGAATGAGAATGTTTTTAATTTTTTAAGATAGAATCAATATTGTAAAAAATTTTTTTATTTTGAAAAAAAAAACTTCTGAGTGAATAATTCAAAATATACACATATGTGTGAATCAATCAACTAAAAATGAGGAAAGAATTAGACTGAAAAATTAGGGGAAGAGAAAAGTTTTGAAGTGGTGGTGGCCGAAATGATGTGTGTGATATATATTAAATATTAAATCTACTTAGTACATAAATATTTTAAAATAAATAAATGGGGGAATGCGCATCAAAAAAAGTGTGAATGTGTGTAAATATTTAAAAAAAACTAAGCACTTAAAAGTTTTTGCGTGAAATAAAAAAGGAAAAGAGAAGAGAAGGATGAAAAATAAAATTGAAGAATAAGGAGGATTTAGATTTAAATATTGTGTTAACTAAATAAAGCTATAGAGTATTTTAATATAAATAAATTTTAATTTTTTAGTGTTTGATCAATAATATCCCTCCCCCCCCCCTTCACATACAAAATCACTCCCTTGGATTGAATATAATTAAATGAAAGTCCATATGTAATAATGAAGAATAAAGCTTTTACTTTTTTTGTCATAAAAGACTACATATTTAAATAATCTTTCGTTTCAATCTACAAATTTATTTATTTCCAGTCTATACTTTTCATGTCTACCAACCATCCCCCTTCCCCCATGTTTCAATAATTTTTTCCCAGTCTTGATTATATTTTAAATTTTAATAAAAAAATATAAGGAATTATTAATAAAAGCTCTTAATTTAAATAAAAATTAAAGAAAAAGCTAATATAATATTAATGTGAAAATATTTTTATTTAAAAATAATTTTCCTTTTTTTTCATTTTTAGAAACACTTAAAGAAAAGATTTTTTTAAATTTTAGTAAAAGATTAGTGTAAATAAAAAGCAAAAATATATTTTTGTTTAGAATTTTTAAAAATCAAAACACACAAACATTTACTTACCTTTAAAATATTAAATTGAAAATGTTTTGGCATAACATTTTGTTTAACCAAAGCAGTTACACTTTTTGATTTTTCTTTTATTTCTGAGGAGGTTTTGGAAATATTTTGATGTTTTTCATCAAAATTATTTGATTTTAATTTTTGTTCTTCATCAACTTTTTCTTCTTCAAAATATTTAATTAATTTTTGTTTTAATTTTTCCTCTTCCTTTTTGTTATTTTGTTTTAAATTTTCCTCTTCCTTTATTTTAACCTCATTAATTTCTTCTTGACCAAGGTCAACAACAATAACTGGCTTTGTACGAAATAAACTACTTCGTGGAGAAAGTCTATCATTTCTAGTAACAGAATTATTTGCAGATTTTATCTTTGAAGAAGAATTTTGTGTCGAATTTGCTTGAAGTAATTGAGAAGAATTGATATTTTGTTGTTGTTGTACAGCAATGCCGAAAGGTTTAGCGACTGTATTATTCTTTAAAATATTAATAATATTTATTTATTAAAAATTTGTCTGGATTTAAAAGTTTAAACAAGGACTGGCTTTGTAACTGGCTTTATGCGAAATAAACTACTTCGAGGAGTTGATCGTACTTTTTACTCAAAATTAGGTAAAAAGTACGATCAAAATTAGTCAGTTCTTTCGCATACTTAGAATTCCAAAAAATTTAGCATGTAGAGTTAAAAAATCTAAATTTCAATAATTCACTAAATAGAAAATTTAATGAACTTGTTTAATTTTAAAATTGAAAAAGATGGAGGAATTTTAAATTTAAATATTTCAGGTTATAATACTTTTTTATTCAAAATAATTTCAAACTTTTTTATTTTTCTGTTGCCTTTCCTCTAATTCATTAACTCTTGAAATAACAGTATTTGTTTGTGGAAAATTAGGAGATGAAGAATGTAAGAGTTGTTTAGCTGTTGGGAGTATTTTTCTTTGTTTTTGTTGTTTTTGATTTCCAAAAAAGAAAGGATTATTAGAAATTCCCCCAAAAAAACTATTTCCGGCAAAAACATTTTTTTGTTTAATTTTAAGTAATTGTTCCCTTAAATGGTGTTTAGGGGCTGGTTGAGGTAATTCTGCGATAGATGAGGATAAGGAAAATGTTGGTGAAGATTGTTTTTGTAATAATGAGGAAGAGGAGGATTTGTCTGCTTCTTCATTAATATTTACTTGGAGAGGATGAAATTGGTGTTTTTCTGAAGGAATTGTTGGGAATCGACCACAATTTTTAGTATTATTATCAAGACTTTCACTTTCAGAGTCCAATAATAATTGAGAAGTTGAAGATGTAGTTGCAGGGAGTTGTTGGTCGATTAGAAGGCTGTTTAAATAAGAATATAATGTTTCCTGAATTTTTTTCGGTTTCTAGGTTCACAATTTGAATAACTTTGAAAATTAAATACCTGGGGAAAGGTGTAATTCTTCCACAAGTATTATTATAGCTAAATGGAGAATTATTATTAGTTTTTGTAGATTGCTGTTTTTTGCCTTCCTGTGTTTTCCTCATTTCTAATAAAAAATTAGCTGTACGTACAGCTACAGATTCAACAGTTCCCAAATTATTTTCCAAATTATTTTTTACATTATTTATTTGTTGATCTTCAGAATTTAAATTATTTATTGCTGAAGAAGAAGGAGAGGAAAGGGATGATAGAGATTGTGAAGAAGGGGATTGTTGCTGTAATTGTTGTAGTTTTTCGGTAGCATTGTGACCGAGTAATAGCCTTTGGGAGGATAATGCTTCAGATGAAGAACGTGACTTGAGTGTCTAATGGAGAAAAGTATTAAAAAACTTTAGCAAACTGGTTTTTGGTTAATCCAATTTCGGTCTAAAACCGAAAATTTTGATATTTTTTGCCTTAAATTTTCATGAAAATTTAAAAGCCAAAACCACTTAAAAACCACCAAAGACAGAAATATTTTACTGAAACTCAAGACCGAAACCGGGTTTTACATAAAATCGGGATCAACTACATATCCTAGTTTGGATAAACGTACAGAAATCCAAAAATTGCTGATGTAGGGACTCTTTTGTTGTGCAGTTAATGGACGACGTGTTTGTTTAGCTGGATTGCTCCCTGATTCTTTAAAAGAAAATTTTGTATTATTTTGACAATTATTTGAGTAATTGTTGTTTTCACTGTTTATATTATTTTCATTAAATCCATTTATTAATTTAGAGTTATTTTGAAGAGAAGTTTTTTGTGGTATTTCTTTACTATTGTTAATTGGTTCACGCATTTTTGTGAAGGAAATTTGTTCAGATTTAAATATCAGTTTAAATAATCGTATCTTTATTTTAAAATTAAGAGTAATTAATTTAGAAAAAAAAATCTAAAAATATCAAATAAAGATATTAACCGGGAAGCACAAATTTATTTTTATTTTACCCAAAATCTAAAACACACGAAAGTTAAAATAAATTTTAAAAACTAGCTTGACATAAATCTTCAAAAATAGATCATGAAATTTGCAACCAATATTTCAAAGTTTTTATTGATTAGAGCTTAAAATCTCTTTTATTTTTAACGGTGATTTTGCTAGAAAGGTATTAGAAGAGGTAGTTGTTTGTGTGCCGATTCATTGGTGTTAATAAATATATCCTTCCTTCCTTTCTCTTTATTTTTTTGTTTGAATTAACTCACATGCGACGACTGCTGACGGTTGAAGATTTAAAAACTTGTGGCATTGATTGATACTTGGGGGGATCTTGAAGAAAGCGGCTGCTGCTGGGTGGTTAGTTGGTGTCTCTATTAAGGTTTTAAATCTTCTCTAAATTAAAGCAAGTGAAAAAGTGTTAATTTAGTAGATAATTTTTGTTTAAAGATGGGTAGGTAAATTGTGTGTTTATTAAATGATGGAGAATATTGAGATGGTATAAACAATGATTTTTTGATTAAAAGAAGAGCTTTTCTGTTAATGCTACGGTTACATAAAAATCGCGCGCGTCTTGAGACAGACGCTCGGCGACAAGACGCGCGCGACAGTCGCTAGTAGTGTGGTTACATAAAATCGGCGTCTTCCACAAAGCGACAAGAGCAAAGCGACAAACGCTGATTTTATGTAACCACGCCACTAGCGACTGTCGCGCGCGTCTTGTCGCCGAGCGTCTGTCTCAAGACGCGCGCGATTTTATGTAACCACTAAATCCGATTAAAAATTTTTTTAAATATTTATCATACTAAAATAAAATTTATAAAATCAAATCATTTTATTCTGCCATGGTACCGATCAGGGGTGGCGCTCCTCGCGTATCTCGTGAAATCTCGTGTTTTTTAGAGGTCTCGTATCTCGTATTTTGCCACAAGACACGAGATATGTTCAATATATTTTAGAAAAAATGTCAAAAATTTGGGACTATTTTAGGATCCTAGAATTAGGAAAAAAGGAAGAAATCTTGCTCAGTGGTCTTCCAAAATTCTCAAATTTTCGCCTGCGGCGCTGAAGTTGGAAAGAGGTATAAAGTTGGTCAAGCGGGAAAGAGGTATAAAAATTGGAAAGATGTATAAAGTTGGTCCAATAAACTCTTCTCTATCTAAAGCGGGGGTGCAGCTCGAGCCACAAAATACGAGATACGAGATTTTCAAAAAATACGAGGAAAAAAATCGCCCGATATTCTTCTATCCCTTCAGGTAGGTACCCGATATTTCCCGCTTGACCAACTTTATCCCTCTTCCGTTTTCAGCGCCGCAGGATGGAGGAGTAGGGTCGAAGAGATACAGCCTATACCCAGTGATGTCAAAGTTCCAAAATTTCTCTGGAACTAGTTCCAGTTCCAGAACTAGGTTTTAAATTTTTGTAGTTCCAGTTCCGGAACCAGGTTTTAAATTTTTGTAGTTCCAGTTCCGGAACCAGGTTTTTAATTTTTGTAGTTCCAGTTCCAGTTCCGGAACTCCATTTTTGAAATTCCTTAGTTCCAGTTCTGGAACTAGTTCCAAGCTATTTCTTATAGAGTTGGCCGGTATCGGGATTTCGAGAAAAACCCGGGATCGGGATTTAGGAATGGTGATCCCGATCCCGATCCCGGATCCCGACACGGGATCGGGATTGGCCGAAATCGGGATCGGGATTTGGACTCGAGATCCCGATCCCGGTCCCGATCCCGGATCCCGGCTCGGGATTAAAATGGCCGGGATCGGGATATATATTTCGGGACCGGGATCAGAAAAATCGGGATCGGGATTTGAAAAACCCGGGATAATCCCGCCCGATCCCGACCGGGATCCCGATCCCGGCCAACTCTAATTTCTAGTTCCAAATTTTTAAATTTTTGAATATGAAAGGATTTATCAATTTTAACAGATAAAGGCATAACACTACTCTCACAATTGATCCGTGTCAAGTGTCGCGTGTTGAGCGTTGAGTGGTTTCTCATGCAGTCTGCACCATGTACTCTCTAGTGATGGTCGGGAGTTAAAAAAGCCGAGAGTCGGGAACCGAGACCGAGACCGGGAATCAACCCCGAGTCCTGGGTCGAGACCGAGAGTCGAGACCGAGAGCTTTTTTGTCCCTAACTATATATATGGTACGAGCCCTACTCTTCAAGAAATGGTCACTTTTTCGTGTTTTTGGTATCATTTGATAGAGAATCAAAAGCTCTACAACATATCAAAAAATCAGAATTTTTGACCGATTGATGAAAAAGTTATGATATAAATACTCGATATCATACTGAATATCTCAAAAATATCGAAAAAAAAAAAGAATATTTTTTGCAAAAAGTATACCTTTTTCAAAATCAATTTTAACCCATAAGATTTAACTTTAAAAATATAAAATTTATATTGATCGATAGAGAATAAACTGAACTTTCAGAATCTTTTTAAATTTTGAAAATCGGATCAGAATTGGCCGAGAAATGATCAAGACGCTAAAAGTTGTCGCCAAAAATTCAAACATGTTTGAATTAAAAAAAGTGTCGCCGGCGACAAGACGCCGGCGGAAGACGCATTTTATGTAACCACTAGAAAAAAGCGACAAGACGCCGGCGTCTTGTCGCTGGCGGAAGACGCGGTTTATGTAACCACTAGAAAAAAGCGACAAGACGCCGGCGACAAGACGCCGGCGGAAGACGCATTTTATGTAACCACTAGAAAAAAGCGACAAAATTTTTTTCCTCTTTTCTCTCCTCTTTTTACATTATCTTTTCTGTCGCAAGACGCGCGCGATTTTTATGTAACCGTAGCATAAGCTGGGGAAAGAATAAACAAAATTTCAGTTGTTTTTTATAGTTGATTAAAAAACTACAATAATCAAAATACAGGTAAATGATATTACATACACCTTCTTTTTCTTGCTTTTCCCCCTTTTCTTCATTGATCTACTAGAAAAACAAGAATATTATTTACTTTAAACATTTCCTGTATTTATTTACATCATTTTCTTCCTCAAAATGTTGATATATACTTCCCCCTCTAACAATTATTTTTTAACTAGGATGAAAATAAAAATAAGCAGTTGTCCCTAATAATAATGATGATTTTGTTTTGGTCATTGAATAAATACAAAATATTAAAAAAACAATTTTTATCTTGAATATTTTATGTTTTTTGCACATAAAAATATACAAAAATTTAATTAAGTGGATAACATTTCCCATTATTTAAATTAAAATATCTCCATATTTTATTTCAACGACTGGCTGGTTTAACTACTTTTTACAAATTTTATTTTTAAAATTTTAAATTATTCTTTGTAATATAACAATGCTCTATTTTTTAGTGTTCTTGATATATATTACGTTTTTAGGAGAAATGTGTAAACTCATTTTCAACAACAATTTCTTAAAAGATCAAAACTCCATGAATACCTAACCAAAAATTCTCAAATTTTGGTATCTATTAGAAAACACTCTAAAAATATATAGGTATCCAAACTTTATAGCTTTTGTACACTTTTAAAAAATTCTACAACTTTTTTTGCAAAGCGAATTTTTTTTTGAACTGACTTAGTAAAAAAAATTGAAGAAAAAGAACAACTTAAAATGTCTTTAATTAAAATACTTCAACTTACTAAATTTAAAATTGAACGTCTACATTTTTCAGCAATTTCGTGTAAAAGCAACCCAGCTTCAATTATTTTTTCTTTTGGTTTTTTATTTAAATCATTTCTCTGTTGTTTATTCCTTGGGGATTTTGGGGGTAAATAATTATCTAAATTTTGTTTTGGAGAATTTTTTAATTTTTCTTCTTTTTCGATTAAATTATTTTTTAATTTTGGGGAAGAATTATTTTGTTGTAAATTATTAAAATTAAGTAATAAAACTAAAGATTCTTCTAAAAATCGTTGGGCGTCCACATCTCGAATCTTTTAAAATTTAAAATATTTTTATTAAATTAAATTAAAAATTAAATATTACATTAAATAAGCTATTATTATCGTTTTCTTGCTCCATTTGTTGTAATGATTCCATTTCAAGTCTTGGAATTATTGATGAAGAATTTTCCATTTTTTATTAATTAAAATATGAAGAATAAATTATAGTAATTTATTATATATTTTAAAACTTTAATTTTTAAAAAGAATAATAAAAGCTTTAAAAAAGATCGAAAAAGCTAAAAAAAAATTTTTTATCAAAAACAGTTCAACTATTTTAGTGGAGATTTGATACTTAGGTATTTAATATTTTTGAGTAATATGTAATTAAGATAATATATCATTTTATAATAGCCTCAGTTAAGTTAAGCATTAAAATCATGCTTAAACTCGAAAAATCGGGGTGGAGTTATAGTTATGAAACAGAGCCTACATATTTTAATTATTATTTTAATAATGATTGAGATATCTTAAATAAACTTTTAAGAATATTAATGGAAATCATGGAAATATTGGAAATAATTAATGGAAATACATATATTTTAAGGGTTAATTTTAAAAATTTTATATTTTTGCTAAATATTTTATTTAAAAAAGACCAAAAATCAAAAATTATTTTTCTTTATATTTAAAAATAATTAAATGCCTTTAAATAATTATTTATTTTTAATTGTTATATTAAAATAAAAAAATAATTTTTAAAAGAAAAGTTGCTGGCTATTTTGTATCTTTTTTTAGTAAATATTTTAAAAAATTAAAAATAAAAAGCTTTATTTTTAGTAAAAATGTTGGGGGGTTTTAAATAAATGGTTGCCAAATTGAATAGGTCTACCCCTCTACTAAAATAGGTAGAAGCAATATATTTTCGCTCTTTTTTATTCAAATAATTCTGAATTATTTTCAATTCATTGGGCACATGCTGTGAAATATTAAAATAAATAAAAAGAAAAAAGGGGAGTCTTTCAATAAATATTGGCAATTCCATAAAAAACTTAAAAATTATATTTATGAATGACTTCATTTTGGCACAAAAGTTTTTAAAATTTAAAGCTGCAAGAATGGAGGGAATGTCTTTTTGACTAGATAATTTAGGTTTAAAATATTTCTAAAAACGCAGAAAAAAGCTTAAAAATCTTCAGTTCAACTTTATTTTCTAATTAAAGATTATTTGAAAAGAAAATAATTTAAAATTATAAAGAAATTTAAAAAATATTTAGGTAAGCATTCTAAAAGGCAAAAAGATGTACAACATAAAATTTAATAAATACCGTATTTCCTATATTAGAGCCCCACCCTCTGTTAGAGCCCCACCCTCTAATACAGCCCCACTTTGGAGGATAGTTGAAAAATAGAGCCCCATGGGGCTCTAATATAGGAAATACGGTATATAATTTTCTTTTAAAAATTATTCACGAAAAAAGATGTTTCCATGGTTTCTATTTCTTTGAAAATAGGAGGACGAAGATTAAAAATATTTAAATTAAAAAATGTTTGTACTTTTATTGGCTATAAAAAATGGAGTAAAAATTATTTTGAAGCTTGAAAGAACACAAAATTATTAAAACCTTTTAAGAAATAACTTTTAATTTGTATTTGTCTGGTACACATATAAAAAATATTATTCATTAAAAGAAAAATATTTAATTATAAGACAAAAAATTTTTAAATGTTTTTAGTGGAACATGCCATAATTAAATTTAACGTCAAACCCTAATTTGCCTTTTTTTAATCATTAATTTTTATTTATACAGGCTCAAAGGATATAACCTCAGTAAGCCCTAACTTACAAGAATAGGTGTTCGCCCCGATAGGGAGGGCAGGTCTAGCTTAAATCTTGAGGCAGCAAGGCAAGTATGATTGCATAAAACTATTCGATGCTTGGCTTAAATATTTTTTTGTTAACAAAAAACTATGCTTCTTAATTTTAAAAGTGTGCCCCACAGCCTCTTTTGTTAGAGAAACAATGCAAAACTTCACTTTTTTGAATAACTTTTATAAAATATTAAAATTTGAGCGGGTTATTTTTAAATATACTCGTACAAAAATAATTAATTAAAATTAAAAATTCTCTCATTTCTACTATTCATCATCTATATTTATTAATTTTCCTTCAGGTACGTAAATGTTGTTATGATTTATTGAGATTTCTTCCTCATCCTCTTCTTCGTCCCATATTGTTTTTGTAGTTACTATTTGTTTTGTTGACCTACTCTTTTCTCTAAAAAACACTTATATTTTCATGTCAAATTTTTAAAAATATTTTTAAATAAATTAATTTATATTCAAATTAAATATCGACATGAGAGTAAAATAAAGATACCCCTCCTCTCAGTTATGTCAATTGAAAAATAATTTTAAAAAATTTTTTCACTAGATTTAGAGGGAAATCTGAAAAGTAACTGAAAAATAATTTACAAATTTTAATTAGCGCACCGGCTAAAATCTTGATTTACGGAGTTATTTTTGGTGAAAGAAATATCAACAATAGGTTGTTCATCTTTAATCTTTTCTGTTGTTATTTGGTTTGTTTTGCTTTTAGGTAGAATAAATTCTTTTGGCCTTGCTTATTTTAACGAGAAAAAGTAAGTTTTGTTTGTTTAAAAAATAGTTTTTTGTGATTTAGAATGTCCAGCAGGTAATTTGATAATTTTAACTTTGCTTAAAATCAGAACCCCTCTTTTATTGAAAGTTTAATTATTTATTTGTTTATCTCGCAAGGGAACCACTCGAACTGTGATCAAAAATTTTCAATAAAGATTATACCATCGTCTTTCATATAATAATAAAAACGAGGGTTACTCAATCACTCCAAAACATTGAAAATTTGATCAGCTATAATTTTCGATTTGGGGGTCGGAGCAAAAAAGCCAAAAATTGGCAATAATTTATCGACCATGCTCTACACGATGGTATAATTTTTATTTGAAAATTTTTGGTCACAGTTCGAATGGTTCCCTTGTCAGGATTATTAAAAGCTGAACACCTTCCCATAATAAGTTCCAACTCCGGAAAATATTTAAATTAAATCTATCACAGTAAAATCTTTTAATCTCTACCTTTTTTTAAAGTAATTTCAACATTTTCTTGTATATATTTCTCTTCTTTTACATCATTTTTCTCTTCTCCTTTTCCAGAATCAGATCCCCTAAAATCTTGATATTCTTCTTCTTCCTCCTCTTCCCTCCCATTATTTTCTTCCACAAAATCTTCATCAAAATAGTCATCCAACCCTTGTGGTTCCCCCAATCCTTGAGGATTTCTTTGATGTGAATTTTTGTTTAAATAATTTCCAAATTTATTGCCGTGACGTGGATGCACATATCTTCCTCTGGTATCGAAAAAAATCCTCAATAATTTAAAATAAAATTTAAATTTAAAAGGAAATAAAAATTACTAAATAAAAAATATTTTAGGGTGAATTATAAAATGTTAACTGATGTTATTTGTGTAAAATTAATTTAATTTTCACAGACCGATTTAAAGGTTGAGGAGGAGCATTATTATTCGAAGCAGCCATAACATGAGCATATTTTCTTAACATTCTTGCCTGCCTAAAAAATATTCAAAATTTTTAAGATTAGCTTGTTGAATTATAGAACAAATAAAATTCCAAAGTTAATAAACAAAGCCCCCATAATTATAAAAATTTCGCAGGTGTTTTGTTTTTGAATTTTCAGAACACAAAAATTATTCAATTAAATTTGCCATAAATTATGAAGTTTTTTCCTTAATTCCCTTTAATTAAATTCCAAATTTTCACCATTCTTATCTTGACTAGTAAAATATTTTTCAAAAAAAACAAACTCGTTTTCCTTATGTCTATTCCACTGTTTTTGTTGTTCATAAATTAATTTATATTTATCATCTGGTCTAGCTTTATATATTTTTGCATTGTCTAAACTATCTTTGTCTTGTTGTATAACTACAAAATTTTCAAAGGCAACAGATTCAATTAATTCTTTAAATGTAGAATATCCTAGTTGATTTGCTTTATCATCAGCATTTATGTTAAAATCATCGCTTAAAAATAAAAATTTTATTTTACTGAAATTTTGTTTTTATTGAAATGATGTTTCTGTTCTGTGTGCAGTCAAATATTTTTAACGGGATGGTGAAAAGCTAACAATAAAACATAAAATCAAAGGCAATATTCAAAAACAATCAACAAATGAAGAAAAATTCAAGTTATACCTTCCGAGTCCTATTTGTCAAATCCCTATAAAATTACAAAACAATTTCAGAAAAATTTCGAATAGTGCCCCAAAAGCCCATAAAAAGACAATATATTATAAAAAAACAAACTGAATGTCAAATTTTAGATCAGCTAATCGATATCCTTCATATTTAGATCCAAGTGTCTGATGTACTTTCTTGGCAAAATCGTGTAATTCTTGTGATGTGTCGGACATTCTCTTAAAAATTATTTCATTATATTCCAAAAAAATTAAAAAATTAAATTGAATTTTTAAAAATCAATCAAAGAAAAACAAAAGAAAATTTTAAATTATTTTATTTCTTTAATTTAAAAAATTAAATACATTTTAGAATAAAAATACAATTTTTAAATCACTTTTAGATTTGAAGGAAAATAGAAGATAGGAATTGGGCAAAGTGAAAAATAAAAGGTGAAAAACAAAGGAATGGAAAGAATAAATATATACAAAATGGAAATTAGGAGAAAAAAAAGTATAAATTTTCTATAAATATATTTATGAAAGCAGAAGCAGTGAAAATAAATATATTTTTCTGTTAAGGAATTAAAATTAACAAAAATTCTTTAAAGTATTTAAATTGAAAATAAATTCAATTACTTTTTTAAATTTTAAAAGAAATTTTGTCGTTTTAAAAGAAAATGAAAGAAAATTTGAAAATCGATCGCTAAAAAACTTAAATTATCCATTAAAGAAAATTTCTAAAATTTTCAATAAAAATTTTTAAAACTTATACAATCCATTAATTAATAAAATCTAACAAGTCCCTCTAAATCATGAAATAAGCACAATTAAATTACTGAATAAAATTATGGCAAAAAATTACAAAAAAAATTGATTAAAAATTATTTTTAGGGATCAAAAATTTTTTTATAAAATTTCGAATTTAATATTTCAGAATTTTCAAAAATAATTTAACAAAGAATTTCCCAAATAATTTATCTAAATTATTTAATCAATTTTTAAACAGAAAAAGGAAGGGAAAAGTTGGAAAGTAAAATAGATATATACCCTTTTGTGTTAATATAAGCCATTTATTGACGTTGAAGCAGGGGCCTTTGTTCAGATTGACTATTGCCAGTTATAGTGGTATTGGATGTTGTAGAGGATGGAAATTGCCATAAAGAAGATCTATAATCTTTATAACGATGAGCAAGTACAGGAAATGAGCCAGTAGAAACAACAACCTTAAAAGAAAAATTTTTTAAAAAAGGAATCGATGAAATAAATGAAAAAATTTCAAAAATTAAAAGCTAAATTATTGGGAATTTAAAGAATCAAAAAATATATAAGTAAAACCTCGTTTTCACAATTAAAACAATGCATTCGCCGTCTTCTGATGCAACAGAAGAGTCCACATGGAAAGCAAAGTATTCCCCATAATAATCCTCGAAATGTAAATTGTCCTCTAAGACTACGTCGACACTGTGGACATATTCTAGCCATTTAAAAATTAATTTTGTGATTTAGTCATTTAAAAACAAGAATATATAAGTAAAAATGTGCACAGAATTAAACTATCTGAAATTTAGAATTAATATAGTAAATGTCAAGTAAAATAAAACTATTTCAGAATTCTCAACTCCCATTCCAGAAGCCATTCTCTCCCCATTAGAGATGATCAAAGAAATCAGAAACTAAAAATTTACCAAAATAATGACAAAAAATACATAACATTATTAATTAACTGTTTATGAAATGAAGCAATTTAGACATTGCAGAACAAAATAACAAATACGAATAAGTCGGAGCAGTTCAACTGAGTCCGCACGATTGAGTCCCCACGATTGAGTCCGCACGATTGAGTCCCCACGATTGAGTCCCGGCACAATTGAGTCCCCACGATTGAGTCCGCACGATTGAGTCCCCGTTGTATATACCTCAATTGAGTCCCCGTGGATTTAATTTTAAAAATTCCCGGTAGGGGACACTTGTGTACCGGCCGTTTGTGTACCGCCGGTTGTGTACCCACCCAAAGGGGGACGTTTGTGTACCCGCATTATTTTCCTAGATTTTTTTATTGTTTTTTTTTATTTTTTTGTTTTTCTTTTGGGGTTTGCAACTAATTTTGTTAATTAGTTGACCGAGCATCCACTCAAGTCCATCCGAGCACTGAATTTTCTCAATGAGGACGAGAGGGAGGACGAGAATCTTGTGTAGGTAAAAGTTTAATTTTTATTTTTTAATTTTAGATTTTATATTTCAGGTTGGTCTAACTTTGCTCATCACGTGTCGGACTTCATCCCACGGCTGCAACGATGGGAAATTTGAAAAGGTTTGGAATTTTTATTTTGTTTTTCGTTTTTATTTTTAAAATTTTTTAGTTGATTTTCGTCAGTTTCTGACTGGCGATTTTCAAGTTCACAGTTTCTGAAGGAACGAAGGTGGTGAACTTTCCCCTACCCTCCATAGCAGCACAAAAAGTTTTTCCAGCGAAGATTCTGTTGGTCAAAATTTGTTCAGAATCATTCAATCAACTTGATTTTGGTCTTATTCAACTCATCTCGTCGATCCCTTTCGAATGAGCTATTTTTTGTTTATTCGAATGTTTCGCAACAAAAATTCCCCATGGAATTCCACCAAAAAATCCACCATTTCGAGCCCCATATCTCGGCGAGAACTTGTTCAACAATGTTGATTTTCGTGTCATTCGACTCACTACTTTCGAATGAGCTGTCATTCAAAAAATCTCTCGATATCCCTCCTAATCCCCAAACCCACAATATCCATCTTAATCTCTCCGAATTTGTTGATATCTGCCTTAATTCAACCGATATCCCCGCTTAAATCTACTTATATCCCTTGATATTCACCAATATCCATCTTGATACCTCGATGTCGCATACAAGTCCCCTGATATTAACATTAATCCCTCCAAATCCCCAAATATCCCTCTTAATCTTTTTTAATATAATTAAATCCACAATATAATTAAATCCATAATTAAATCCACGGGGACTCAATTGAGGTATATACAACGGGGACTCAATCGTGCGGACTCAATCGTGGGGACTCAATTGTGCCGGGACTCAATCGTGGGGACTCAATCGTGCGGACTCAATCGTGGGGACTCAATCGTGCGGACTCAATTGAGGTGTACCGCGAATAAGTCTAACGAAATACCAACACGAAATAAAATATCAAAATGCCAAATTTAGGAAAAATTACAAAATATTATCAGCAAAGGAAATGAAACTAATTTGTAAGGGAGAGGATATTGTTGGTAAAGTTCGATTTTGCTCTACTTCGTACTGTTTTTTGGTCACGTATTTTTCGCACCTAAGGTGTTGGTTATCACTCACTTTTTCTCTAGTTTATGAATCACTAAACATTTTCCTACTACTCTTGATCTTAAAAAAGTTAGCTTATTTGAAAGAGTGCATCTAGCCTAGCCGAGTGGGACTAAAATAAGCGTTATTCTAGATATAAACGAAAATATTAAACAAGTTATATTAGACTAAGTTATCCGTGAAAAAGTTTACGGAGGAAGCCGGGTTATCGTTCGATGGCCTCGATGAGCAAACGACGATGGCCTCGATGAGCAAAGTAATCACAGCTGCAGAAGCACGAAAACAGTTTTCCATCGAAATTTTTCCAGCGACTTTCTTCAGAATCATCTAGTTTAGCTGATTTTAGTGCAATCGACTCGACGAGCTCACTCAAATGAGTTATCATTTACATATATGAGTTATTACAGACTTAGTAAATTTTGTTAGTAAATTTACTGTAGACTTGGTAAAATTTTTTCACTCTAATTTTAACAATTCACCTGCTTAAACAAATAATAAACAATAAAAAACGATCAACACCTCATTCCATAAAAGGATATATCCATTTTAAGCGTTCATGAAAATAAAAATATAAACAACATCATTTAGTATTTTATCCCTCCAACCGTCATTTTCAAATTAAATAAATCAGAAACTTTGTGATACCTTCCATACTAATTCTTATCTCCTACGTAGGCTTACTTGTAACTAAGATTCGCAACCATTTAATTTCTTGTCCCTTTCTGTTCACTACAAAGAACTGTCTTACAATATCCCTATAAATTGCAAAAATATCCGTTTGTTATACTTCTATCCCATTCTTTTTTCTTTTTAAATATTTCTACTTTTGTATATAAATTTATTGTTTGGTGGAAATAAAAAGAAGAAATTTTTTTGTTTCCAGTCTTTTCGCGAAAATTTACACAAAAATAATAGGGATTGCGCGATAACAAAGAATATAGAAGCACAAAAACTCTAAATATCCCTCCCTCTCTCCCTTCCATTTATCTTTCAATAAATACAAAAGCTTTTACGGAAAATTTATTTTTAATTGTGGTTATTATTTACTATTTTGTGTCAACTTCTGTCAATCTTTCTCCCTTTTTCAAAACAAAAAAATCATCCGAATCTCTCAATAAAACTATGCCATCTACTAGAAATTTATATTTATTTGCTCTAAATATTAATTAGGAAAATAAAAAAAATTTTTTTATTATCTTCAATTCTGAAAAATAATAATAACTAGAAATAAATAGTTTAAATTTAATGAATTTTGTTTAAATCTGTCACTTCCATTTCTATCACAACATTAAATAAATAATTAATTTAAAAGAAAGCTTTTAATCAAAATTTTATGATCGTTGCCCTTTTTTCTTTAAATAGCGTAAAGTAAAATAACCTTCAAAAATTCTCTTTCTCGCTCTCATTTTAAATTTTTAAAATTTAATTGCTGGGATATTTTCAATAAAAAATTGTTTTTATATATTTTATATATTTAATCTTATTTTTCTAAAATTTGACAAGAAAATTGGGGTTTTTGTGGAAAAAATTTTTTATTTTTGTCTCTTAAAAATTTAATTTTTTATTAACAGAATAATATTTTAAAATTAAAATGATAATCGGTATTCGTACCTCAACGACTTTCTTTGCCTTCATGTAAGTGGTCATAAATTGTGGAAATATTAAATAAAAAATAATTATTATACTTAAATAATTTACTAATTTAAAAATTAAAAAAATTTTTTTAATTTATTTAAAAGTCTCCTCTTCATTGCAATTCCCCTCACTTTTGCTGAAAAACAAAATCGCGCAAAACGCTTTGCTGCATTTGGTTCTTTGGCTACTATTGGGGGAAAAGTTGGATGTGTTGTTTCGGTTATTCTTAATTTAAAAAAAAAATAAAAAAAAATATTTTCTTTAAGCAAAACAAATTATTTATTAACGGACATTTTGTAAAAGATTTGGATGTTGATGAACAGAGTGAATTAAAGGATTATCAAGTATAAATAAAAATATTAAAAATATTAAATAATAACATAAATTAAGGCATCTCTTGATGAATTTAAAACGAAGGTTTAAAAAATAAAAAATAATTAAAATAAATATTTATTATTTTTTATACTAAACAATTTTTGGAGCAACGTCAAAAGCAAGTTAGTGGAGGAAATCAGCAAACAAAAAAGCCTGAACCACCCAAAAAAGTGATATTTATATAACTTTCTATAAAATAATTTTATTTTAGCCAAGTTTCTGTTCAGACAAAGCAACAACCCAATATATTTTTGATGGATGCTCAGTACAAGGAGACAATATTTATATTGGTGATACTTTTGTACGTAAATTAACTGCTGATGAACAACGCGAATTGGAACAATTTGACGCTAAATTTAGTACATACCAAAAGGCTGCCACAGCTGATTTCCGTAAAGTAAGGAAGGAAAGAAAAGAGAGAAAAGATTGTTTTTTAAATTAAATTTAGAAAGTCCAATCAGCATTTGGTGAACATTTTGGATCCTTATTTGGTGGATTTATAGGAGGAGGTGGAAGTGAGGATGAAAAAGAAAATGACAATTCTGGTGGAAGTTCACTTGCAAATTTGGAGGCTCCAAAAGCCCCAAACCTTTGCACTTTAATTATTTAAGGAAATAAAGACTCGAAAAAAATTAAAGAATTAATCTATTAATAATTATATTTTTTTGTTTATTTAAATTAAATTAATAATAATAAAATAGGAAATTATAAACGGAAGTCTTTTATTAAAATTATATTTTTATAAAATTCAAAATAAAATCTGTTAAAAAATTTTAGAAGTACATTTAATATACCGAATTTATTCTAATAGAACTACTGTCTCTAATATAACCACCCCAAATGGATTGGAAAACCAAAGGTGGTTATATTAAAATAAATCCGGAAACTCTAAAATAAAAAATAATCTAATAAACATTTTTTACATAATTAATATCCCCGTTTTATAATAATTTTGTTTAACATTCCGACGTTCTCTATTTCCTTCACATCTACAACAATACATTTTTGTATTTATGAGAGAAGGTTGGCATTCATAATTCTTTAATTATTTAATACGAAAATTTTAAAATTTATTTACATGCCTGAGGGCATTCATCCTTTGTTGTCCCATCACATTCTATAGACCTTCCATCTACCTCATCAATTGCCACTAAAGACCCTTCTCCACAAATATTGTCTTTCTGTTCTTTACTGTCAGAATAAGATCTTGAAGTAGAACGTCTATGAACTACTGGAAAAGGATGACAACAGACATTTAACCCCACTCTGTTGGAAGGTGAACAAACATAACTTGGTGGACATTCAGAAACTTGTCCAAGATTAGAACAATAACGAATATATTGGCCAAGATAAGCTTTATTAAATTTAAATTTATTTTTTAGAAAATACTTATAACACCTGGTATTTGTCCGTTTGAACAAAGCAATTCTGTAGAAGAACTTGTAGATTTACTAATGCCAACATCTGTTGACATTGAAGGTAATGTATTTATACCACAACAAACATACACAGCCGGCTATTATGGAGATGAAAAATTATTTTTTCTAATTTATTTAATCATGAATAGCCCCCCCCCCCCCATAAAATTTTGGAAATTTCTTTCAAAAATATTTCTTTCTTTATAACTTATTAGTTACTAACAACTGAGGATTGCATGCAAGTATAACCATTTGGACAATGATTGTTGTTTTGCCCTGTTGATAATGAAGGTGAAGATATTGTCTGTTGTTGGCGCAATAATCCACCGAATCTATCTGCAGCAGGAGGTGGAGAAGCATTGCTGCTAATTTGTCTAGCCGCGATAGAGCAAAGTCTTGGACTGTTATTCACCATTAAAGTAGAATAAGCTTGGGGGCATTGAATAGGGGAGGCTAGGCGACAACACATAAAAATACCCTCGACAGATGATTGGGCGCATGAAAACCCTTTAATTTTTAAGAAATTTAGGCATTTTAAAATCTAAAATTTAAAATCACCATGTGGACAAGTCATGTCCAATGTGTCTTGACAGAAATGGTGAGCTCCCTGAAATATTATAAATATTTTCAAATAGACTTTTTGACTTATCCAAAACAAAACTTTCTTGTCTGGCAAGAATAACTTCAGTTATTCTATTTATTCACTTTTAAATAATTAAATAACCCGATGGTCTTCATAGGCAGACCAGCCAAGCGGGCATCCTAAATCTTCAATTGGAGGACGAAATGTGGCAGAAGATGAAGATGGTGGTACAAATGGAGGTGGGGGAATATCGGTTTGAGCTTGCGGCATTGGCGCGCCACCCGGCAAAGGAGCATCCATACGACGGCAACAAACATGCATGGCAGGCACATTTGAAAGTGCACATTCGAAACCACTTGGGCATTGACTGTAAAGACTCATAGGATTACATTGGACGGTTTTGCCTGATTAAAAAAAATTTCAAATAAATTCCAAAAAGTTGTACCAAATTCTTGGTGATAAGTTTCTCTTCCATCAGCACAAACAATTGCAGAATTAGGAGGGCCACAACAAACATACAAATTATTTAAAGTATATGAGAGCTGACAAGTATAAGAAGACTGAAAAAGTTTTGATATATACTAACATGGACTAATTTAATTTTACTTTACTACAAGGTGCCCCAGGGCCAGAGCACTGTTCAGGTTGCCCATTTATTTGAAGAAGAGCATGCTGTCCAGGTTGAGGACAAATCCTTCTATAATAAGTTTTTTAGTTAATTAGTACCAAAATTTTTTTCTAAAGATAAAATTAAAAGAAAAATCACCCAGGTTCTCGGCTTTCACAACAAAGATATGTGTTTGCACGATTTTCGGCGAGTAAACAATCAGCATCTGCAGGACACATAGATAGATCAGATGGAGAACAATATATCTACAAAAACTCAATTCATTCAATAATAGCTTATTTAATTACCGGATTTCCACTTCGTAAATCCAAAGAAGAATCAAAACCGGAAGGACAAATAGGTTGTGCAGGCATCGAACAGCAAACAAAAATGCCTGGCTGCCCTATTGCTTCCTCACAGGAATAGCTTTTGGGGCAGTTTGATTGAATTGCTGACGGTGAACAAAACCTTGGACCAGACCCATCACGAAAAAGAACTTGCTTTAATTTAAATTTAAAAATAAAGGGAGGATCTAGAGATTACTTGATTTGGACAAATATATTGTGCATTAACAGCTGGCCGAGCATTTTTTGGTCGTGAACAACAAATACTCTGTTCTGGATCGTTTTTAGACTGTACACATTGATAACCAGGTTTGCACTGGTCTGTAAGTAAAAGTTCGCATAATACATAACCAATTGGTGAACGTTCTGGACTCATTCCGTCTGGACAACGTGGAGAACTTTGTCTAGCTTTTCTACAACAAATCATCATTGCAAAAGCATTCATGGCAGACTGACTATAAATTTTATTTTCAGACTGACTATAATTTTATAAAATTAAAGAAACACCATGAACTTCCAGGCGGACAGTTCTGGCCGGGTAATTCACAAAATAAATTTTGGCCTTGTCTAATAACGGGAATTTGTGATGAACTTGGACATCTAAAGAGTGCTTTAGAGTCTTGATTACGACGTTGATGATCAATCTGTGAAAATTTTCTATTAGTAGATGATGCTGAGAAAGCAATGTGTGGAGTCCGCCTTTCAGAGCAGCAAACACCAAAAGTTGTATATTTGTGGGAAGAAGTCTCTTGCAAAGGTTGACATATAAAACTAAAAAAGCGGATATGAAAATATCCTGTTAATCATAAATATAATAATTATTATACCCTGATCTGCATGGAATTCGCCTATCCAATGTACAACGCCTAAAATAGATTCTAAATTTATCCAAATTATGAAAAAAAAGTTTAGTGCCTGAAAATCTTAACCCTAATGATTAATTTTAAATTATTATATTTTTATTAATTATATGTATTTTCATTAATTATTATTTTATTTTACTCTAGTGAGTTAAAATTATCAAAATTATTTTTGATATTTTACAACTAAACAGTATAATTATTTTATTTTTTATACATAAAGTAAAGCGGTTGGTCCCGTTCCCCAGTGCCTCGTTTATTAGTTGATGTTTTAGCAGAGACGCGCATGTTGCAATCATGTGTGAACTCCGCAGAGTATAGAAATAGGTGAATCGCAGTGGGGGAATATAGGGAGAGCGCTCTTCCCTACAAGGATGGATTGGCCGGCCGGCAACTCTGTTGAATGAATGAAGAAGTGATCTGCCTTTGCCTATTCCATTGGAGCTTATATGCACCAGCTTATTTACCAATCGCTTTCCCAAGGATAAGTTAGTGGCGATAATAAACTTAGATAATAGGCGGCTAATAACTCTCTGGAAATGGCCGTTTGTAATATTCTTTGCACCTTTCTGCAAACTTCCGTTAACTAGAGCGACATTGCTCTTCACGTGTTTTTAGGATGATATCCGCCTTACACCTCTAACCTTCCAATAGACCGTCCCTGGTCGTTAAGATTTGACCACCCTCTACACCTCTAACCTTCCAATGGACCGTCCCTGGTCCTCATTTTATTTTATATTACATGAATCCCTCAGGATTTAAAAATTTTTTTTTAATATTCATTTATTTTTGTTACATGTGAGAGTCCCGCAGGACTTATATTTTGAAACATAATTAATAATCTGCGTAACGTTAATAGAATAAAAATTTTTAAATTTACCGAGATAATGAGGCTTGAGAATATAATTAATATAAGTAAAACTATATGAGAGTAGAATTAGTAAGAATAGTATAAATGATGGGATTCTAACAAAAAATTGCTCCGCAAAATTACTTTGCACCGCCAGAGAAGATCCCAGTGTAATTTCCGGTCTTGAAATTTACTATGGCTGTATGGAAATGAAATAAAATCCCCAAGAATAATGATAAGCCAATTTTTTTTGATTTTCTATTTGAAACTATTTTTCCTGTTTTTTCTAAAATTATTTAACCTCTTCGGAGGATAGGAATACTTTTCATTAAAATTTATATTTTTCTATTTCATTTGAATTAATTATTAATCGATTTAATTGTATTCCTTTTATTTTTTGCTATTTTATAAATTTATATGGCCTCCGCAGAGGTTAGATCACTTTATTTACCCCTTATATTTTCTAAAATTTTCATTTAAATATTAATCTAGTATCAAAATGGGGTTTACTGATTATAAAAAAATAATTTTTTAACATAAATGGCCTCCGCAGAGGATAGATCACTTTAAAATTAACCCCCTTATATATTCTAAAATCTTCATTCAAATATTAATTTCTATTATAAAAATGGGGGACCATGGATTTGGAGCGCTAAAAATATTATTCTTTAAAGTTATTCATTCATCAAAATTAAATTAAACCGCGGATTTTGAGTGCACAATAAAAATTATAAAAATCCATCTTTAAAAATTCCCCGACCTATTCTTAACTCAAATTTTACGGCAAAAGGTGAGGAACCATCCGGTGCTACCAGTAAAGCGGTTGGTCCCGTTCCCCAGTGCCTCGTTTATTAGTTGATGTTTTAGCAGAGACGCGCATGTTGCAATCATTTGTGAACTCCGCAGAGTATAGAAATAGGTGAATCGCAGTGGGGGAATATAGGGAGAGCGCTCTTCCCTACAAGGATGGATTGGCCGGCCGGCAACTCTGTTGAATGAATGAAGAAGTGATCTGCCTTTGCCTATTCCATTGGAGCTTATATGCACCAGCTTATTTACCAATCGCTTTCCCAAGGATAAGTTAGTGGCGATAATAAACTTAGATAATAGGCGGCTAATAACTCTCTGGAAATGGCCGTTTGTAATATTCTTTGCACCTTTCTGCAAACTTCCGTTAACTAGAGCGACATTGCTCTTCACGTGTTTTTAGGATGATATCCGCCTTACAATAATTTGCATATGAAAATTATTTAATGACATTTATACATATGTATGTGTTAGAATAATTACCTCGGATTGCCATCTTCATTTAAATCCATAACATCGTCAATATCAAAACAAGTAATTAAAGGAATATTATTTTTATTATTACTCCTCTTATTTTGTTTCCCTGTTGTGATTTCACCTTTATCTTCTTCCTCCTTTTTATCATAATAATCTACATAATCATTGTCATTTAATTTATCCTCCTCCTCTTCCTCATTAACAACTGGACTACAACAAATAAATTGCTTTGTAATTGGTGAAAGGATACAAGAAGCATGGCCAGGACAATGATTACCGGTGGTCATAGATGGATGACAAAACTATTTTTAAATTTAATTAATAAACAAAACCAGATAAATTTAAACTAATATTTTTACTTACAATATTTAAATGCTCATAAGGTTGCCAGCCGTGTGGACATAAATTTAAATGTCGTTGTCTCTTCCTATAATTTTGATTGACAGATTTACTGGTTCCACTGCAGCATATAGAAATTCCAGAAATGTTGCTAAATGTTGAATTTGTATATATAAAGGTGTATAATGGATGGTTAATTTAAATAATTTTTTCTAATTTTCACTTATCAAATAATAAAAATGTCAATATAACCTGGCTTGACAAAGCATGTCAAGGGGACAGGTGATAGGATTTTGAAGCTATAAAAATATTTAAAATCCTGTTTAAAAATTTTAAAAATTTACGTCACACCGGAGGGGATTCTGCTCATTTGGGAATGGCAAACCAGAGGCAACACATTCAAAACTTTGTGCCATACAACAAATTTTCTGTCCTGTCAACAAACCGCTAAGCGGATCAACCGATTCACGACATTTTGAATCAGCCGGGCATTTCTTTTTAGAAATTGTTTTCATAGAAGACGGCGAACAAAGTTGGACACGATCTTAGAGATATATTAACTTTAATGTTAAGATATTATTTTTAAATTAACATTCGATATCCGAACATCAAATAGAATTCAAGTCCTTACATTGAATCTCTCATTTATATTAAATCACTCAGTATAAAGAAAAGAATCGCCTAAAATTTCTAGAAGAACATGGGGGATTTGTATGTGTACTGTATTTTTTCAAATAATTTCCCACCCTCAAATATTGCAATATTTTGAGGATGAGGTGAATAATTCACCATCAAAGATTATTATTATTTACATTTTCCATGTTTGACCAGGTTCGTTCATCGAGTAATTTCTCACCTTGTTCATCAAATACAGGATGTTCACCCGCCACTGGGCACTCTCCTGGTGGACCACAACATAAATGAGTATGTAAGTTACAACGTCCCATAGGCGGGCAATCGACATCTGATGAGCAATAATCCTCTCTATCGCTTAATTTGTAGATAATCTCGCCTAGAGGGCATTCTTGTTGCAGATTTTTACTTTTAACTGTTGCTTCCTTCATATGTTTTTGAATAGATTGATGGTGGCCTTGATGAAGAATTTTTACATCTTGTAGGTTAAGTTTTTACCTAATTGATTATCCTGTCTACAGCATTGGTAAGAAGCAGTCCAAAAATTAAATCGACAAATAGCCTGATCGGGACACAATAAAGGAGTTATTGGCGAGCAAGAGATAACATTTCCCTTCGAATCAAACGCAGGTATTTCTTCGTGTAAACAGCCTAGATGTGTAAAATAGATCAAATTTATACACATATCTACCATTATCTGCTTCACAACATTGGAAACGATCAATGTCGAAACTCCACTCACATATTCCATTCCCAGGACATTCAGCTGTACCAGGTAGACAAAGCAATGTGCTACCATTTAAATGTTTAAGAGCCCTTTGTCCCGTACCACATCCATCACTGGGGTCTTTACCACAACAGCGAAACTGTTCAGTATTTATTGAATCTTGATAGCATAGCGCACCACCTGGACAACTTCCTGGTTTTATCGGCGAACAATTGAGCAAATCGCCATTTCTATTGCGTAATTGTCGAGTTCCTCTTTTAAAATATTCAAAATAATTTATCGGCATAGTTTCCTACTTTGGACATCCGATTGGAGGCACTTCCTGATTCAATGGAAAAATACAACAACTTTTAATTTTAGTTAAGCATTTAGCCGGTGGAAGACAATCTAAATCATGTAAACAAATCCGCGGCTGACCATTAACTGTTAATATTAAAGTTAAATTGATTCTCTTTTTAATGTCACCATCGGTTTGCTGGTGACTTAAAAATTTTTTTTTCAAACTTATAGAAAGTTAAAAAAAACAAAGTTAAAATTAACTCATTTGGAAACGTCCTTCTGGTTCGCAACTTTCTGTAAGGTTTATATTCAATAGAAAACAAGTCAAGAAGGATTTAATAATCAAAGTAGAAATAATATAAAATAAAAAGTAAAAGTGATTATTATAAGAATTATAAATTCGCAATAGCATTGCTTAATTCCATCGAATTATCCCTGCTAAATTTTCATCAGCAGCCATTCTTTATGTTAGCAATCATTCAAATAAAGAATTTTATTTAATCTATTTTTTATTTGAAAAAAAAATTATTAAAGACTTTGTTTAGAAATAGAAGGACTGCGCAAGAATAGCAAGATCTTTAAAATTTAGATAGTAGAGATGTGCAAATGAATGAGGGATAAACAAACGGAGACTGGCCCTAAACTGGCCCCCTCTTGAGTGCCCCTAACTCAAATTTGTGTTGGTAGTTTTCTTTGCTAATTCCCTCTTAAATTAACGAAAGAAGTGGACGGCAACTGACCATCCATCTAATACTTGTATTTGTTCTGTTAATAATTTTTGAATAGCAATTTTTCCATGTTATAAAATAAAAAGGGAAAACAAAGTGCATAATCAGTATAAAGAAGCAAATAATAGCAGAAGTTTCACTAATTTAAAGATAATTTTTGTTGGAAATATTTTAGTAATAAATACATATCAGGTATATATCCGGATACAGACGGATATGGATAATGTTTTTTGATGGATACGGATGAGCACGGATATGATATTCCAAATCCACGGATATCCATCTCAAAATTTTCGCCTCGACACGAAAAATAAGTTCACTTTAATCTATTCAAATCCCACGATATCCTCTTAATCACCATTATCAGACAGTAGCACATAATTGCACCCAAACGGGTGGCACTGAACTGGCTTTATGCAATTTTTAAAAAATGGGTACAGCCCAAGTGGCTCCGGTACAAAATATGGAATCGTTAAAATATGGAATGGTTAAAATCGCGAATAGGCTAAAAAGGGGTTAAAATACCGAATCGTTAAAATATGGAAACGTTAAAATATCGAATCGGGTAAAAAAGGGTTAAAATATGGAATCGTTAAAATATGGAATGGTAAAAATGTCGACACGGCCAAAATCTGTCAAAATGTCGAATTCTTTTAAAAAAGGGTCAGATGAGTGCCATACGTTGATTGTAGATGATTTTATCAACTTATTAATGATAAGTTGATTGATAAGTCTCTTATGTCGTAGTCCGGCGCAATCTTTTCTGCCAGAGTTCATTGTATTTTACCGAGTAAAACCGGACCGGATAAATCAAGCATAATCGACCGGATCCGATCCGGCATGATCGTACGGATCCGGAAAACATAACGCGATCCTGATATGGAAAAATTAGAGTGGTGTGCATTAGTTTTTAGTTAAGACCTAAAGTTTGACCATACCGTATACGGTACGAAATACCGAAAAATACCGATCAGCTTTTAAATTTTATCGGTCGGATTCCGTACCGTACTACCGACACGGAATATCGAAAAATACCATCGGTAACACCCGGTAACGCCCGGATTCTAGTTTTGGCGCCATTTTTAAAAAATTCGACATTTTGATCGATTTTGGCCGTGTCGACATTTTTACCATTCCATATTTTAACGATTCCATATTTTAACCCTTTTTTAGCCTATTCGATATTTTAACCATTCCATATTTTAACGATTCGGTATTTTAACCCCTTTTTCGCCTATTCGCGATTTTAACCCATTTTTACCCGATTCGAGATTTTAACCCTTTTTTAGCCTATTCCATATTTTAACGATTCGATATTTTGTCCGGACACGGCCCAAGTAGACGCGCGGCCAAGTAGGCGCAAAGCCATAACCTGCTTCAAGATAAACAAATCTTGCCAAATTTAGTATTAAACGATTCCTCTCATCGAGATAAAGAGATTGGTCCAAAATTATTAAGGTTCGGAAATTTTCCAGCTAGTTATGGCTTTGCGCCTACATGGCCGCGCGCCTACTTGGGCGTGTCCCTTAAAAAATGACGATCCTTTACGTTTTTACCCGTGGCGATCCTTTGATGGACGATCTTTAATGAGTGACCCTTTAATACTTTTTGCCCGTGACGATCCTTTAACAGGGCGATCCTTAAAAAAACGATCCTTTGTATAGGAGCCTTAATTTTTCCCCGTTGTGAGATGGTTAGATTTCCCGTTTAACCTGCCGTGTCGAATTAAGTACATTAAATTACATGAAGCAATTTTTATCATATATAAATTAACAACCTTTAGGAATTTTAATAATGGCAACCTTGACTGCATCGCAGGCTACTTATTTTTCTGACGGATCTTCTACAAATCCAGATGTTGGCTTTCAGCGACCTAAAAAGCGCTCACGTATAAATGGGTAGGAGTTTTCTTTTTCTTATCAAAAAATGACATTTATTTAGACTTAGTGAACGCCCGCTTAAACGAATAACTAGATCTCAACTGACGAAACAACACACTACTGCCGAAAAAGTGCCTTCTGAAAAATCCACTACGTCCGTCCATTCGTCACAACAAGGCGGTACTCATCAGACCGGTCCTAAACGTGGAGCGCCTCGGGGCAAACCGAAACCTACTTCAACTAGATTTAAGCCAAAAGCTAAAACTACAAAAGGTTTTCTTTTAATTTTTTAAATTTATTTTGAGAAAAAGCACTTGTGTCTTTATTTTTCTGTTGTTTAGATCCCTGGTAGTTACCTTTCTCGGTCTTGTGTTATTTTGAGAATATTAAAATTTTATTATTTTTCCTATTTGCTTTTTTGAGATTTCTTGCCTTGGGTATTTTAGGCGCCTGTTTGGCATTCCACTTTTCTATAAATCCGCAGTCTAATTTTATTTAACAAAACAAACAACTTTCTGTTATCCTTAAATATTTTAGGTTCGAAGAAGCCCAATATTTTAAAAAACAACAATAAATCAAGCTACCATAGATGCCTTGAATGTTCTTATGTAGTTAAATCATTCAAAGTTCATTTTGGTTTAACAAAACGGTAAATTTTTCTTTTAGTATTTTACTATATGCTAATTAATATTATTGGTTATTCTAGAAAGTTTTTAAATCTAGTAATCTTTATACACAAACTAAACTTTCGGCTCTTGTCCAGTTTATGCGTCCCATGAAAGTATATGCGTCCCATCAACAAAAAATTGGATTTTTCTTGGTGTTGCAAAGTAGGGGTATGGTTCCAAAGCATTTCTTCATGTTCGGGATCTACGTCCACTGGGTCTGGGACCGTTCCTTACCCTATACCTCGAAATTTCTGAAAGTTATAGCCAATTTTTAAAAATTTCAGAAAAACGATTTTAACTTTCAGAAATTTCGAGGTATAGGGTAAGGAACGGTCCCAGACCCAGTGGACGTAGATCCCGAACATGAAGAAATGCTTTGGAACCATACCCCTACTTTGCAACACCAAGAAAAATCCAATTTTTTGTTGATGGGACGCATATACTTTCATGGGACGCATAAACTGGACAAAAGCAGGCCCGTAGCCAGGGGGGGGGTGAGGGGGGAATTCCCCCCCCCCCCCCGAAATGGGAAAAAGGAAAAAATTTGGGGAAGGGCTGGGGCAAAAAAAGTGAATTTTTTCGGCCTACGGCCTCTGAAATTTAAAAAATTTTCGCCTGCGGCGCTAAAAAAGGTAGAAATCTGGCTTCTTAAGGTCCAAAATCCAAAAAATTTTCGCCTGCGGCGCTGAAAATCAAAATTTTGGCGCCTGCGGCGCCGAAAGAGTGAATTTTTTTGGCCTACGGCCTTCTAAAATTCAAAAAATTTTCGCCTGCGGCGCTGAAAATAAAAATTTTTGGCGCCTTCGGCGCCAAAAATTTGGCGCAAAAAATTCCCCCCCCCCCCCCCCCCCCGAAAAAAAATCCTGGCTACGGGCCTGGACAAAAGCCAAACTTTCTTTTACCTCTTTTCCTTTTTTTACACAAAAAAAGTTTTTTTGGGTTAATTTTTATTTTGATTAATAAGAATTTAGACCAGGGTTCTCATCGACAAAATGCCCATCAAAAGTATCAAAATCTTGATTAAAAAGTAGATATGGACTAAATTTCCATATAAAAAGTATACTCAAAATTAAAAAAATCCCCCCTCCCCGAAAAAAATCCTGGTTACGACCCTGAATTAGACTAATATTTCTTTAATAATTTTTATTTGAAGGCGTCCTTGGTTTACTTGTAATCAATGTAAATTCAAGACAAAATGTAAATGGTTATCTGATCGACATAATTTGCTTTCTTCTTACAATGTCACAAATGTTGTTAGACGTCCATTTGGAAGACTTCAAAAACCTTCATCTTCAACTAAATTACTTCATTGCTCTTCTTGTAAAGTATTCAGCTCAATCTCTTTTCAAGAATTACTTGAACATTTATCAATGTGCAAAGGATCTCAAATGTTTACGACTAAATCAGAAACTGAAATTACTAAAGAAGAATTGGATGAAGTAGAACTTTTTGGTTCAATTAGTTTATCTGGAGAAAATATTAAATTGAAAAATGATCTTGAAACTGTTGAAGGGCAGAAAGAAGGTATATAAATTATTGAGAAATTTTAAGGCTGAACGATATTTGGAATTTTTCTAAAATCTGATACAAATAGTGTCGTAGTAAAAACCAGGGGTGGGCGCAAGAGACAATCGGGACCAATTAATAATTGAAGTAACACTAAATGTTAGCGAATGCCGAACCGATTTTGTGATTCAAGGGTTTGGATCGATACTGATTTTGAGAGATACCTGGGGGATTACAGAGGACATAAGGGGATTTGGTGGGATTAATGGAATTGGTCGTTTCTAAATTAATTTTCTTTTTTAGGAAATTCAGAAACAAAGGATGAAATTAAAGAATATTTTTCTCACTTTCTTCCTTTATCTCGTCTCAATAACATTAATCCAATAATGGTCAAGCATTTTTATGAAAATGAAAATAAAAATGATGAGGGGAATGGTGACGATAAATTAAAGAAAATTAAGTAAGGAAAATATTTTTATTTTTTCTTTAAAATTATTTTTTAAGGTTGGCTTTAATTGGCGAAGAAAAAATGAAAAAGCTTTATTGATATAAAAAATATACTTTTAAATTATATAAATATACAAATACCGATTTTACTTTAAACGATTTTTTGCTTTTAAATACTTATCAAACAAAAACGGGATAAATAAATATTTTTAGTTTTTCTTTTATTTTTAAAACTTGAGAATTTAAAAAAATATATTTAACTTAAATATAAACAGAAAATGAAATTGTTTTCTTCAAGACTTACACCTTCTAGCAGGGGTGTGCGAGTTTCGCCTTTTTTGGACTTTCGCCTTTCGCTTTTTAAAATCACTTTCGGCACACCCCTGCCTTCTAACATTTTAAATTTAATTTTAAGCCTAGCACAATTAATTATAAAACTCATTTTTAAGTCTCTTGTCATCAAAACTTCAATTTTCTTTTGTGAATATTTTAAATAAGATCCCTCAATACTGTTTTTATGTTTGTATTTTTATTTCATTTCAAACAGGCTTTTTATTCTCACATAAAAATCTTTTCATTTTTATTTCCTTGATCATTTTATTATTCTACCTCCATTGAAAATTCCCTGCTTATATCCTCAATCCCTTTATTTATTCAAGCTATTGCCTACGAGCGAAGAATTGACCGTCAATATATTCCTAAATTTCTTTTCGTTTGATTTAATTGTCGATATACATACATAGAATTACATTATTATTTTTATTAAATTTTGGAAATTTTTAATTAGTAACTTTCCAAAAGCCAAATTATTCGAGGATTACGCTTTAAATATTATAATTTTTGCGTATTTGTGTGGTTATTTTGGTCCTTTGTCTGTCTAATATAGACACCTGATTGTCCAAAGTTTTTGTATACCTTTTTTTAACTTTTGTTTCTAGCTCTTAAGGATATATGTATGTAAGACTAAATAGGTAAAATTAACCGGTTGTTGGGTGATATATTTCTAATTAAAATGTTTGCATGCTGAGATTTCTAAAGAAAATTTTTATTCACGATTAAAATCTACATATTCTAAACATTGTCAACGATTAAAATTTTCGCAACAAGGAACGTGTTGTGGCCGTATTGCCTATTGTTCTGGCTTTGTGTGGTTTGATTTATGTGATTACTGGTTTGGCTTTGTCGCACTTTTGCGCAACATCGCGTAATATCCATCTGCATTATAACTGTCCTATGGATTTTTGATTTATTTATTTTGTTTATATTTCTTGACATTAATGTGGTAATTAAGTTATTTTTATTTTGGCTTCTTTAAAGAATTTTCTTTTATTATTTTAATGGTTTAAAATCCAAAATAAGAACGATAATCTAACAATTGAGACAAGAGTAACTTAACATAGTTCCCGAATGAAGAAGTATTGAACTAACTCCGGGAATAATTTAAGAAGCTAGGTTGCTTATTACATGACTTAATTTTTCTCTACATTGTTTATTTTTATTATGAAGTTTCATCTCTTTCCTTATTTAATCGAGAGAATAAACATTACTTGAGTATAAATTGACAGATTTTCGGATGCAAAAAGAAGAAGGACCTATTGAATATCTTGGATTTTTAAGGACTTTTCGTTTTAGGTACGTAAATACATCTTTATTATTTACTTCAACCGCAATAAGTCTATTAAAATATAAAGAAAAACTTTCACTTATTGGCCTTGGATTCGCTTATTTTCCCTTTTTTCTTCTTTGATTACTCTAATTTGGACATTTGTATATCGGTTGACTGACTACTTAAAAGCATTAATTTATAAACATTTTCTAGGTTGAGTTAGTTAAGGACCGGTTCCTTCACATAGCATGCCCCCAAGGTATTTTGAGTGGCTCCAGTAAAAGGCTAAAAGAGAGCGAAAGTATTTTTTATATTCTATTGCTTATTTGGCCTATCTACCTTTCATTGATGCGCGCAATAGGGGGTTGTTGATTGGGGGATGTATGTACATATTTGATTGTTTCATCAATTACTGATTTTAACTGAAAACAATGTTTTTCTTTTTTGATCATTTTTATCTCTAGCTATAACTTTTTACATTAAATGTTCCGTTTTTTGATTTTAATTTTTCAATACAATTAGCCCTGCAACAATAACACAAATTAAAATATTATTTTAACCTTCCTCTCGTATATCAAAGTTCTTTATATAATGATGGATCCAAACCGAAGATTTATCAGATCCATTCCTCTAACTTACATAACCTTCCTCAAATTCCTCTAAAATTTTATTCATTGTGCGAATTTGATAGAAATGGCCAAAACCATACATAGTTAAATAGGAAAGAGTACATACCTTTCTTCTTCTACAATCATTTATTTAATCAAACAAAAAATTTGTTTAAATATCAGATAATAATTCCTTTTAATTTTTATTTTCATTAATAAGTTAGCCGTTCCATCAGTTATTATTTTCGCTGTTCCAGTAAAATTGTTTAACAATTTTTTTTAAACAATACTTTTTTCTTCTACAAAAAATATATACATATATCGTTAATTAATAAATATAATTAACACAACAAATAAAAACAACAAAAAAATGAAATTCATTCAAGTTTCTGAATTACTCCTTTCTTCCAATTTATTTTTAAAAAAATAAATATGAATAATATTCCATCTATTCCTCAAGTTGGAAATGTTGAGGGAAAAATTAAAAATAAAATATCGAGAAATAAAGCTTGTAGCGATGAAACTTTATTTGTTGGAATATTAAATGCTGTTTTTAGGAAATTTGGCCAGGTGAGTACTTGATTGATTTAGTACTTGATCTTTTTGTATAACGGAAATAGTCTCTATTTTTAAAAATTAAAATATTTCTAATACACTCTCTAATAAATATTTTAAGATAATTTCAATTCATCCTTGGCTTTTTATTGGGGCAAGTCTTTTGCTGACAATTTTTTGTTCTTTAAAAATTCCTTTTACGAAAATGACGTAAATTTAAATTTAAAAATTATTTATTCTAATTATTTTTTAGAAATGATGTTGCTGATTTTACTCCTTATGGGGCTAGAGCAAGAAAAGAAAGTGGGGTAGGGCTTAAACAAAGAAATTTTTAATTCTAGTTATATTAAAATTTAAAAGGTTTATGAAGCATTTTTCTCAAATAAAGGAGATCCGGTTGTTCTTTTTGTTTTAATTACTGCTAAAAGGAAAGGAGGCAATATGTTGGGTGTTCATGAATTAGAAGATACTGTCCAAGTAAATAAATTGTAGTAAAATTAATTTTGAGATTATGCCCACCTGTTAACTTTTATTTGTTATAACGAGGACTACTCCTAAATTACACCCCGTTTTCTCCCCGTAAATTTTAATTCACATATAAATTTAGCAGTACAGGTAATATTAATTTAATAATAAATATTTTTTCTCATGTCCAAACTTTTATTTTGTAAAGATTTTTTAAATATAAAAATTTTTTAAATTAAATTTTAGTTATTAAACATTATTAACGATCAATACAAAGTTGAAGATATTCAAAAAAATAATAATCTCTCATTTTCCGATTTTTGTGATAATTTCTGTACAATAAATGAACCTGTTAGACATTTTCATGTTTGTCTAAATATAAATATTATTTTTTAAAATTAATTTTAGAGCGGTTTACTTTTGGAAAGAAATTTTGGCAATTCTTCATTAGATCACATTGATTTAGGTTATCCAATAACAACAGTTTTAGGCAGACAATTACATATGGACCCACATTTTTTTGGTGTTAAAATTGCTGTTCCTTTTAACAAAACAAATAAAAATAATTCTGAAATAAATAATCAAATAATTTCTGTTAATGAATTAAAAAGTAAAATTTAAAATATAATATTTTTTTAAAAAAAAAATATTATTATTTTCTAGATAATTCTTTTAAAAATGTGTTAAAATCTTCATTTCATTATTCATTATTAACTTCAAATGTAAGTTTTATTTTTAAATTAGTTTTTTTGGAAACTAGTACCCAAATTCTTGTGAGCAAGTACGAGAGAAATGTGGAATTTTTAAATTCCCATACAGTGGTATTTATATTAAGGGAAAGAGAAATTTGAATTTTTAAGGCGTTGACTATTTTTTTGAAAAATTTTTTCTTCGAAAATCGTAAAAATTAATTTAAATCTTATGCATACTCCAAAATATAAATATTAAATTTATCTCTAATTCAATAAATACCTACATAATATTTTGTTTTATCCATATTCTAAAGAATCATATTTAAAATAATTATTTCTTTCTCTTAAAGTTTTCACAAATTCCTAACAATATCAGAGAAATTAAATTAATTTGTTTATATTTTCGCGCTGTTAGGCCTAAAGGTGTTTCTAAAGAAGCAATGCAAAATTGGCAGGTTTTGATAAAAGGAAATAATAATTTAATTTAAAAATTTCAGAGACAAATTTCCCATTTTGTTCGAAAGTTAGACTTAAATTAAAAATTATTTTTAAAATTAATTTTTAGTGAATTTAAAAGTGATTTTGTTGATGCCCATATTTTAAGTGAAACAATATTAACAGATGAAGTAGTTCGTGCTGGATTAACACTTTTACCTTTTTTAATTATTGGATTTGTAATTATGGTTATGTTAGTTTTTTTTTGTTGAATTTAAATTTAAAAAATAATTTAAAAAAAAGATTTTCTTCAATTACAATGAGTGCAGCTGCTTATTATATGGGGCAATTGGGGGCACACAAAGTGAAAATTAAAAGAAATTTTAATTTTAAATGTTTTTAAAAGATTTTATTAGCAATTGTTGCCTGTTGTTGTCCTTTTATGGCTTGTGGAACAGCTTTAGGGGGAATGTTTTGGTTTGGATTTCGTTTTGGTTCTCTTTTATGTGTTACTCCTTTTTTGGTTTTGGCATTGGGAGTTGATGGTAAGTAAATAAAGAATTTTGTTTAATTTTCGAAGAAAAAAAATTTAAATAAAAATTTCGAGTTTTTAAATTGTGTTGGGATAGAGAATTACTGTAATTAAAATATTAATCAAGCTTTGAGTGATAATTTAAAAAATAATTATCTTCTACATCCAATATTCAGCTAATTAATCCAATGATTTCAAAATATGTAAATTCTTCATTTTCTTGAAGGAATTTTACTTTTAAATAAAAAAAAATATTTTTTAAATTTATTTTTGTATATTTAGATGCCTATTTATTGCTTAATTCTTGGCAACGTTTAAGAAAAAAGTTTTTAATATTTTTACTTCTTAAATAATTTTTTTAATTTAAAAGAATGGAGAAAAATATTAAAAAACAATTGGAAATAAATTTATTAGAAGAAAAAGAGGAAAATAATTTTGAGAAAGAAAAGGAGGAGGAACAAAAATTAATTCAAAAATTAATGGGGGATGTTATGGTTGATACGGGTAAATTTAAATATTTTTTTATTTAAAAATATTTATTTTTAGGGGCTTCAATTACAATAACTGTAAAGTTTAATTAACTTAAGTAATTAATTTTTTTAAAATTAGACATTAACTAATGTACTTGCTTTTGCCATTGGAGCTTTTACTCCCACACCTGAGGTGTTTTTGATAATAATTACAAGTTGGGGTTTTGGGGGCTGTTTTAATTATCAATTAAATTTTGGGTACAAGGATTCTTTGGTGTTGTATAAATCTTCTGAGGCTGAAATTTTGTATCCGTTTTCTAGTCGGGCCTCATTTTTTCGAGTTATTTTTTTCGGGCCTCAATTTTATCGGGCCGGCCCGACCGAGTCTTTTTCGGGCCAAAATTTGATACCAACTCAGTCTTTCGGACTGGGCCGGCAACCTTAATGTTCAGAGATAAGCCAAACTCTACTAAAAATAATTAAATATAAATTTATAAAAAATTTCAGATTCGTCTTTTCTCGATTGGAAATGCTATAGCTATAACAATTGTTTACATTTATCAAGTTTTTACATTTTATTTTCTTAATAAAAAAAATAATTTTTTAGTGGACAGTTTTTGGTCCAGCAATAGCTTTATTTGGATATAAAGAATTAAATAAAATATTAATAGAAATTAAAAAGAAAATTAAAAAACAAAAAATAATTAATAATAATTTAAATTCTTTATCTATTTCTTCTTCTTTTTCTTCGTTTTCATCAGAAACAGATAGCGGAATTAATGTTAAAGAAGAAGAATATTTTGATGAAGATATTAAAATATCCGAGAATAATAAAAGAAAAACAATTAAAAAAAGAAAAGAAGGAATGGCTAAAATTTTAAGAAGATTAATTCAAAAATATTGTAAAAGGTAAGGAGGGGGAGAGGGAGGAAAAGAGGGGGGGGAGGAGAGGGGGGGAGGAGGGGGTATTTAATTCAAATAATATTTTACATATCTTTGAATTATTTCCAATAAGTCTCTAATTATATACAATATTCTAATTTATAAGATCACCCATCTTCCAATAATTCTGTGAATATTCATTGAATATTATTGAAATCTTTGCTTAAATTACCGTATTTACTTGATTAATTCCCTACCCTTGAATAATCCCCCACCGTCGATTAATTTCTCATGCTAGGGGTAGGTTGAACCATTGATCCTCCCGGGGAACTAATCGAGTAGATACGGTATGCTTATCAAAAAATGAATAAATTCTAATGTCAAATTAAAGAATCCAAAAATATTCATAATTTTAAATCCAATAAAACAGTAATATTTAATAAAAAAAATCTTTTTATTTTATTTTTAGATTTCTTCGTTTTTATTGTCATTCATTAAATAATAATTGTGTGGCTTTTGGAGTTTTTTTACTTTTATTTTTATATGTTTGTATTTCTCTTTATGGATTATTTGGAATTCGCGCAGAACTAAAACCAGAACAATTATTTTTACGTTCTTCTGACATTCAGGAAATTTTACGAATTAGAGATTTGTATATTATGCCTTTTTATGCTGTGAGTTTAAAAAATATTTAAATTTTATTTGAATTTGTTTTCCTTCCCTCCTCTTTTTTTTGTTTGGAGAATATTGTAAAGCATTTAGCTATTTAATTCCTAAAGCTGTGCATTAAGCGGCTTTGCGTAATGGAAATCATCAGTCCGGTCTACTGAAGATGCTGGTTTGCTCCCAGCCGCCGATTAACCTCTTGCACTAGCTTAAGGAGAGAAATAGCTATAGCCCTGCTCATGACAGCTTTTTACTATAATACAATCTTCTTTTTTTAGAGTTTTCCTTGTTTCCTATTTAAATATTTAATTTAAAAAATCCTTCTTCTTCAAGGTTTGCCTCGTTTTTGTCAATCGTCCAGGTAATTTTTCTGAGCCAACTCAACGAATGAAATGGCATTCTTTGGTTGCTGATTTTGAAGCTTTACCTTCTTCTGTTGGAAGTTTTTCAACAAAATTTTGGTTAAGAGATTATGAACAATTTGTGGAATCTGATAATAATGATGAGTCTGCGCCTTTGGATGATTTAGTTTCTTTTGAAGGAATTACTCCCGATGAAAGGTGTTTTTCGATATTCTTTAGTGATTCCTTAAATTAAATTAAAAATTTGGGAGAATTTAGTTATATGGATAATTTATAGGCATTCCCGAAGAATCTAAATTCCGTGTCAGAGCGGGGGGAGAAAGATATTCCCAAAATTTATTTATACCACAGATAGAAATTTTTCAAAAATTCTTTAATCTTTTTAAAAAATAAAAATTTTCTAATTTTAGACGTAAAAACGAATTAACAGAATTTTTGGAATGGCCAGAATTTCAATTTTGGAATGGATTTATTCAACTTATTCGTCCATTTAATTCTTCTTCAGAACCACAATTAAAAAGATTTTTCTTCAGTACAGCCTCTTTTGGAGAAGAATTAAAAGAATGGTCGAAAAGAGAGGAATTACTTGAACATTGGAGAAGAGTTGCTGATTCTGTGAGAAATTTTGAATTTTTTATTAACCGACAATAATTTGTCAAAATTCTCTCTCTCTCTTCTCTCGCCAATTAATTTCTTATTTTTTTAGTATCCAGAATTGGAAGTTAGTGTTTTTGAAGATGAAGCCAAATTTCTTGATTTAATACCTACAATGGTGTGTATTTTTTAAATTTCTTTTAAATAATTTTAAAAAAATACAAAAAGATCCCTCAAACATTACAATCAACAATTTGTACATTAATTTGTATGTTTTTTGTTTGCCTTCTTTTTATGAAAAATATTCCTTCTTTGGCCATTTCTAATTTTGCCATATTTTTTACCTGTATTGGTAAATAAATTTAATATATAGATTAAATAATTAATTTAAAAAAAAGGTGTTTTTGGTATTCAATCATTAATGGGTACTGCACTTGATCCTATTTTTATGAGGTAAAATAATACTTAAAAAATGTATGATTTTTATAAAAAAATTTCTTTTTTTAATTTTCAAGTGCCGCAATAATGTCTATTGGATTTTCTGTAGATATACCTGCACATATTGTTTATCATTTTTATAAAACTGGCGTTTCTGAAGGAAACGAAAATAAATTGATAAAAAATGTTGAAGAACGTTTACTTGATTGTTTGGCTTCGATTGCCTTTCCAATTCTTGAGGCGGGACTTTCTACTTTGATTTGTGTTAGCTCTCTGTTTTTAGTTGATTTGGTAGGATTTTTTCTTTAATTTATTTCTTTGGGGGAAATACATAGAAAGATTAGAAAGAGAATGTCATCATTAAATTTTTAAAATACTATATACTAATTTTATAGGAATGCCCGTTTAGAGGGTATTTTAAATTTTGAGTAAATCTTGACTACTAAGTATATCCTAGTTTTATTATTTCCATTAATATTCATTTTATGTTTAAAATTATTTTTTAGCATATGGCCCGTGTCTTTGCCCGTACAATGACACTTGTTGTGATTATTGGACTTTTACAAGGTCTTTTAGTTATTCCAACAATGCTTTGCCAATTTTCCCGACAAAAATCTTTACAAAACAATGAAAATATTAATAATAATAATAATGTTGCTCCAATAGTTCTTGCTGTCAATGAATAGATTTTAGAAAAGAATTAGAAAGCAGATAGTACAACTATGTTTATGCATAGAAGAATACGGGTTAAATCAGAATTCATATTACAAAAATTTTTCTGAATTCTGATTAGTAAATTACTTTTTGTATACTGTGTTGTTAATAAAATTTTTTAAATTTGGACAATTACTTTTAATAAAATTGTTGGTAAAATATCCCCGCAAACTTTCAAAAATTTATTTTAGTCAAAAATATCGTCTTTAATTAAATTTAAAAATAAACAATAATTACTTAATAATTTACACAATACACAAATAAATATATTTCGAGGAAATACATACATAATATACAACAATAAGATGGATGAGTTTGTTTAGACTATTACATATCAACAATTATTACATATCAACGGAAAATAAATTATTTGAGGATAAACAATTGCAATAGATTGGACTGGAAGGAAAATAATCAACAGTCAGTTCTTCTTAGCAATTACAACAACCAATCATCTGAACGATCTCAGGACATTTCAGCCTCTTGATGGAGAGCTTTTGAATGCCGGTTCGAAGCGTTTGAACGAGACACCAAGATCAACAGCCACACGAACGATCGCTCCCGAATTGTCATACCTTAAAAACGAAAACTTTTTCAAAATTTTTCACAAATTTCCTTACATCCCACAGTAATGTGGCGCCGAAAAGAGCGTTATCAGTCCTGAATCTGGGGTTCCGTTGAAGAACTCGTGACCATCTAGCACAACCTAAATGTAAATAAAAAAGATTATTCAACAGAGTCCAATATTTATGACCTGATGTGCTCTAATTATCAGGTCAACCCCGAAGCGCGTTCGAATTCTGTCAATTACTTCTTGCCCAAAAATGTGTCCAACGCCACGACGATTAGCAGCAAATAGTGGAACGTTCACATCTGGGTCAGCCCACAGCAGATCGACGGCCATTTGATTGTTGGCAGGATTGATTAGTGAATCCTTGAAGGGAAATATAAGATTAAAAAAGACTATTTTTCTTACAGGTAATGGCCGTTCGATAGCGTCAATGACTCTGAGATTTTTTGCCTCAAGCATAGGAGGGCTCAGACCGCCGTGCATACAAAGGATCCTTCCAGAGATGAGAGCAGCCAAAGGCATGCAGTCGAAGACTTTGTTGAAAGCATCGTAGAGCTGATCATTTCTATAGAGATCCAAGACGTTTTTATAGAAGCCGTAGGATTTGTTGATTGAGGAAGTCTCGTGATTTCCGCGAAGCATGTAGAAATTTTTCGGGTAGCGCACCTTAAAATAAACATTGGTTAGATACCGTATTATTAAAAAGGTATTCAAAAAACAGGCCTTGCATGCAAACATGAACAAGATCAGCTCCATTGATTGTGCCCCTCGATCCACATAATCTCCTAGGAAGAGATAGCTGCGACAGTGTGGAAATCCCTCTGAATCCATAATCCGCATCAAGTCATTGAATTGCCCGTGAAGGTCCCCGCAAATGTTGACTGGCGTGCCGAGTTTAAGAAGCATAGGCTGCAAGATGAAGCATCTTCTGACCTCGTTCAGTAGACGAATGACATCCTAGAATTTTGAGAAGAATTATTTAACAAAAGGACTGAAAATATGTTAAACTTACATCTGCAGGGACGTGCTCTGCGAGTTTTCCCTCGGTAATGCCGACGAATAACTTTTCGAGGAACCTGCTGACATCGAATTTGGCTCGCACCGACATTGGACGTTGATGAGTGGAATATCAAATGTGTCAGACAGCAAGCACAGCGGGTAAACGCCGAGAGCAGTTTAGAATGGAGGATAAACTAAAATTTTGTAGATCTTTTATAGTAAAAAATTTGGAGATTATAAAGCGATGTCCTCCCCGGTAAAAATGAAAAAACGAAAATGAAATGGACAGAATGCCCCAGCTGAGTCCCGCCGAAAAAAGTGAGTATTTTTACTCTGTTGGACATTTTGAAAAGGGACGAATCCGAGGGGGACGAATCGTCGGTTTTTGTGCATTGTGACGAATCCGAGGTGTGACGAATCTGCGCGGGACGAATCCGAGGTGGGACGACCGAGGTGGGACGAATCCGCAAGGGACGAATCCGAGATGGGACGAATCTGCGAGGGACGAATCCGAGGTGGGACAAATCTGCGAGGGACGAATCCGAGATGGGATGAATCCGTAAGGGACGAATCCGAGGTGGGACAAATCTGCGAGGGACGAATCCGAGATGGGATGAATCCGTAAGGGACGAATCCAAGATGGGACGAATCTGCAAGGGACGAATCCGCAACGCACCACCCGGCAAAATGCCCCCTGAACAAAAACTCACAACATCAAAAATGTCCCTTCTCAAAATGTTCAACAGAGTAAAAATATTCAATTCGTCGAACTCTAAATTAAAAATGTGATAATCTTGATAAAAACGGTTAGACACGATTCCGTGCCACCAGATTCCGTGCGTTATGGCCGCGCGTTGTTTTGGGCGTGTCCCCTTTTGCTTTACATTATAAAATATTTTTCAGATATTTTTAATTTAATTAATTTATTTAATTAATTAATGGCGCAGCTTTTACAAAAATCTGAAGTAATTCCAAATGATTTTCAACAAATTGCTTTTAATGTAAGTTTAATTAATTTATTTATTTTTGCATGTTTTAGTTAAATTTAAATGACACAAATAATGACCAATCTTCACTTTCTTCTTCATCATCACTTAATTCAAATGACGATCAAAATTCTTCTAAAAATAGAGGAGAGGAGGAAGATGAAGTGACCGAAATTTCATTGCATGATTTTTGTCGACATAAAGGAGAGGAAAGGTCTGGACCTGATCAATTTGAATTGTTGCGTGTTCTCGGACAGGGTTCTTTCGGGAAAGTTTTTTTGGTTAAAAAGAATTGTGGAATGGATAATGGGCAGTTATATGCAATGAAAGTTTTGAAGAAGGCTACTCTTAAAGGTATGAAATAATTTAGAAATTTAGAGGGCATTTTGATGAGATTAAGTTTTTCTCTAGGTATTATTTTTCGTTAATTTATATTGTGTAATTTTTTCACTAAATTAATTAACATTTTTTAGTTCGTGATCGTCTTCGCACAAAAATGGAACGTGACATTCTTGCCCAAATTAGCCATCCATTTATTGTTCGTCTTCACTATGCATTCCAAACTGAAGGAAAGCTTTATTTAATTTTGGACTTTCTTCAAGGCGGGGATCTTTTTTCTCGTTTGGCTAAAGAAGTTATGTTTACTGAAGAGGATGTTACTTTTTATATGGCTGAACTAATTCTGGCATTAGAACATTTACATTCAATTGGAATTGTTTATAGAGACTTAAAACCAGAAAATATTTTATTAGACTCTGCAGGTTAAAAATATGTTCTTTTAAATTTTAACGTAAATAATTATTTTTCAGGTCATATAAGCTTAACTGATTTTGGTTTAAGTAAAGAATCTTTGGATGATAGTCAGATGACTTATAGTTTTTGTGGTATTTTATTTTTAATCATTTTCTCTTTTTCCCTAGGATCCTCATTATTTTTAGTTGGGTGATTCTCTAAGATTGATCTTTTTCTCTTTATTATAGATGGATTCTTTTTATTAATCCCAAAACTTCTTTTTATCATTCGTTTACCGTTTCTAGACTAAATATCACAGTTAATATTAATTAAAAATATGACAAACAAAACCTTTATTATTCAATTGTTTTTCAGGAACTATTGAATATATGGCTCCAGAGGTTGTCAATCGTCGAGGGCATTCAGTGGCTGCTGATTGGTGGTCATTAGGCGTTCTTATGGTTCTTAATAACAAATAATTATTTTAATTTCCATCTCTTTTTAGTTTGAAATGTTGACTGGAAATTTGCCTTTTCAAGGTAAAAATCGACAAGATACAATGAATCTTATTTTAAGGTTTTTTATATAATTTAATTTCTTTAAGATTTATTTTAGAGCTAAACTTGCAATGCCTGCTTATCTTAGCCCTGGAGCTCAAAGTTTACTGCGTGCACTTTTCAAACGTAATCCTTCAAACCGTTTGGGAGGTGGACCTGATGGAATAAATGCATTAAAAGGACACAAATTTTTCATTGGAATTGATTGGAAACGGCTTCTTGCTAGGAAAATGCAACCTCCATTTCGACCACATTTTTCTTCATCGTTGGATGTAACGCATTATTTTGATCAGGAATTTACGAAGAAAACGCCTATGGTTGGTTTATAGCATTATTTCCGATACTTTGGGGTGTTGGCAACCGATGATTAACCGGTATCCCAGTTTTTGGTTTCAGTTCGGTTAACCGTCCGCCAACAACTTAATACAATATACATATATATTTATTTAAATTGTTTTTGAACTTATGTTTGATTATGGCCTTTTCTTGTTTATTTCTCTAAAAAGATTTATTGACTTCTTTTTTTACTTTTTAATATTCTAGGATTCGCCAGCAATTCCTCCGTCGGCTGCTGCTCATGAGCTTTTTAGAGGATTCAGCTTCGTTGCGCCAACAATTTTTGAGGAGGATTTAATTAACTTTCATGATGAAAATGGAATCAATTCTGCCTTTCCTAGCGAATTAGAACTTCAATTGCTCTCTGATCGACCTGCGGACAACATTTATACTGCTCGTTCAACTTTTGCTAAAAAACACGCGCCATTCAATTTTTGTGGGGGATATGGACCAATTGGTGTTAAAGGCGATGGTGAACATACCGAAGTTTGTTTTTTCATTAAAATATTTTTTAAACTATTTATTTATTTTTAGGAACATTTAACCGACAAATCTTCTTATTCTAACACGCCAACGCCAGTTCGTGTGGCTAGTCCGCTTTGTCCGGTTAATACTTCGGCTCTCGCACAACGTCGACAGCAGCATCGCAAAAGTTCTGAAATGTTCTCTTTGAATGAGTAATTAAAAATATAAATTATAAATATTATATAAGATGACGGTTTAGCATTGCAAAAACTTTAATGTGATATACATAGTAAGTGCATATCTACATATTTAGAGACTTATTTTATTATTTTTGGGTACTTTTATGATATTCAAACTAATTTTAGGTTTAAAATGGGCGGTCAATTCTTTTCATTTTCGGGGCCTTTTGTATTGTTTGGAAATTATTAAACTTTTTCTTGAAACTGGTTTTGAATAACTTTAAAGTACCCTATTTTGCATTTTATTTAATATTATAATATTCCCATTCGGCGCTATCTATGGATACTTTAGCCTTAATTTATGCTTTAATTATATATTTTTTCACATATCGACAACCTCAAAATTAATATATATATTTATCTGCCAATGGTATGATATTATAATGCCAAAAACTTGTAATGCCAAAGCTTGTAATGCCAAAAGCTTGTAATGCCAAAGCTTGTAATGCAAAAAGCTTGAAATGCCAAACCCCCAAAAGCTGTTGAAATGCCAAACCGTGGAAAATAGCTTGTAATGCCAAACTCCCAAAATATGTTTAAATGCCAAACCATGGAAAAAAGCTTGAAATGCCAAATAAATACAAAACTAAAATTTTTTTGTTACTTCTGATAGAATTTGTTGTTAAAATTTTTTGTTTGTTCCAACAACAAGGATGTTGTTGTTCCAATTGAATTTTCGCTGGAAAAACTCTAGGCCGGACATGCGGGGAGGGGCCGGCACTACGGGGAATGTTGTTCAAATTGTGGGGAAAATTGTTCCAACGGTTGGGGAGTTGTTCCGACTACAGGGAAAGTTGTTCCAATGACGGGGGATGTTGTTCAAATGACGGGGACGTTTGTTCCAGTGATGGGGGAAGTGAGATGTTGATCCCCCGTTGACGGACCAACTTCCCCTGTTGACGGATCAACTTTCCCCGTTGACGGATCAACATGCCTCGTCATCGGAACAACTTCCCCCATCATCGGAACAACATTCCCCGTTGTGTTGGAATAACATTTGGCATTTCAACATATCTTGGGGGTTTGGCATTACAAGCTTTTTTCCACGCTTTGGCATTTCAACATCTTTTGGGTGTTTGGCATTACAAGCTTTTTTCCACAGTTTGGCATTTCAACAGCTTTTGGGGGTTTGGCATTTCAAGCTTTTTTCCACGCTTTGGCATTTCAACAGCTTTTGGGGGTTTGGCATTACAAGCTTTTGGCAATATAAAACGCTCCGTCTGCCAATTAATTGCAATATATATTGAAGACATTTAAATTTCTTTCTAAAAATAATACAATTTTCGACAGATTCAGAACATTTTTAAAAAATAATTCTGATCTCGATTAATGAACTTTCAATTATATATTTATGCATTATAAAAGTGTGCTTTAATTATTCCGGTATATTAGACATTAAAAGATATCCTAATTAATTGACTTCAAATACAAAACTCGAATAAATAATTAATTGATATTTTTTTTAAAAGGATCTTGTCCATATTATTTCTTTTCATAATTTGGTAAAAAAAATAATTTTTTAAGGATGTGCAATTCAAAATTGTAGAATATGGATGCAGAATCTAAAGCTTTTATTGCAGCTAAAAACTCGATCCGTCGGGAATTGGGCCTGTCTGCAGAATTTGCTTCTACTAATTTCGCTTTGACATCTACAAGGTTAGTTCTTTATAATAAGACTCAAGGGCTCAGCCAGTGGCCCAACCCCCTAAGTCGGCCCCTGGCTACGCCTTTGATAAGACTAGGTTGAATAATTAGTCTTACTGGTCTTCACGCCAACTTTTATCGACTAACTTAAAAATATTTCAGTGAATTTGCCCATTCTGTTTGTTCTCTAATTGAGGCGATTCTCATTCACGGCTTGCGTGATGCTTTCTTCATCAGGGGCAGTCGTTACTCAAAAAGACCTATACCAAATTTTTGGCCATTTGTATCAAAATATACTCATCGAAGCATAAAACAACAAATATATGTCCTAAACCAGATTAAAACTGAAGTCGGAAAAGCTAGGGTAAATATTTTTTTTTGTTATTGTATTTTTGCTGGAATTTTTCCTCTAACCTCAAAACTTTATTGACTATGGAAACATTTTTTAATGAATTATTTAATATTATTAATTATCAGGCTTGGATTCGTATTGTTCTTAGCGAGCGTACCCTCGAGTCTTATATCAATTTATTTTCAAAAGATGCTCAAATCAAGTTTATTTTAATTTTTATTTAAAATTTATTTTGTTTTAGTCAATTTTACAAGAAAGGTGCATTTATTAGGGATGCGGCATATATTGATAGCTTAAATGTTTATTTGCAAAAGATTGACAATCTGACAATTGTTGCTCCAACAAATTCAAATTTACTAAATAATTGGACACCTAATCCATTGATTCTTGCCGGACTTATTCCAGGAAAATTTACTAATTGTAGTTTTTATATAATTTAATATTTTGAAAATATTTAACTTCCATTTTTAGGCTATAGCCGGATAGGTGAAGGCTCTGTTTCTAGTCCATATGCTAGCAGTTATGCCGTTGCTATCGACAATTTATTGGAAAATTCGGCAGATCAGAATTCTCCAGAACAAGCAACTAATGCATTAGATCTTTTATTAACTCCTCCGGATTCTATGACCACAATGGAAAGTAATTTAGATAATTATCCAATTGCCAGTATTTCTTCGAACGTTCTTCAACATTCTCAAGTCGTTGAATCCCCTCTATGTTCAACTAATAAATTTGAAAAACAAATCGGTGGATATGTTAAAGAATGTATAGTTGATGATAATGAATCAGTCATTTCACATCCCTCAATGCTTTATCAATCTGAAGACGAACCTTTATTTGAAAAACTACCAAAAACTCCAAAAACATTTGCAGATTGGAAAAGGTCTTGCTAAATTTTAAATAAATTAAAACACATTTCTAAAATTATTTGAAGATATGGCGCTGCAGCAACTTCCCGACTTCGACGTCTTTCGCCTTCGTTAATCGGTGCAGATGTTGGGTGCGGTGCAGAATTTGACACGGCGGTTGAAGGAGATGATGACGTTTTTTGTTTAGGAAAAAATGCTGGACCTTCAGAAGAACAATCCTCCGAAGTATAAAATATTATGTTAACGTTCTCTAATCACTTTTAGGTAATTGTGCATCGTAGGAAAACAGGCCGTCGTAGAGCTGTGTCTAAAAGTAGTGGGGGTGCTGGAAGTGATACAGGCGGTAGTGGTGGCGGTTATTCGCGTACTCATTCAGCTAATAATTTAATTAAGTCTCCTAATTATGTGGAAATTTCAGCGGTATGTATGGGAAAATACTAAATTTTTTAAGAATTTTGGCTATCATTTTTTACCGATAAACTTAAGAATCAGGATATTTTGTAAAGTGTTATAGGCTTATTTAAGACAAAACATCCTGGAATTATAAATTAGAAAAAAGTTTCTATTTTTTTTTTAGTTTCTATTTTTTTTTAATTTAGAGTCATTCAATCAAAAACAATTCAACGTCTTCACTTCAAACTGCTTTTGAATTTAATTCTCAAAACACTGAGAATATGTTTACTGATCTTACTGTTAAAGATTCGCAAATTAACTCATCAAATAACAAAAAACAACAAAATACAAACAATAAGACTATAACATTTTCAGCTTCACAAGGTTAAAGGATTTTTTCGATTTTTAATTTTATTTGATTTTTAAGGTACTGTAGGAATAGAAATGCCAATTCCCACAATTTTAATACAACAACGAATTTTACAGGAAATGGAGGTGAATTTATTTAATCTTAACATTTTTCGGAATAAATTTAATTTGAGTTCCTCTTTTTTCCAGAATTTCCCTCTATTTTCCGTTTAATCTTTTGATTTAAAAAGGATTAAATTTTTGCATAAAAATGTCACCTGGATTCCTTTCTATCCTTATTTAAAGATTCAAATTATTATAAATATGTTAGATGTTGGTTAAATGTTAGTCTACCTCCACAAGTGTTACATTTTATATTATTATATTTTAGTTTCCACCCCTTGGATCATCATTACAAGATGAATTACTTCTTGCAGAAAGAATGGAGCAAGAAGCTTCTAAAGAAGTTGAAGAAAGGGATGAACTTCCTCCTTCTCATCAAATTAGTATAACGTCAAATACTTCAGATATTTTAAGGAAAAATTCTTCACCTCCAACATTGGAAATGTTTAATATTACAGCAATTGATTCTACCGATTCTTCGACTACAGATTTACCTGCAACTTTTGATGAAGCATTGCGTGCATTTCTTTCTCAAGGAGACAAAACAAACAATCGATTATTTCAATCAGAGTCTAAAAAGGTGTTAATTAAAAGGGTTTTGTAACAGATTTGGAAATTCCTTCAAAAGAATTTTTTGACTGAATCTTCTTCTCATTCTTTTTATTTTATAGCGCCTTTTCTCCGAATGTTCGTCAAGTACTGGTGAACTTAACAAATTATTGGGTGATAGTCTAAATAATTTGAATCAACAAATACTTTCTCCACCTGTTCGTTCATTATCTTTACAAAGTTCATCGACAAATGTTCCTTTTCCAAATGTTTTCATCAAAAGTGGTAGCAGAAAGAGTATTTCTCGGGATTTTATTGCATCATTGGCTCCAATTAAAGATATACCACATATTCCCTTTCAAAGAGATGGAAGCAATTTTGATGAAGAAGAGGAAGACGCAAATGAGGTACATACTAATTAATGATTAAATAGTATTTATTTTGTAATTAAAATTTCATATTGACGATTTTAGAATTCCATCTTTTTTATCAGAAATTCATCTTTTTATTGGAGAATGTAGGAAAATCCATTTAAGAAAACTTATTTAGCGAAGTTGTTATCTTTATAACCGGAAGGGAATTGAAATTAAAAACATAGTATTACTTCTATTATGAAGACAGTAAATCTTTCAACTAGGACGGGCCCATAGTTTTTCTGAAAATTGCTAACCAATATACCAGGTCTGGGGTTCTTATTTTCCAAACTTTTAAAAGTTTAATTATACCCTAAATAATTTTTTGTGAAGATTATTTAAAAAATTCAATATTTTATTTAGCTTATCGAAATTCAACCCTTCACCGAACAGAATTCTAATCCTAACAACTGCCAATTCTCTAATATTACTACAACATCTCTCCTATCAACTCCTTATAAATTGCTAAAACGTTTTTATCATTTAATTAATATACCCAATGAAAAAGGCCTTGATGCACAAAATTTTCGTTGCAAAACTTGTTGTCGAAATATCGGTGTTGGTTTTGGACAATTTAAGTAAGGAAAATAAATTTTTTTTATTTCTAAAAATAAAATTAAAGAGAATGTGCCTTAAATGGTTATTATTATTGTGAGGATTGTTTTAAAAGTGGTGGTGAAAGTTTAATTCCCTCTCGTGCAATTTTAAATGCTGATTTTAAGCCAAGGAGTATCAGTAATGCTTCTCGTGTTTTACTTCAATCTATTATGGATCAACCATTGTTTCGAGTTGATTTTCTTAATCCTTATATTTATGAACACAGCAAAAATATACGAAAAATTAGGGTATTTAAATTGCTTTTGTGAACATTTTAAATAAATTATTTTTACAGGATATTCGCAAAAAACTTGGGTATTCTGTAATGTATTTACTTTCTTGTAAAAATTCTGTTGCAAATGATATTAGACGCCGCCTTTGGCCTCATAACCACCTTCATTCTGATATTCATGCATATTCTTTAATGGTATTAAATAAATTTATTTTAAATATGTTTAATTACCTTAAAGGATTTGGAATGTGTTGCAAATGGCACGTTAGAGCGTCGATTAAATACTTTACTAACTTCAACTCTTTCACATATTTGGGATTGTCCATTGTGCCTTCAAAAGGTGTTTTTTTAAAATTAACCTTAAATTCTTTGAAAACTTGTAAAAATTATTTGTTATTTATTTATGAAAAGTATTGTGATAGTACAAATTTCACTTGACCATAAGCTGATAAGGTTAAAATTTTTTAAAATTAGCTATATAGCTCCAAATTTTAAAGTATTTATTTTTCTATCAGTCTTTCTTTTATTTTAAAATATTTGTATAATTTACTTTCATTTTTGTTTTAAGATTTATTTAAATTTAGTTAATTTAAAGGACTTAAGTTTAACCAGTTTTTCAATATAAAAATATTTAAGGGATTCTTTTGTGAACTTTGCTCATCAGATCGACCAATTTATCCTTTTCAAACAGAAATAGTTTGCCAGGTAAATATTTTGTAATTAAAAATAAAAATTTTATTTTATTCCTTTTTAAGTGTCCCAATTGTTCCTCCTGTTTTCATCGGAGTTGTTCAAATAAATTTTGTCTAAAAGAGGAAGAAGATGTGGAACAAAATAATGAAGATTTGCAAAAATGTCAACAAAATACCTGCCCAAAATGTTTACGTAAAGCAAAATTAGCATCTGGAGGGAGAGGAAGTGCTGGATTACTTTCTTCTACTCCGTCTTTGTCAAATTTATCCCCTGGAAGTAGTCAACAAATTTAATAAATTTTGTTAAAATTAAAATTAACTCCGGTTATAAAAATGTCAAAAGGCTTAATTTTATTAAGCCTAATTTTTGAGCCCAATTTATTTAATTTTTTGGGTGTTTAATTGATTATGTACAACTGGAGTTTCATTTAAAAACAGTATATGTATATCTATGTAAAATTACCCATATATTTAGTTATATATTTATTTTAAAAATTGATAAAATTTATCAAATATTTAATTGAGGATTAAGGAATTATTTAATTCTAAATTAAGGAGGGTTCCATCAAATTTAAAAAACTTTATCCAACATTTCCAATATTCTGCCAGTTCTGCTATCTCATTTTGAACTAAAATTTATTTTAAATAAATTTTTTTATCAATTTATAATCTCTCTAATTTTTCATTAACATATAGTAGGTACCTATTATGATTGTTTACAACTTTTTCTTTATAAATTGTTAAATCTAACATTGTTTTCGACGGGAGTAATTATTTAGTGTTTATAAAATATAACTTACTAAATCGTTGTCCTTTTTTCTACAATAAGGTTGGCTAATTATTTTAATTTATTCTTGAGAAATAGTTAAAATAACAAAGGGATTACTAATAAAATTAATATAAAATTTTTAATTAAACAATTTTTGTTGTTTTTATTTTACTATATCATGCCTTTGTACTTGACCAAAATCTGCATCTTTAACTTTCCATTTAATGGATTGCAGACATTTTGGCTAGTACAAAAGCGAGAAATAGCCAAAAACTTTAACAAGTTTAAAGAATATTTAATTTATTTTTAAAAAAAATTAAAATGATTTATTTAATGAGAATGATTTGCTCATTTAAATAAATACACAAAAATTGAAAGCAACTTGTTTTGATAGTTTTTCCGACAACTGGCATAAATTTAACAGAAAAATGTTTTTTTGTTTAATCTAATACGCGCAGGTGTCGGGCCAATAGAAAAAAAAAGGAAAATAAAAATACCAAAGATTTGTGTTCAAATGTCATAACAGAAAGTTTAGGGGTGTTAAATGGTTTAATAAAGAAATAAAAAGATGGGGGTAATTTTTAAAAGCATTCGACGAATAAAAAGAAAAAGGGACGTAATTTATTTAAAATAATTCAAAAGAAAAATGGCACAAAGTATTTATTTAATTACAATAAAAGTAAATATTCTGAATTTTTTGAAATTGGAATTTTAGGTACTCTTTGATTATCTCCCCACATGGCCGCTTGTTCGCAAATTTCTCCTCTCATAAAGATTAAAAAAGGGGAAAAAGATTAAAACCTACTAACTTTAATAGTTGTTCGACCAGAACAAAATTCGATGTAAGGCAAAAGCCTTAATCTATGACGTTAAGTACCTAGCTCTAGGTGTTAGACCTAATGATCCGATATCAGGCCCGTAGCTAGGGGGAATGTGGGCAAACATTTGTGGACATGTGGGGGAGATAGCCAAAGACTTCAGAATTTTTTATTACGTTACAACATGACCGAATCTTGACTAAATGCTGGTTAAACTCAAAATTTGGAAAAATTTTGATTAATAAAATTAAGATTAAATAAATTATTGGATCTTTTTTAAAAAGGGTGTCCGAAAATTTTATCATTGGCGGAATTTTGTTTTCTTTATATTCTGGCTTGTTTTATATACTGTTCGGGCTTTATACATTAGAATAAAACTGATGAAAACATGATCAATTGGCTAAATTCTAAGTTAATAAGAGGGTATTATTTCGGGGACTCTATTGAAGTTATCATTAAAAACTTTTTTGATTACTATAGAAGGAATGTAGGTTTTATTTTTTGTTTTATTAAAATGAATGTCCTTTTATTTATTTGAAGTATTTATATACAAATATTTAAATGCTTTAAAAGAGGGTAAATAAAAATTAAGAAACAACTTGATTGTTTTTATAGTTAACGATATGATCTAGGAGGGTTTGTGTTGTTTATGGTAATTGATGACGCATATATTCACCTACATAATAGCTAAATAATTTGTTTGTTTGTTTGGCTTCTCGCAGCAAATTATAATGCTGCAATTTTAAGTAAAAATTATAAAATGATGACGCATCTTTCTGTCAAAACTTTCCTGTTTTTATTGTCACTCCTTTTTTATTATATTTTGTGTTTTAATTATTTTAAATAATTAGTCTTTCAGGCAAAACTGTTAATTAGTATTTCCGATAAGAAAAAATTAAAATAAAAAAAATATTCAAAAAAATTTGAGAAATTTCATAGACAAAGACTAGGCCTAGTGCAAATTATTTGGCCTATTGTCAAATAATCTGATCTCTCGACTCTCTATTAAATGAATCTGCATCTTTGTTGAGGATAAAGAAATGATGAATTTTCAATTGTATTGAGGTAAAAATAAATTTGAAGAAAATTGTTTGGCAACTTTAAAATATTTCTCACTTTCCGCAACAGTCAAAACAAAAAGTGTGTCTAGAAACATTTAAGGAGCAAAATTTCCTGTTTATCGGACATACCATAAAGTATGAGTCATTTAAATATATTTTTATTTCTTTTAGTACAATAATAAAAAGTTGTATATACTAATTTAAAAAAAGTAAATAAATTAAAAATTTTTTAATTTTTTTTATATTTTAGAATATTTGGTTAACATCTAAAGAAACTTTGTATTAATTAATGTATTAATTATATGGCTACAACCAAATTATATTTTATTCGAATTATTACCTTAAAGATTTTATTAATTTTTGTGTTCTTTTATTAATTTTTTATTAAATGTCCAATATATTTAACAAAAATTTATTAATCCAAAATTATTCTTAAAAATAAAATCAAAAAATGTTGGGGACATTCTTTTTATATGAATAAAAATTGTCAGGTGTCTTCTCTAAAAATATTTTCTTTTCTTGTCCACCAAATGTCACCAAAATAATGACCAAAAGAAAATTATTTTGAAGAAAAAAACTTTTTAATATATTTACAGCAACTGGCAATCATTGGCCAAAACATTTTAAAAACAAAAATTTTGTTTTATTTTCTGTTGTTAAATATATTTATTTTAAATAAATAATCCTTAAACTTTTACAAAAATAATTTACATTTTATTTAAAATATAAAATAGTCAATTATTAACAATAAATCTCAGAAAAGATTAGATAAGATTAGATTTTCCGGCTTCGATCCTTTTAAAAATGGACTCAAGCTTTGCTTCGGACATGGATCACGATTGGGTGATCGAAGAAATGTTTGCCTTAATTTAAGTAATCGTTTAGAGGGCGCCCAGAAATTTGTGGTCAAAATAAATCCAAAAAGTTAGGCCGTCGATTTAAGGAATTTATGGCAATCATTGATTAATCTTTAAACATAGACTAAACAGGAATCGAGTTAAATGCTTAAGGTTAAGTGTTTAAGAGTTTAGATTTTATTTCATAAATATAAAAATAAAGAATCCAAAAATATCCTTAAAAGACCAAAATTTAAAGAATAGTAAAGCAGCTGGGCCATAGCTATCTCTCCCGTTTAGCTAGTACAAAAGGTTATTCGGCGGCTGGGAGCGAACCACAACATCTTCAGTAGATCCTTAGGAAATAGATAGTTATCTGCCTTACAAAATCCTAATATTTTATGTTGTTATCCAATCATTTTTCAATAAAAAATAATTACTATATTTTTAATTAATTAATTAATCAGTTTATTTAATTAATCTTTTTCCTTTCTTTTGTTCTGATTTTGTAAAAACAAAAAAAATTATTTAAAGTTGTTTTCTTTCATTTCCGCAAATTTGGCGCGTGTTTGCGGGATAATAAGTAGAGAAAAAAGAAAAGAAGGGAATTATTAAAATTAAATAAATAAAAACAGGTTTAATAAATAAATAGAGAGAAGAGCATTAAAAGGAATTTTTGGAGGATGGGTGGCGCCCAAATAAAAAATAAATAAATCTAAAAAAATAAATATTAAACTGGCTTATTAAAATTGGGGGCAAACGGAAATATTTTTATGTTAAGAGAAAAGAAATTATAATTAATTCTGATTTTCAATTCTGTTAAAAAATTAAATTAGTTTTTAATAAATATTTTTCTGGGAAAATTATTTTCTTTAACAAAAATATTTTAATTGTTGGTACTTTTCTATTATCCCCCCCCCCCCCTCCCCCCATTTTCCTTTTTCCCTTGATAGGATATAACTTTTTATGCTTAATCCAATCCGAGTGAATTATATCATTCAAAAGCTCTCAATCTTTTTACAAATTAGAAAAAGATAGCGCTTAAATAACAATTTCTTGCACTTATCGACTTGTAACTTTTCATGAGTGATCAGACCTGATCCATCCAGTTGGGAAAAAGATGGCGCTTATCGAGGGCTTTCGAATGATATAAGATTTATTCGGATTGGATTAAGCATAAAATGATCAAAAACATTTTTCAAAATATTATTTTTTTTCTAAAACATTTCCTCTAAATAAATATCAAATTATCTCTCTACCCTCCTTTTAACAAAATTTTGCATAAGAATTCTTAAATATCGTCCAATATTTGGTAAGAATTTTAATTTTTGAATAAATTCTTTAAACTAAAAACTTTTTCTGAAGGAAAATCTTTCCTCCTTCCCTTCCTTCAAAATTCCACATTTAAAGAGAGCATAAAACTAATTTTCTTACCAAAATTTTTTAATTTATCACTTAACGAAAAAACGCAAAATTGATTCACTAAATAATTAACAGGGAGAACTTTAATTAAAAGGAGAATATATTTATTTATATTTTAATTTTAATAATTTTTAATAATGGAAAAAATATTTTTAAAAAAATTTTGAGAGGGAAATTTTAATTATTTATATAGGTATTTCTTTCCAAAATTTAAATAAATTTATAAACCCTTAAACAATACACAATAATTACCTATTCTTTTTTTATGAAATATTTAAAGTTAATTTAAAACAAAAATTTTTTTCTTTAAAAAATGCAACGTAATTCTACTAATAATTATTCTCCTTCCCGTTTCTCTTCCTCTTCTTCAGAAGATACAGATTCAAACTATGACCGTTCATCTGGAATAGAAGATTCTGAACAATTAGTAAATTTAAAAAATTAATTTAAACAAATATATTTTTCTTAAAAATTAATTCAAAATTCTTTTTTGGAAATTCTTTTTAATTTAAATTTAAAGTTACTTAATTCTCTTCTTCTTTCTGATATTGAAAGATTTACAGCACACGTTGGTAGACTTAGATCAGCTTTAAATTGTTGTCAAAAAATTATAAATGATTCAGAAATGTCTGAAGGTATTTTAATTTTTTTAAATTTATTTTTTAAACATTTTAAAAGTCCAAAATTTAAATGAAAATACCAACAAAACAACAGTCACAATACCAACAACAACTTCTAATTATTTACAAATTCATTCAGCTTTAGCTTTAGTTTCTCAGTCAATTAAAGATTTACTTTCTAGACATTCTCGTTTATTCAAAACTTGCAATGTTTTATTACCTACCGGACAACTTGTTAATTCTATTAAAAGTTTTTTTGAAAGAATTCAAATTTAATTAATTAATTAAAATTTAGGTACAAATTTCACTTCTTCCTCTTCAGTTTCCATTTCTACGGATACAAAAACAACAAAATCAATTTGTACCTTAACAGCCCTACAAGCTTTGGATAAATTAGAAATTGCTGTTGCTAATTCTCTACGAGAAGCTTTGTTTGTTTTTAATTTAATTAAAAATTAATTTTTAATTATTTATTTTTTATAATTTTAAAATTATTTTTGTTTTAAAACATTCCCAAAAAATATTAAAGTAAAATATTTTTAATTAATTTTGGCAAATAAATTGATAAGAAAAATCTATTTATATATAAACATTCTATATATTTTCTCTTTTTAAATAAAGTCTTGAGTTTTAAATAAAAATTAAATAAGTATATTTATATTAGTGGTCATGTTTCTATAATAATAAATAAATTTATTATTGTGAAATTATTTTATTTGAATATTTAATTGCTTTATATATTTAAATGAAAAAAATTCTAAAAATAATTTTTAATAAAATATACATAATAATTAATAAATATTAATTAAAGCCAAATTTATTGGGGAAAAATCAGATAAATTCCAATCCCACCCCAAAGGGACAGACCGAAATGGGAATACTATTCGTATTTAGGGATTTTTCATATTTAGGGATTCCCTGGTTTTTAAAATTTTTATTCCATTTTCTTAATCCACAGTCATTAAGTCTCCCATTTCTTTCCGATCCAGATTTTAACGTTTTAGTAAAACTTGGAGTTCATACCTTTCTACATTATGGATGAAATAAAAAGAGTCCAAAATTACAGCAAATTAATTAAATTGAGGAAATAATTTACTAATTTTAAACTCTAAATTCTAAAATCTCTAAGTTTAATTTACTCATATTTTTAAGAAAGCTAGATTATATTTAGGGATAATACACATTTTATTATATGAACTTTCCTTCTAATCTTTACAAAATTTTTAAAATTTAATTTAAATTATAGAAAAATAATTTGTTAAAATTAATTTATTGATTTTTTGTTAAAAATTCCTTTATTGAATTTTTGACTCATAATAATCAGCCACATCAATAGAAATAAATAAATAAATATTTTTTATTACCAAAAATGCATTTAACGCAATAAATTTTTTAGAAAAAAAAACAAAAATTTTGAGACAAGCAATTCACAAAATAATCAACAAATACTTATTGCTGTTTCATCATTTTTTTATTTATTTTATTACCACCAATAAATAAATAAAATAAATATATTTTATTTTGTTTTCTCTCCCCCAAACAATTTTTCATTTATTAAATTAATTTATTTAATTTATTTAATTAATTATTAATAATAATTTTTTTAATTTAAAAGACCAATAATTAACTAATAATCCTTAACTTGAATGGAGAAATTCAAAAAAATAAATGTCAAAATACAGACAAAGACTCTCTCCTTTTTTTATTTTGAATTAAATCAACTACCTAAATTCTTTTTTATTTTTTTTTAAATTGCCTTCCGATAGAATGAGGGAAAATGATAAAAAATCTTTTTTGACTATATTCTTCTTTACTGTTTTTAAATTCTTTTCTAACCCTTAGATATCGTTCTTTATTCTCCCGTTACTTCCGTTTATTTCAATTTTGAGAATGTCTTTATTAGATAAATAATTTGAAAGTTTTTTTGAATTTTTAGATGAAATTGGGTATTTATTAAATTTTGTATTGGCTACTAGTATTTTTCCTTTATTTTCATCAATTATTTTGTTGGCACATACCAAAAACAATAACCAAAACCCTCCATTTATTTCCTCCTTCCTTTTCCCCGAACATTTTAACCTCTTCCAACAAAAAAAGTTTTGTTTCTTCGCCACTCTAAATTGATCTTTTCTTTCTTCAACACAGCTATTTTACCTTCTAGACACTTTTTTCCACCTTTAAAACACTTTTTTTATATAACCTTCAACCATTTTTCTTCCAAACCATTCTCCTTCTCTGAATATTTATTTTGATGACCTTTTACCCAAAATTATTAAATATTTAACCACAAAAATTATAATTTTTATTTTTTTAATATTTTTCTTAAATCAATAGATTATTTTTTTATTAAAATTAAATTATCATTTTTATCAATTCATTTTATTTAATTTCCGTTAAGTTTGGATAAATTATTTTTTAATATTTTGTTGAGTTGGGCGGTATCGAAATTTCGACATAAAATCTGGATCGAATTGTCAAAAAACCGGGATAATCCCCACCGATTCCTAATATTTTGATTAATAATAGAGAAAAATTTGGAGGATTTAACATAAATAAGATAATTTGCGTTCTTTTTCGTATAAAGTAACAGACTTTAAATTAAAAACTTCCACCTATTAACAGCCCTCAATTTAATCCCTTTTAATTTTTAAAATTCTCAAAATCTCTTCTTTTAACATGCCGATATTATACATATCTTTTCTACCTTTTTATACAAAAATTTTTTAAGGATTTTTTCTCATATTTCCCCTTATTCATTCTCAATGATGGCCTATAATAAATACACCAAAAATTACTCATTCCTCATCATCTTTTCCCTCTCAATTTTTTTATTATTTTTTCTCCTTTTTTCGGCAATTTCTTCTTTTTTTTCTCGTTTAGAATTTTTGTACTAAACACAAAAATAATGGATTGCTGTGGTTGATTTTTTTGTTTATTATTTCTTCCCTTTTTGCTTCTTCTTTTTACACTTTTCCGCTTTACAAATAAATTTTTATTGTTTGATTTGTGTGACCTAAACTATTTTCTTTTTTTTATTTTTTCTCGTATATTCTCACCTTTTTTCTTCAATTTTTTACCAAAAAATCTGTTTCCGAAAATTCTTTCGTAAAAAAGAGATTTTTGTTAAATTAAATATCTCTCTTTAGGTTAATCAAAATTATAAAAAATATTTAGTAGGTAATTTTGATTTTTTTAATTAAATTTAATCCTTCCCTTATTTTTAAGAAATTTCAAAATTTTATTTTTTATATAAAAATTATTATTTATCCAACTGTATAATAAATAATAAACCTTTTCTTTCTAATAAAAAATATTAACACTAAATTATCCCATTCATAAGTATTAATTAATTTTGAATGGGTGGATAAATAAATAAATAAATATATTTATTTTTATTTTGAGTATTTTTTTTTATTTTACTTTCATAATATTTTTAAATAAAATCCTCATTACTAAAAATTATATGATTTAATTGTTGCCTCTTTCTTCTTGTTGGATGGGGGGGGGGTGTACTTTTTAATCCCATCACAGATTTATTTAATTATTAAAAAATTTAAAAGAAATTAAATTAAATGGACAATAAATGTTTAAATTTATCTAAAACAACACCAAAATCCCCTTCACTTTCTGATCGTTTTCTTTGTTCTTCCCCAATATTAACAGAATCTTTATTAAAATTACAACAAAATAATGAAGAAGAAGAAAAGGAGGAATTAAAAGATTCTTTCAAAACAAACATAAAATCATCAAAAATTTGGCCAAATTTAAGTTTAACAAAAATAAACAGAGAAAGTTTTAAAAAGAAAAAACAACAACAAAAACAACTTTCTCGTTTCGATTTAATTTTATTACGAGCATTTCAACAAAATAATAACGAAAATACTTCTTTGTTACCCCCACTTCCTTTATTTACTGCTTCAGATTCTTTATGTTCTTCTGATGGGGCAAGTAGACATAATTCTTTAGAAATGTTGGGAACATTTGGAGATTTTAATGAAAAATTTAATTATTATGAAGAAGAAGAGGGAGAGGAGGAGGGAAATGAGGAAGGGGAAAGTTTATTTTGTTCTAATAATTCTTCTGCTACAACATCTGCTAGAGGATCTGCATGTTCGGCTTTATTACATTCGGATGAATGTGCTGCCGTCTCTGTATTTCAAGGAATTAAAAGAGAAAATGAACAGGAAGGAGGAAATGAATGGAATGAACAAAAAGAGAGGACTTCTGAAATGTATAAATAATAAATTGGCATTCCTTTTTGTGTATTTCTAAATATAAATTATCTGTGATCCGGTCTATATTTTTAGGCCTCTTCAAATTGGAATTACTCATTTCTGTTATTTTCAGATTTGGATAATATATTCTTAAAATTACCTAAAACCTTCAAAAAATATTTATTAAATTTTCATAATAAACATAAAAAACATATATAATTATTTAATTAAAGGAATGATCGTTGTCATCTACAAAATTTGCTCAAAAATGATAAAGAATCAAATGATAAACAAATTGTACTTAAGAATACAAATATTTGTACAGAGACAGATCAGGATAATGAAGAGGATGAAGAAGAACAAGATGAAGAAGGTGGTGGAAGTGTACGTAGTGCTAAGGTGTGTGAAGGGGTGGGAGGTGTTTTTAAAAGAATTTGTGATAAAAAATAAAGTCTTTTCAATTTATTTTTAAATTCCAGGCAAATTCTTCGTCCGGTGTTTCTTCCTCCCCAGTTGGATTACCAGTTAATAGAACGGCAGCAAAAATAGTTCGTCGTCATTCAGCTTTTCAATTATCCTCTCAACGAATTATTTTACCCCCACATCCACCCAATAACAAAAATATTAAAAAAATCAACGTTGGACTTGTCCATTCATTGCAGCCATTATCGGGTGTCCAATCAAATGAGCAACGGCAAATGTTGGCAATTCAACAACAAAATAGACAATATTCACAACAAAATGGTGAATTGTTTATTTCACTAATAAAATATCATATTTAATCTGATTTTTATTTTGTTAATTTTATCCAATATAAAATGGGTATATTTACAAAAATGGATTCACTGACTTAAAATTGAGTATGATAAAGAGATTACTGGGATGTAATTTTATGTGAGAGAATCTCTCCGTTATCAATGGATTCCTTTTCCAAGTAATTTCTGTGATAGAGAAAATTAGTTGATCTCTGTTGCCTAGCCTCAATTTAAAATTGTTAAAATATTTTCAAACAAAATAATCATTTAACACATTTCAATAATTTTTTTCATTTATTTCCATCATTTACCACAAATCTCTTATTTTTGCTTCCTTATTTTTCCTGTCATTCCCCTTCCCCCTTTCTCAATTTAAATTTTTTTTTCATTTTCGCGCGATCACAGATTTTTTGCTGATTTGCCCCAGAAAAATCAAAATACTGTTTTTCTCGTTAAATATAAAGTTAGCGTTAAGGTGACGAAAAAATAAAAGCAAAATAATTTTGCTAAAAGACTATAAACTGTTTGTAGAAAATGGCGCGAATATAATAACCTTGTTAACTGGGAATTGAAACAAAATAAATATTTTTAAAATATTTTCGTTTAACAAAAACACCACACAATTTATTTAATTACGTAAATTAATTAAAAAAGAGATATTTTTGTTTTATAAGGGAGAGAGATTGACTTTGATTTTGGCAAAAGATTTTTTTACTTTCTTTAAGGAAATAGTCCTATCCCAAATCCGGGATTTTAGAATGTTAAAATCTTTCAATAATAACTTGTTAAATTATTTATTTATTAGAAAATTCAGATTTAACCATTTTTTAACTTTGATTTATTAACAGCCAAACATACATATGTATAATATAATTTAAATTAGGGATGAAAAAACTTTGTAAAAGAGTTGGGGGAAATAAAGGAGAGAAAAATTAAAAAAAATAATTTTAATAAATATTTTGTTAAAAATCAATTTAAAAATAAATGTTCAATGAATACATATGTTAAGAATGTTTAATTAATTATTAGAAAAAAATTAAAATTATTAAGAGAGTCCTCAAATTTAAATTTTTTGGAATTAAAAATTTTTTTTACAAAATTTTAAGGTAAACAACAACAATTTTCTAATAATCCAAATTCACATTCGGTAGAAATTGTATCTAGTAGTAGCTGTAGCAGTATTGGACATCAATGCAAACCAATGTGGCAATTACTTGAGCAGCGCACTGATGGGCTGGAAATTGCCTTTGAGCGCTGCAAAAGTAAATTTAAAAAAATAAAAATAATGTTTAAAAAAAGGAAATTCTCTGTGTATTTTATTCATGTAACTTTTTTTGCTAAATTGTAAACAATTAAAATTTTATTTTCAAAGATTGGTCTAAATATGCCTCCCAATTGCTTTCCTTTGCACGTGCCAGACTTTCATTAGAACAAGAATATAGCCAAAGATTACTTAAAATGTCAGACCAACAATTAGGCCCTCTAACAAACCAACAAATAGAAAACCAATTTTCTTCGTTAGATCAAAAAATGCCTTTATCTCTTTTATTTGGACAATTAATGGAGAATACTAAACAATTTGCAAGTAGGGCTGATTCTACTGTACAACAATTACAACAAAGATTTATTGAGGTAATGAATGGATCTTGTCCCTTGGGAATAAAAAAATCTAAAAAATTAATGGAAAAATACTTTATGTTTTTTGGGAATTAAACTTTTTAATAAAGGAAAAGTTAAAAAATTATTTTTAAGAGCTTAGAAAGTCGTCAAAAAGAACACAATATAAGAAGAAGAAAGCTTAAAGTTGAATATGCAAAACAACGAAAGCAAATGGTTGGTAATTAGTTTATTTTAATTTTGTGAGAATAATCAAGTTGATAGGGAAAGAAATTTAAATCTGTAAACTAGAAGAAGTAAAGTCTTATCTCTATTTAATAATTTTTAAAGGAGACATGTGTCGAAGAACTTCGAAGAGCTCGACAAACACATACAAATAAAGGAGAACAATATTTACGTGCTCGGGAAGTAACAATTCGTCAAGAACGTGAATGCCATCAAATACTGCCAATAAATACACAAAAACAACAAAATTTATTAATTCGGAATAGTGAAGGAAATAGCAGTTTAGGACAACAACAAATATTTCAAAAAAGGCGTAAAGAAGTAGAAAAACGTAGAAAAGTTGAAGAAGAAGCTTTAAATAGAAAAGAAGATGCTGAACAAGAAGTTTGTAGATTAGAGAGGGAATTGGATGGATATAGAGCTAAATTGAATGAATTGAGGGTAAATTTGTTGTTTTGAAATTAATTTATCTATTTTGTTAAGATCGAAAGATCGGTGGCCGGTCTTAATCTCTTAAAGTCTCTTTAATACGTCCCTTTAACAGAAAATTTGAGTTTTGTCTCAAGTCCTATTATTTCTTACAAATTAGGGCCTAAAATTTCGTAAACGCCCAAAAAAATCTGCGCCGAGTTGTCCAAAACGTTTCCCCTTATAAAACCTATACCTTTTGGCTTCAAGTTTTTGCTTAAAACTTGAAGTCAAAAGGTATAGGTTTTGTAGGGGAAACGGTCGAAGACAATTCGGCGCAGATTATTTGACGCCGATATTTTTGTTTCCATAAATTTTTTTCTTTCTTAAAATTATCCATTAAGAAATAATTTCTATTTCTTTAGCCTTCGATTGATATAAATTTGTTAATAGAGTTGTCAGTTTTAAAAAAGTTATGGGTGAAGAAATAATTTTGGCGCCAAGTTGTTGACGCCAAATTGTCTTTTTAATCCCAAAGGTTTAGGCTTCTAAAGGTTTAGGCTTTATTTGAACATTTCGGCGCCGGCACAATTTGACGCCAGGACTATTCTTCAAAAAAGTTACCTTCATTAAACTAGTCATGAGTCGTTCAAAAATTCTGAAAATTCTTCTTTATGCCAAAAAATGTGGTCTGTCTTATAAATTTTTCGGTATTATACACCTCTATAAATTCCCTTCAATCTACATATTAATTTTTAAATTTATTTTCTAAATAATTTTGTAAATTTTATTTTTCTCTCTATTATTTAACAATTCCCGCTGTTTTAGTTCTACATTTTTTATATTTTTCTAAACACATTTTCATCGATTGTACGACACTTGCGGACCGACTTTTGCGGACCGACCTTTGCGGACGGACATTTGCGGATTGCGGATAGACATTTGCGGATCGGACATCTGCGGACGACATTTGCGGATTGCGGACCGACTTTTGCGGATCGGACATTTGCGGACTGTTTTTGGAAAAAAAAATTTAAAAAATTAAATTTAATTTTCAAAAACGAAAAAAAATATTTAAGTTTATTTTAATATCTTTTCGATGGGCAACTTTTTTATCAAAATGGTCAACGTAAACCTATGGAGATTAGGCGAGGCGCTTGTGCAAAACCCTGCGCTTCGCGCAGGGTTTTGCGGCACGCGCCTCGCGGGGAGTCAACGGTCGCTGGGTTCTGGGCTCGTAACTTAATCCTATTCCTATCATCGGTGACATAGTCATGCCCAGCTTCCCCCGCAGCAGCAAAAACTCCACGGATGCAATAGGTAAGGAGCTAAAATAAACGATCATAACTTTGTCTAACTTGTTAGATCGAAAAGATATTAAAATAAACTTACCTAAATATTTTTTTTCGTTTTCGAAAATTAAATTTAATTTTGTAAATTTTTTTCCAAAAACGGTCCGCAAATGTCCGATCCGCAAAAGTCGGTCCGCAATCCGCAAATGTCGTCCGCAAATGTCTGATCCGCAAATGTCTATCCGCAATCCGCAAATGTCCGTCCGCAAAGGTCGGTCCGCAAAAGTCGGTCCGCAAGTGTCGCACTACGTTTTCATCAATTCATTTTCAAAATTTGCTTTCACATTTCTATTTAGCTTCAAACATAAGCAGAAAAACCGGAAACGGTAACCCCTCTCCTCTCTCCCCCCTTAGTGTTGGCACCCACGATTCTCGAATTTCCTGGCTTAACAATAAAAAATAAGAGAATTCTTTTTCTGCGGGGGCTTTCTAGTTAAAAAAGAAAAAAACGTCGAAAAGCACAAATATAATATTTGAATTGCCACTTTTTTTTACTTTCTTTCCTATTTATTGTCCATTCAACGTCATCCAAGCGAAAGTGAAGAAGGGCTGAGATGAGAACTTTCCAAAGAATTGATGAGACTTTTTTTTAAACATATTTAAGTGTTAGTTTATGTGTATTTGCTTTGAAAAAGGGAAAAGAATATTACTCGAAAAATCTCAAACCGTTTGGATTAACTGAAGAATTAGATTATAAGAGAATGTGGTATTGTTGGAGATGTCTGATTGGATAATTTTTAGGAGTAATTTGGAGGAAAATGATAACTTAATTTTTATTTGATACTTGATTGATCCTTCCTTCACAAGGATTTTGTTTTAAATTTTTTCCGTTTGTCTTCTACTAGAATATTTTCTAAAAGGTTAAATATTCATTTTTTAAAATTTTCCAGCCACTCTCCTTTCCTTCCTTACTTTCAAATCCAATTTCCTCTTATTTCCTTTTTTCGCCCTCGTTATATTTTTTTGTCACGCGTTTCTCCTTTATACATATTTGTTATATCTTGTCCATCGTTAAAAATTCGAGGTGTCTTCCTCAATAACTACTACAAACTTAAGGCATAACTGGTGCACGTTGTTTGTTACTAGAAAAATTTTCAAAAAGCATTGAGTGGTGCAAAAGTGGTTTGAGGTTAGGAAATGGCCAAAAGAAAAAAGACGGGGGAAAAATAGAATTTACAAGAAAAGGACCGTCATTCTTTATGTGGATGGCATAATGTTGCCCTAAGGGTTAGATCATACTTAAGCATATTACATTAAAGTAAAAATTAAAAGATTATAAAATAGTACATATGTCTAGATTTAAAAGAATTTAAATGGAAGGAGATTTAAATTTAAAATTATTGTTTTACCTACATAGCCCTCCCCCCTCTTTCTTGTCTTCCTGTTTTCAAAGGCCTTATAATAGGCATGATATTTTCTTTCTTGTATATTCTCGATTTTTCGATAGAAATATTTCTGATATAACTGAATATCGAGCCCCAGATTTTTCTTTTACATATCTCAACTTCAAAAAAATATTATTAATTACTTATTTGTTAGTTTATTAGTTAAGCCTTTTGTTTTCCTCCTTGTATTTGCTTTATCTCCCTTACTTTTTTGCCTTCTCATTTTTTTCATAATTCCCTTTTTAAATACATATATCATCTCTCTATTGTTTTTAAATTTTCTTAATTCTCAAGAGGCTATTTTTTATAAATATTTTTTGTTATTTTTCATGATATTATCAGACAATTCTTTTTTTGTTAAAATGTCAAAAACTGACCCGGAACTTTTAATTTTGCAACTTTTTTTTAAATTTTATTTCTAGTGCCGAACAATTCATGAACTTTCTGATTTAATTCGTCAGTGTGAATTAACAACAATTGCTTGTACTGCTACACTTCTTAAAGTAAAATTATTTTAAAATATTTATCTAAAATTATAATTTAGGGAATTGCCAACCTCTGGGCTCCTGTTCCTCAAGAACTGGAAAGACTCGCTGATGTGGCAAGGACCAGCCAACCGGGTCAAGAATTTATGTCCTTCCTTCAACAACAACAAAATTCTAATTCTTTACTTACTTCAAATGTGTCAACAACATCAAATGGGCAATGGTGGGTTTGGCCTTCCTTGAAATCTTTTTTTACTTTATCTTTATCTCTTCCCTTAACATCTCCTTATCATTTCTTATCTTACAATTTATAATTTATCCCTTCTTTAACTTGTCCCACTCTTCAAGAGTACATTTACATAATTTTATTAAAATATTAAAGTAAAATGATTGACTCTTCTAATTGTTCAAATATTCCTTTTTGCTCCTCTGATTCCGGCTCTTCCCCCCATCAACGTCCAACAACACTTTTAGCTGCACAAAAAGGAAGTAGTACAACAACAAGTATTGCTTCAGCTTGCTCATCTTCAATTCCTTCTCCAAACAGAGCTGTTCAACGAAGAAATGCTTTGGCAGCAGCTGAAGAACATTTACTTGTTACGGAGGTAGAAATTATTTTTAAAAAATTCTTTTTTCAAGTTAATCTAACCCTTGGGATATATTTTGAATGAAATGAGAGGCTCGCCCATCATTTTTATAATTGCTAGTATTTTTACGGAATGAGTAAAGTACTTCTAAGTAACAAAAAATTAATATTCTAATGAGTAAGACTTTAAATTATTGGTAGTAATTTTGAAGTAAATTAATTTTTTTTAATTTTTTTGTTCTCATCTTTCTAAATTTTCTTTTGCAAATATTTTTTATTTTAAATTAAAAATTAACAGGCCCAACAAAAACGTAGAACAGCTAGCAAAACTTCAATGGCTAAACTTTTTGATATTCAATCTTCCTCTTCTTCCTCTCCATCAGCAGCAGTTAACAATATTCTAGCTTCTTCCTCTTCTTCTGGTGGAAAACAAAATTTTTCTAATTTATATTCAGAAGCAGCACGTACTCATAAATTACAAAGAACTAGACAAGTAGCTAAATGTGCACAGGTACATACTTTATCTATTATTAATTTAATTTGTTTTGAATTTAAAATTAATTTATAATCATTAATTTTTTTAAATTTGTATCAAAAAAATAATTTTTAATTTTTTGGAGTTTTACTTGGTTCAACAAAAATTTCTGCAAAATTTTAATTTTTTAAAAATTTTTAGTGTGAACATTTATTACTTTTTGATGCTTTAAAATGTCAATGTTGTGCCTTAGTTTGGCATCGTAAATGTTTGCCAAATGTTCAAATTCGTTGTGGCCCAAATATGAGAAAATTTGATGAACAAAATGACGGGAAAGATTTAAATTTGAGAAGAACAAGCATTTTTGGTGTTCCCTTAAATATACATTTGGGTGAACAGAAAAGACAAATTCCATTAATTTTAGAAAAATGTTTGGATGAATTACAAAGGAGAGGGATGTGTTGTAAGGTGTGAAAATTAATTTAAATAAATATGTGTAAAATTTGGGAATATTTGAGTTAATTCCTTTAATAAATTAATTGTCTACACTTTTTGAAGACTTAATTTCTCATAAGAATGCGAGTCCATGTGTGCTAATTATTTTCTTTGGAATTATGATAATAATAAAATAAAAATTTACAAAAATTTAATTTTTAGGGTTTATATCGTACATGTGGTGTTAAAAGTAAAGTTGAAGAAATTTGTGTTCAATTTGAACAAAGCACAAATGATTTGCCTGTTGATTTAAGTAATGTACATCCTGTAAGTTTTTAAATATTTTTTTTATTTTGTGAAATAGTTATGAAGTTTTGTAAAAGATGAGGGGGAGGGGTGGGGGAGGAAGAAGTATACCTATTTTTAAATAATATGTATAGAAATTAGGGTTTCGCCGGAAGTTCCGGTTCCGGGTTCCGGAAGTTCCGGTGTTTTTTTGGTTCCGGTTCCGGTTCCGGGAACCGGAACTCAAATTGGTTCCGGTTCCGGTTCCGGCTCCGGTTTACAAATCGGTTCCGGCCAAACCGGAACTTTTTTACACCCCTAAGGATTGATTTTTTTTTAAAATATGGGTTGGCCTTCCCCAGTTGGCCTTGCAATATTCTTAAAATTTTCGCCTGCGGCGCCAGAAAAGGAAGAAATCTAGCTCCTTGTCCTCACAAATTCTTAAAATTTTCGCCTGCGGCGCCAGAAAAGGAAGAAATCTGGCTTCTTGTCCTTCTTAATTGTCAAAATTTTCGCCTGCGGCGCTTTAAAAGGAAGTTTAATGGTATATCGTAATTCGAAGAAATTCGGGTATAAAAAGGGATATAATGTAATTGGTGGGGTATCGGGCATATCAGGGGATTTGGGTAGTTCGGTACGGTTTTTTCGGTTCGGTTTGTCTGTTCTCGGTCGGTTAATCAAAGGTATCGGTTCGGTTAACCGAAGAATTGTTTGAACCAACAACCCTCTTAACCTGCAAATTTTTTAAAATTTTCTAGCAAAAATTTTTTTAAAAGTTCCGGTTCCGGTTCCGGGCCGGAACTTTGAAAAGTTCCGGTTCCGGTTCCGGGAACCGGAACTCAAATTGGTTCCGGTTCCGGTTCCGGTTCCGGTCAAAATTTCGGTTCCGGCGAAAACCTAATAGAAATCCTAAACAAATTTAAATTTTTTAAAGATGAATATTGCTTCCGTAGTTAAACTTTATTTACGTCGATTACCAGAACCATTACTTTCATATGAATTATATACAGAATGGTTAAGTGTTGAAATATATTTAAAAGAGGGAGAAAATGAAGAAGAAAATAATTTAATTAAAAATAAATTAGAAGAAGATAAAGAAGAAGAAGAAAATTATTTAAAATTAATTAATTTATTAAAACAACTTGTTAAAAAATTACCAATTCCAAATATGCAAACACTCCGATTTTTGGCATTACATTTAAATAGAGTTACTTGGTTAGAGATTTAACTAAAATAATCAATTTAATTTATTTAATTTAAAAGGTTTGAATTACAAAATTTAATGACTGCGTCAAATTTAGCAGCAGTTATTGCCCCTTCACTTCTTTGGCAACGTTTACCTCTCCCTAATGCTGTTGTTGGAAGAGGAGGGATTAATTCTAATAATAATCTTTCTCAATCAACAAATAATAATGTAATTAATTAATTAAAAAATTATTTAATTTTCGATCTTTTATTAATAAAAATTAGCTTTAAATATATGGCCATGACCGTTTTGATTTCTGATACAGAATTAAATTATTATTTTTTTAGCAACAACAACAACAATTTATTAGTGACGCCCATCGTCAAAGCCGTGCAGTAGAATTAATTATTAAATACGCTTTTGAAATATTTGATGAAGACCGCCGTTTAGATTGGTGTAGATTTTTTGCCGATTATCCAGGTGTAGCACAACCACAAAGAAGGCATTCATTGGCAGCTACGGCTGGGGCTTCTGATGCTTCTTTGCCTCCACAATCTGTCAGAATGGGAATTAATAATTGTAATTAATTTATTTAGTGCTTTGCTTTATTTAAATATTTAAAAAATAAAAGTATCTAATAAATTTTGGACAATAAATAATAATCAAAATTATTTTTAAGCAAATAGTGTTTATCATTCAACATTGGAATCAACAATATCTACAAATAATGAAGATGAACAAATTGAAGGTGAAGAGGAAGAAGAAGAAGGGGAAGATGATGATGATGAACTTTTATTAGATAATGAAATGGAATTATTAGTTAATTGCCCAAATGATTTAAATAATAAACAAAAAATTATTTTTGGAAGAAGAAAATCTTTGGGAACAACAAATTCAACTAATAATATTACTAATGAAAAACAAAAATTAAGTAGATTGAAAACATTGGGGACTGTTATGGGGAAAAGTTGTGAGTTTTAAAATTAAAAATAAAATTTTATATAAATCGGAGTTGGAAATATTTTTAAAAATTATTATTTTTAGAAACCGGAAAAAATTTTAAGTTTTAAAAAATTAAAAAAAATTTTAAGCGCATTTATTTCTATTTGATTGAATAGGGAAAAAATTGAATCCAGCCAAACTCTAATTATTTTAAATTTTATTTTTAAAGTACCACTAGAAGATACAAATCCACCAACAACTAACCAACAACAACAATTTTTTATTCAAAATAACAATTTAAAATATCAATTTCAATCCCCTTCTACAGCCCCATCTCAAAGACGTTTAAATTTCCAAGCACATAAACAACGCTCATTTACTACCTCAATTTTAGTTTCCCCGCTTTCTATTAGACGAAATGAAAATATTAATAATAATAACAATTATTATTTAAAAATGAATAGTGAAAATTTGGAGAAAATGGATATGAAAATAAAAAAGTATTTTTAAATAATTTTTGATTAAAAATATTGGCATATGTTAAGTAAATTTTAAGTATATAGGAAAGTCCAGCCGAACTCTAATTAATTATAATTTTACTTTATTTAAAGTACCGGATTTATTTAAAGTTTCGGTTTTATTTAAAAATAGGATAAATTCAACACAGATTTTTATGTAAAGATTGTTAAAATCTGAGTATTTTTTAATTAAAAAAATATTTTTAGTAATAATTCTAATCAAAATCAACGAAAGTTACTTTCACATAAATCTATGGATGAAAGTTTTGTTCAACAACAAAATGGACAACATTCTGATCTTGGTAGAAGAGCTACACTTCGCTCTGGCGAAGTTACTGTTCAACTTGGAAAAGTAATTTAAATACACTGCGGTTTAAAAGTTTATGCATATCATCCAAAAAAACTTATAACTTAAGGACTTACTAGTTATACTGCATTGAAATAATTTTTAATTAAGTATGCATAAACTTTTGCACCACAGTGTAAATGATTAAATAATTTGTATTATTTCTAATTAAATATTTAATTCTTTCAATATTAATTTCATTTGTCAAAACTTTCATAAAAGTTCCTTTCATTTAAAATACACCAAATATGGTCGAATATTTGTTTATTTTTTAAAGGATTGTTTGCCAGATGATGGAGTTGGTGGCCATTTAAGTGTTCGATTACTTTCATCAATGGATACTGATGATGTTAGCTATGTGTAAAATGAAGAAAATATTTTGCTTTTTATTATTAAAAGAACTATGCAAATAAAGAAAAACAAAAACGGGTAATTAATTAAACAATAGAAGAAAAAATAAATAAGAAAAAATATTTTGGTGCTTTATTTTTATTATGTATTTTTTAATAAAAAATTTAATTAATGTTTTTTTAATTTCTTTTTACAATTAAGGCATACTTGTTGATTCGTATTTTTGCTTGACCTATAATTCTTAACTAATTTTTAAAATAATAATTAATTAACCAAATAGTATTTAAGAAGGGCCCGGATATTAAAAATTGGGGGGTTTTAATCGCAAACTCCAACCCTATTTTAATAATTAAGGCTGGGAAAAATATTCACGCAAGATCACCAAATATGCGCATATATGCACTGAAAAGGGCCCAAAATATGTAAAAATTCCTTAAACATGCACTAAATATGCCGCAAAAAATAATGAAAATGTGCTTTAGAAATCAATATTTTTCAATTTTTGGCAAAATTTTACAAAAAATGACGAAATATGGCTCCGATATGCAAATATACACGAGATTGTCAAAATATGCATTAAGATCCGGGTCCCAGTGCTCGGACCAATGTAAAAACACCATTTTTGAGCTTCTCTCAAGACATACCTGCATACAAAACATGCATTTGCATGTTTTGGACCAACCTACTTATCTTTAAGTATATGATATACCATGAAAGTATCTCAAATGACACAGAATAGATTATTTATACAGAACATACATATGACAATTACATACATAGCACAACATAAAGAATACAATAATTGTGTCAAAACAACAATATAGTACATCCCCGATTATTTTCGGACTTAACAGCATATAATATACATACATACCTACATATGATTGAATACAATAATGGAAGGAGGGAATACAAAATCTTTTTTGGGAGGACAAAAACAACAATATAGGCTCTACAACACAACCATGAACGTATTTTGCTTTTATATATCTTTATTTCATCCATCCATTCTTTCCTTTTCCTTCTATCCTTTTCAACCAGAACTATGAGATCCACCGCTAGTTGTACCCTCATTCGAACCGCTGGAAGCGCCACTGGAAGTTTCGGAGTAGACGGAACCGGAACCAGATGATTTGCTGCCGCTTTCTAAAGAAAAATAAAATTTTTTTATCTAAAACAAAAAACACACCGCTTCCGCCCGAAGTCGAACGGGCTGATCCCGAAGTACTCTTCCCAGTATCCGTCGTCCCCTTTGAAGAGGTCCCTTTCTTCGACTTGGTAGCCTTCGACGTGCTCTTCTTCGATGTGGTTCCAGCAGATGCGGTCCTAGCAGATGAAGTCCTGGCAGACGCCGTCTTCCTAGATGCCGTTTGCTCCTTCGCAGATGCCGTTGGAAGGCGAGTCGATGGCGAAACCTTTCCAGACTTGCGAGATGAAGCAGCAGCCCTCTCCGTCTCCCTTTGCGTTCTCGAGTCCATCCTAATTGACTGTTGCAGCGCTGTCCGCATACTAGCCTCACTCGGGCTCGGGCCTTTCGCCGTTCTTGTACTTGCTGAACTCGCCACACTGCTAGCCGGACCGAGAGAAGTTGCTGATGCCGAAGGAGGTGGACCCTGAAAAGAATTTTAATAAATTAGGGAGACTCTTCGCAATCTATTTTACTTACCGCAGCAGCTGCACATTTCTTCTCAAGAGCACAACAGAATGTAGCAACGTAGATCACAAGGGAGCTAAAATTTAGAAAAAAAATTTTTAAAAGAATGAAAATTAGAGGATAACTTACATAACTAGATAGACACCCGCAGCGATGCCGTACTTGCTCCAATCCTTAGTATCACGCAGAAAGATGTCATCAGCCCCACGTTTGAAGCGAAGATTATGTTGTTCGACAGCAGCAGGCAGAAAACGTCCAAACGCAATATCAGCGGCAAGCACCAGCAAAAGTCCAATTAAGAGAAGGCGACGGGTGCAGGGAACAGCCATCAGCTAGCAGGAATGTAGTTGTAACAGGCACAAGAAAGTTGAGTTTTGAATTATGAAGAAGCAATGTGTTGTATAAAAATGATTAGAAAATGGTTGGTTTTTATATTAAAATTTTTTCAACTTTGTTAGATTAAAGAATATCACTAAAACAAATATAAATTCTCAAGAATTTTCCATTGCTTCTTTCTTATCCAGTTACTGTATTTCGTATCAAAATCGAGTTTTTCAAAATATAGATATCAAATCTCGATCGATCTTCTAAACAAAAACATTTAAAGTTTCCACAACACGACACAATAAAAACATTGTTAAAAAAATAATTTATTCAAAATTATATTTATTTTAACTAGAGTTAAGCGGTATCGGGATTTAGAGAAAAACCCGGGATCGGGATTTCGGAATGGTGGTCCCGATCCCGATCCCGGATCCCGACACGGGATCGGGATTGGCCGAAATCGGGATCGGGATTTGGAATGGAGATCCCGATCTCGATCCCGATCCCGAATCGGGACCGGGATTGAAAAATCGGGATCGGGATTTACAAAAAAAATTTTTAAAAACTTTTAAATTTTTATTTTCTTCACATACGACTCAATATAATTCTAAAATTTCCACTGCGGTGCTGAAATAGTGAGTTTAAGTCTCATAGACGCATGATTTACTTTCCGGTTCAGGGGATTAAGGGAGGATAAGGTAATGGGGGGGGGGGGGGTTGAGGAATAAATGGGATTGGGCTTCTTACATTTTAAGCGCCGCAGGCAAAAATTTTGAAAAATTTGGAAGGCCAAGGTGCCAAATTACCTGCCTTTTAAGCGCCGAAGGCAATATTTTTTATTTTGGAAGGCCAAGGGTATATAAGTCTAAACGTTCAAGTCTATACGATTAAGTGCGTTACGTTCAAATGTGGACGATTAAGAACTGAGATTGAGGGATTAAGTGATAACTCATGTAGTAATATCTCTTAAGCCCTTGATTTCTCTTCAAATCTAACTTAATCCCTGTAAATTCACCGATATCCTTCTATACTCCAAATCCACCGATAATCCCCTCAACACCTCTTGATCGTTCGATATCACACCAAATAACTCAATATTTCGTTAAAGTTTTAAAGACAGTGATCAAGGCATCTCTATAATGTCTTAGTCACTCCCTTTTCTGCGCCGCAGGCGAAAATTTTGAGAATTTTGGAATTCAAGAAGCCAAATTTCTTCCTTTTTCTGCGCCGCAGGCGAAAATTTTTCTTATTTTCACGCCTCCCCTCTTCTGTTAACTCTATTTCACAGATTTCTAGTCAATTTATAAAATCGGGATTTGCATCGGGATCTGATGCACATCCCGATCCCGATCCCGGATCCCGGCTCGGGATTGAGATTGGCCGGGATCGGGATCGGGATATATATTTCGGGAGCGGGATCAGAAAAATCGGGATCGGGATTCGAAAAACCCGGGATAATCCCGCCCGATCCCGACCGGGATCCCGATCCCGCTCAACTCTAATTTTAACACAAAAACAACTTTTTAATTAAATAGAAATATCCACTCTGATCAATTCATTCATTCCCCAATAGTTTCCAAAAAATTTATTTGGAGTCTTATGTAAAGAGAATAAGAAACAATAGGACATTGAGACAAAACTCAAATTTTCTGTTATAAAATTGCTAGTTTTATTTTTTAAGGGATGTATTTAATAGACCAGAGTTTAATATCTTACAAATTATTAATTAATTATTAAGGCAAAATTTATTTATTATCTTTTTTGTATTTTGCAGCTAAATGTGATATTTGTCCTCCATCATATGAAAATCTTTGTGGTTTAAATTCGGAAATCTGAAAAATAACATTTAAAAAATTAAATACCCTAAGAACTTCTTTTGGGTATGTAGATAAATTTCATTCTTTAAATTCTTTTTTTGTAAATGCTACAATTAAGATTTTTCTTTTTATTTTTAAAATAGAGATCCGACCATTTTAAACCTCAAAAAATTGAAAAACTTGTATTCAAACACATAACTTCTGAACGGTCAGACATTCTTACTCTTAACAAAGTCAAAATATTTTGTATTAAATTTACCCTTCCATTAAATTGTAGCCAATCTGGACATTCAGACATTCTAGCCCCTCTTTTATTTTCTTTAAATCCTTTTATTGTCATTGTTGTTGATGCTCTTCTTTTTTGTCCTAAAATTCTTTTATTTATTTCAGAACGTGTTCTTCTACTTGACCAATTATTATTTAAATTATTTTTTTGTTTAAATGTTTGTTGAAATAATTCTCTTAAAGAACTTAAACGAAAATTATTTTGCTGTCCTTCTTCTTCTTTAATATCATCATTATAACAAAAAGAAACACGTCCCCCTCCATTTCCGTTAATTAAATTTATATTTGTTACTGAAGAAATTGAAGAACCAAAAAGATGTGAACGTGCACGTTGGGTTCTTCTCCACTTCCAAGGGGAAGGTGGTGGGGAGGTTGCTGTTGTTGTTGCTAATGTTGTTTTGCTTTTAGAACATGTTGCTTTGTGCCAACTTCTAAGGAAAAATTTTTTTATTCTAATTTGTCTAGAAAAGTTGGGATCGAAATCTAAGATCTAATTTAAAATACCGGGGATCAAAAAATATTGGAAACTATTCAAATTCTGACATCACTTAATAGACATCACTTTCTAGCTTCTTTTTTTCTATTTACAAATATTTTCAAATACCCAATATTGAATCTTCTAATTACCTCAAATAATTTAAAAAAATATTTTTACCTAATAAGGTATTTTCTCGGTTCTAAAGACTGTATTCTGTTAATTTGTCTGTTAAATTGTTCTCTAACTTCAGGAATTCGTAAAGAATAAATTAATGGATTAAGTAATGATTTTGCCAGAAGAAAACTTAATTGTATACAACTAAGTCCAAATAAAAGACGAAAAGATCCAATACTGCTAAGTAAACGACATTCAGAACAAGTTATTGCAAATAAAACACTAAAAAATATTTTAATTAAAGTATTAATTATAATATAAAATTGGAAACTCTAGTTCGTCATTCCCCATTTATTCTAGCCCAGGGGCCTATATCAATTGTCCGCAGATTCTGCGGCTTGTGCACAGAATGCAGAATCTTCGGACAATTGATATAGGCCCCAGTCCAATAAAGTAATCGGTCTATGGAGGAAGGGGAGGTTATAATATTTTATTTTAAATTAAAATACCTAGCAGGTGCCCATCCTAAAAGAAAACTTGCACAAATAAGTAAAGTAGTCCAAAGAGTTCTCCTTTCTCGACGTCTTTTCCTTTCATTACTATTATTACTTCTAGCAGATTGGGGTAAAGAATTTTCATTTTTATTATTATTAACAATATTATTTCTTGAATGCATTAAACAAAGCTTTAATTTTTTTATTTATTTAAATTTAAATATTTATTTCTAACCAATCTAGCATAACACAAAGTTATTGCCAAAAATAAAATAGCTAATAGCCCGGCAACTGCCCATCTAAATATTTTTTCATTATAAAAATCAACTCTTTCACAATTAAATAATCCTTGATTTTCTCTACTTAAAGATAAAATAAACAAAATAATTGAAGGGAATGACCAAGCACAAATACAAAGTAAAAAAGCTATTCGACGTAAACGATGCTTGAAAAAAAGCGAATTAATTAAATTTAAATTTATTTCTGTACTTTATCCATATGTGGACGGACAATACCCACACAATGATTTAATGCAATAAGTAATAAATGTAATGCTGCTGTTAATAAACCACCCGTTCTTAACATCTGAAAATTAAAGATAATTATTTTTCTATTAATATTCTTGACCCAACCAACATTCATATTTTTACAAATATATTCCCCCCAATTTATTAAAATACTTTAATTTTTTACTCAATTAATTACCCTCCTTTGATTAATTAAATAAAACGTTTATTTTTTATAGAAAAAGTTTAGAATTTAATTTAAGCTTTAATTAATCGAGTAAATTATTTTTATTTATAATTCTCTTATAGAAAGTTGTCTTAAAATTTAATTTTAATTTTAAAAAAACCTCAAGAGAAAGCGAAACACAAGGTCTTGGTTGTGTATGTAAAACTGTAGGTAAATAACTATTTATTAAAAGAGATAAAGCCATGACAGAACTTGACCTTTAAATATTTATTTAAAATAAATCTAATTAATTAATTCTACCAAATATCGGAAAATGTTAAACTTAAAAGTAAAGTAACTGTTGCATTACGAACTCTTGAAGCTTTTAATGCCAAAATAACTAAAGAATTTGCAATTACTGCCAAAAGAGAAAGAAATAAAAATGCTGGTATTACAACTTGGTACATCTTTAAAAAGGAATTTTTAAATTGTAATAGAAAGGTTAAAAATAGGGGGATTTACCTAAGAGAATCTCCCCAAATATTTTATTGTAGATAGGGAATAGGTAACTACCCTTGACTTTTAAGTAGTGTTGGTCAACGGACAGACACTAGGTTTTAGTTTTGCCGAAATATCAGTTTTATTATGTGGGGGAATTTTAAATATTTCTGACAAAATTCCTTAATTTATTCCAAACTTTATATTATTTTATAGGTAATTATTTTATTTTTATAAAATTATTAAAATTAATTTACCTTAATTCTATAATTAATATCATTCTCGTAATTATTTTCAATTTTAATATCAGAAGATATATTGTTAATACTTATATTTCCACCATAATCCTTAAATTTCTCTTCTTCTTCCATTGTTTTTATGACGAAATAAATATATTTTAATAATTAATATATATCAAAATAATTTTTTAACAATCTAAATATTTAAAAGAGTAAATGAGAGAAAGGGAGAGTTGGGAAGAATATTTATTAATTATTTTCTTTTCTTCTTTTTTCCCTTTTTTACTTCCGTCCTTTATTTTAAATCTTTTTTTCTTCATTTTTACTTTAGGGCAGCAACAACCTTTTTCGGATTTTCTTTTATTTTATACTTTTTTGTATTAATTTTAAAAATCCTTTGCAATTTAAAAAACAAAAAGGCTTCCCCTCTCCCCCTCCCGTCCTTTCTTTTCTTTAATTTTAAAAGCTTTTCCTTAACAATAAAAAACTCTTTTAAAAAGAAATTATTAAAAAATGAAGTAAATTTTACTTTTAAAGTAGTGGAAAAAAAAGAATTTCTATTTTTGGAATTTAAAATGAAAAAAGGAAAATAGGGGAAACTTTTAAAAATGAACAAATTATTTAAAGAAAATTAATTATTAAAATAAATAAAAATATAACTTTTTACATATTGATGAATTAACTTATTTTTGTTAAAAGTAAGACCCCAAGCATTAGTTAAGATTGTAATTATATATTTTTTATTTTTTTTAAAATTATAAAAATAAATTAAAAATATAGTTGCTTTACATCCGCAAATGGATTTTTAAATACCATGTGTTGATCCAAAAAGTATTTAAAAATTGTGGCAAAAATTTGTGAATATTTTTTGAAAGGATTTAAAAGTGTGGGAGTTATTTAAAAAAAAATAATTTAAGGAAGGAAAAAAAGTGTTTTTTGTCTATAATATACAAATAAACAAATTAAGTACATACTTCTTTTTAACTAATTTTTCTTTTTAATTTTTAAAGAAAATAAAAAGCTTTTTTTCGAGAAATGTGAAACTAATTTATTTTTAAAGAGAAAAATAATTAAATAAAAATAAATATTTAATTTAATTTTTAAAAAAGAGAAAAATTATTTAAAAAATAAAAAATAATATTTTTTATTTAAAAAGAAAGAAATTTTTTTTAATTTGATAAAAATTATGTAATTAGCAAAAACATTTTAGAATTAAGGCAGATTCTAAGCCTGGAAAAAAAAGTTTAGAAAAGTATTTTTAAATAATTACAAGTAATTAAAAAAAACTCTTTTAAAAAGAAATTATTAAAAAATGAAGTAAATTTTACTTTTAAAGTAGTGGAAAAAAAAGAATTTCTATTTTTGGAATTTAAAATGAAAAAAGGAAAATAGGGGAAACTTTTAAAAATGAACAAATTATTTAAAGAAAATTAATTATTAAAATAAATAAAAATATAACTTTTTACATATTGATGAATTAACTTATTTTTGTTAAAAGTAAGACCCCAAGCATTAGTTAAGATTGTAATTATATATTTTTTATTTTTTTTAAAATTATAAAAATAAATTAAAAATATAGTTGCTTTACATCCGCAAATGGATTTTTAAATACCATGTGTTGATCCAAAAAGTATTTAAAAATTGTGGCAAAAATTTGTGAATATTTTTTGAAAGGATTTAAAAGTGTGGGAGTTATTTAAAAAAAAATAATTTAAGGAAGGAAAAAAAGTGTTTTTTGTCTATAATATACAAATAAACAAATTAAGTACATACTTCTTTTTAACTAATTTTTCTTTTTAATTTTTAAAGAAAATAAAAAGCTTTTTTTCGAGAAATGTGAAACTAATTTATTTTTAAAGAGAAAAATAATTAAATAAAAATAAATATTTAATTTAATTTTTAAAAAAGAGAAAAATTATTTAAAAAATAAAAAATAATATTTTTTATTTAAAAAGAAAGAAATTTTTTTTAATTTGATAAAAATTATGTAATTAGCAAAAACATTTTAGAATTAAGGCAGATTCTAAGCCTGGAAAAAAAAGTTTAGAAAAGTATTTTTAAATAATTACAAGTAATTAAAAAAAACTCTTTTAAAAAGAAATTATTAAAAAATGAAGTAAATTTTACTTTTAAAGTAGTGGAAAAAAAAGAATTTCTATTTTTGGAATTTAAAATGAAAAAAGGAAAATAGGGGAAACTTTTAAAAATGAACAAATTATTTAAAGAAAATTAATTATTAAAATAAATAAAAATATAACTTTTTACATATTGATGAATTAACTTATTTTTGTTAAAAGTAAGACCCCAAGCATTAGTTAAGATTGTAATTATATATTTTTTATTTTTTTTAAAATTATAAAAATAAATTAAAAATATAGTTGCTTTACATCCGCAAATGGATTTTTAAATACCATGTGTTGATCCAAAAAGTATTTAAAAATTGTGGCAAAAATTTGTGAATATTTTTTGAAAGGATTTAAAAGTGTGGGAGTTATTTAAAAAAAAATAATTTAAGGAAGGAAAAAAAGTGTTTTTTGTCTATAATATACAAATAAACAAATTAAGTACATACTTCTTTTTAACTAATTTTTCTTTTTAATTTTTAAAGAAAATAAAAAGCTTTTTTTCGAGAAATGTGAAACTAATTTATTTTTAAAGAGAAAAATAATTAAATAAAAATAAATATTTAATTTAATTTTTAAAAAAGAGAAAAATTATTTAAAAAATAAAAAATAATATTTTTTATTTAAAAAGAAAGAAATTTTTTTTAATTTGATAAAAATTATGTAATTAGCAAAAACATTTTAGAATTAAGGCAGATTCTAAGCCTGGAAAAAAAAGTTTAGAAAAGTATTTTTAAATAATTACAAGTAATTAAAAAAAACTCTTTTAAAAAGAAATTATTAAAAAATGAAGTAAATTTTACTTTTAAAGTAGTGGAAAAAAAAGAATTTCTATTTTTGGAATTTAAAATGAAAAAAGGAAAATAGGGGAAACTTTTAAAAATGAACAAATTATTTAAAGAAAATTAATTATTAAAATAAATAAAAATATAACTTTTTACATATTGATGAATTAACTTATTTTTGTTAAAAGTAAGACCCCAAGCATTAGTTAAGATTGTAATTATATATTTTTTATTTTTTTTAAAATTATAAAAATAAATTAAAAATATAGTTGCTTTACATCCGCAAATGGATTTTTAAATACCATGTGTTGATCCAAAAAGTATTTAAAAATTGTGGCAAAAATTTGTGAATATTTTTTGAAAGGATTTAAAAGTGTGGGAGTTATTTAAAAAAAAATAATTTAAGGAAGGAAAAAAAGTGTTTTTTGTCTATAATATACAAATAAACAAATTAAGTACATACTTCTTTTTAACTAATTTTTCTTTTTAATTTTTAAAGAAAATAAAAAGCTTTTTTTCGAGAAATGTGAAACTAATTTATTTTTAAAGAGAAAAATAATTAAATAAAAATAAATATTTAATTTAATTTTTAAAAAAGAGAAAAATTATTTAAAAAATAAAAAATAATATTTTTTATTTAAAAAGAAAGAAATTTTTTTTAATTTGATAAAAATTATGTAATTAGCAAAAACATTTTAGAATTAAGGCAGATTCTAAGCCTGGAAAAAAAAGTTTAGAAAAGTATTTTTAAATAATTACAAGTAATTAAAAAAAACTCTTTTTTTAAATATTGAAAGGGGAAGATGAGAGAAATTTAAATTTGAGAGTCTGAAAATTATTTTATAAAAATATATTAAAATGGGTCTCTCTCTCCCTCTGGCTGCTATTAGCAACAAACAAAAGAAAATTATTTTTTAATTATTTTTTTATCAGTACAACAATTAATTAATGAAAAATTGAATAAAAACAAAAAAAATATTAATTTATTTTATTAATTTAGAGGAAGCCTTTTTAAGGATTTCTCCTTTTTTAAATCTCATGGGAAAACACAATTTTTTAAATAAAAATCAATTTAGGTAAATTAAAAATAGAAGAGAATTTAAATTTGCTAAAACTTTTTGAAGATTTAAATTAACCTCCTTAACAGATCAAATATCAGAAGATTTTAAATAAAATTATTTTTAGTAGTAATTGAGTAAAATGTAGAAAAAGAAACAAAAAAAAGAATTTTTTGACAAGTTTTTGTGTGTCAGTCAGTCAGTCACTTCATCAAATTTATTTTTTTATTAAAGTTTAAAAAAGAAAATGTCAAAAATATATTGAGGAAATTTAAAAAAGGATTTGTTTAAATGTGAAGGGAAGGAAAGATATTTTTGAGGATATTTTGAGGGTATTTGAGGATATTTTTCTAAATAATGTAAGAAAAAAAAAGATAATTTTAATTAAAAAAATTAAGGTTAAAGACCTTAATTTTTGGCCCATTTTAAATAAAAAATGGCTAATTTTTGAAAAGTTACGGCTACAATTAAGTTTCCTTCTAAATTCCTTAGTCTACTTAATTCACATAATTTTTCCAAACTTTGTATTAATTTGTGGATAAACAATATTATTAGCTTGTTTTTATAAAATTTTGCCTGACTTTAAGCTTTAATTTTATGTTAACTATCCTCAAAAGTTGCGTTCAATTTAGGAGAATTTAAAATATTTTTTGAAACAAAAAGTTAAAGGAAGAAACCTTTTTTGAATTTTTCCTTTAAAAAATTATTTTGTAAAAAATTTACAAACAAATTATAAAAATTTAATGATAAATGTATTATGTACATTCTCTCAATTTTTTAATTAAAAATAACTCAATTCTTTGGTTAAATTTAAAAAAAAATCTTAGAACCAACAATCCTAAATAACAGATTTTTTTAATTTATTTTAACTGTAAGAGATCTAACAAAAATTCCAAAATACCTAAATTTTTTTAGAAAAATTTTAGTTAGTTTATTAAGGTAAAAAAGGGGGAAAGAGAAAAATTAAAATTTATATTTTAAATAGAATAAAAGAAGAATATTTTAAGTAAAAGAAAATTAGGGTTTTAAAAGAAAATTTGAAGAAAAAACGTCAGAAAAAGATATTTTTATGTGTATATTTGTTTCTTTGAATTGTCATTTAAAGCTCGAAAAAAAATCTTTTCTAAATTTTTCTTTTTATAGAAAAAAGGTTAATAATAAAACTTTTTTTTAAAAAAAACTTTGCTCTCTTTTTTCCTTTTTTATATTTTACTCTCCCCTTACCCTTCCCCCCCCCCCACTCTCTCCTTTAAAAAAGAAACAATTCTTTTTATTAAATGTTTTTAGGCCTTTAGGCAATATCCGGTTAATAATTTTAAAAAAAACAATGAATGCCTATTTTATGAGGGAAATGATTGAATGATGCTTAAACATGAGAGAATTAAAGGCTAAAAAAGATTTTTTAAATAAAATAGAACTTTTAACAATCAAAAAATATTTAAATGTTTGTTTTCAATTTTTGGTCTTTCAAAACCCTTCTAAAATTAGCAAAATTTCTAAAAAATATTTTCTCTATACAAAATAATAATTCTGCAATGATGCATAAATATTTATAAAAACAAAAATATTTATTTTCGTTTTTATAGTAGCTAATTAAAAAAATATTTTTAGATAAAATATTTTTTATTAGAAAAGTTGGGAATAAATATTATCTATTTTAATGGAGGGAATATTTTAATAAAAATTTAAGAAAAAATTATTGCAGAAATTTTGTGTATTTTTGTAAAAAATATTTTTCCAAGAGAGAATTAACAGAAAAATTAATATTTTTCTTTAATTTATGTATTTAAGAATAATTAGGTATATTTTAATTATTTATTTTTACTTCAAAAAACCTTTAAAAAACATAATTTTGGGAGAAACAAAAAATATTTTTACTTTATTTCCTAAAATTCCTCATCCTCGTTAACTCCTTCATGATCAATAATGTAAGTTGCAGCATCTCTTGGCGTTTTGAATTTTTCAGAATCCTAAAAAAAGAGAAAAGGTTTATTTATTTTTTATTAACTTTTGAAATTTATGCCAGAAAAAGCGAATATTTTAAGTTAACAAAAAAAGCTCCACAAGAATAAAAAACCGAATTGGTTTCTTAAAACTTTTCAATACTAACAATAAATATTTTTCGATTAAAAATACAAAAAATAACCTCAATAGAGATTTCAAATCCAAATTCATCTTCCAAAGACATAACAATTTCAACCAAATCAAGAGAATCAAAACTAAGATCTTCAACAAATCGAGCATCCAATTCAAGTTTTGAAACGCGGTCTTGTGGAAAACGATCCCATTCTTTGATTGCCTTCAAAACACGTTGATGTACCTTAAATTAACTTTAAAATAGATGAAATAGAAAATAATAATTTCAGGGCATACTAGGAGGTACGGCCAACCCCTAACATTCACCTTGAAAATTATAACGAAAATTTTACGGTCAATTGTGAATACAGACTAAACCTACAAGATTATATTTTTTATATGAAAATCAGTTTTTATGAGTATTCTAGTGCGCTGATCACAAATATAAAGACAGATTTGAATACCGTGTTTCGTTTTTGAAATACAGAAACATGCAATTAGAAAACCATAAGTAAGATTTTTGCAAGCGAAAAAATTGAAAGTTCAATATTTTCAAAAATAATCCCACTCCGATAATTTGGAGGGCACCCATACACCCTTATCTAAAAATATTTAAAACCTCTTCTTCCGTCATAGGAATCGGTGGTGGAATACTTTCTGTACCTTCAATCATTCGAAATCTTTGAGCACAGAAATGAATTCGACGACATGTTGACTTCAAACTAAAATGGAATTTAAATTAAATATTAATCTAAATTTTAAATTAGCGTTTTATTTGATTTTAAATAATTTATAAACATGAATATAAAAAATAAAAAAAAAGTTAGTTTAAGAAAAGAAGGCAATAATTGCTTGATTAATTAAATTCTTCATATAAAATGAAAGTTATACAATTCAAGTTATAAAGATAGGTTCTTGAGTAAAGTATGAAAATTACAAAAGAAATATGCATCGCGAGAATAATTTTCAAATAAGAAGGCCTAAAAAATCTAAGAAAATTAAAAAAAAACAAGAAAGAAGTTATTCTTTAAAGTAAATAAATATATTAATAAATTTTACCTTGATTTAGATGAAAATGGAGTAAATTTGAATGAATTGATTGAGCTGAAACAACTTGAATTATTCAAATTAATTTGTTTTGTATTTAAAACAAATGGTCGAAAATGCAATTTGTGTGTCAATGCCCTCCAAGCAAAAGTTGATAAGTTCGCCATCACTAATAGTAAATCTTAAAAACAAAAATTAAATTAATTTAAAGAAAAACATTTAATATTAAAATTTGACCAAATATTTACCTAAACTTTATAAAAATTACCATTTCAAAATAATCTTTACTAGTTACCAAATTGAAGATCAGAGATAAAAAAATAAATGACATTTCATCCCTTATTTATGCATTCCAAAATAAATGTTAGATTGCGAGAATTAAAGGTCAATTTATCATTTTACAAGTGAGATTCATTTAATTTTGATATATGTAATTTTGTCTGAAATTTTACAAAAATTTATCAAATTTTTAAAGAATTTAATGTAAAATGAGTATAGGGGGATTAGACATTCACAAAGAAATTTAAAATACATTTTTTTAAATAATCTTTTAATTTTTAAGAATTTTATTTGATGGATGTCCTCTACAAAGAGGCAACATCCCCAGTCTTTTCGTCATGTTCGCGATACTTCAACTTCATCTGTTTGGTTAGAAAATGTGAATGGCCGTCAACAAACAATTAAAGCCAATTCTCTAAACAATTCTCCAATTACTGTTCAACAATATTCTCCCAGAAATATTTACCATCACGAAGATGCTACTCAATCAGTTTATTTATTTTATTAAAAATTTATTTTTGTTTATTAATTTTTAGGAAGAATTTCATCCATTTGTTGAAGATTTATTGCCTCATGTTCGAGAATTTGCTTTTGTTTGGTTTAATCTACAAGCTGCTAAACGAAGACATAATAAGCGTTGTGAACAAAGTATGACACTTGATGAAGAAAGGCAAACAAAACAAATGTTGATGGTTTGGAATTTTTATTTTAAATTTTACTAATGAAATTTAGTATACAACTTTACTTTTATTTCAGACTGAACGTCCTGAGGAAAAACAAAAATGGGCAGGTCGTCTTCTAGGAAAATTAAGGTTTTTCTATTTTTTACTTAAAATTATGGGCAAGTTTTTCTTTTTGAATAAGTTTTTCTCCAAATCCTATCTTTTTTGTATTAATTATTGATGGTTATGACTCATGCACATTTAAATTTTTAAATTATAACTTTATTCTTGTTCTTTATATTCCTCTCTTTATGTCTCACTAAATTTTTTAAACAAATTTTTATTTAAATAGAAAGGACATTCAACCACAGTTCCGAGACATTTTTGTTCAATCAATAACAAATCCTCGACAACAGCCAGCCCTTTGTGTACTTTCAAATCCTGATCAAAAAGGCAAAATGCGACGCATTGACTGTTTAAGACAAGCTGATAAAGTTTGGCGTTTGGATTTGGTTATGGTTATTCTTTTTAAGGTAAAAAGAATAATGGTATAGTTTTATATAAAGTTTTAATGTATTTTACCTTATTTTTATTGTTCCCATTGTCGTTCATCATGCAGGGTTATATTGAATTGATTTTTCCTTTAATTTGGATTTTGAACAGCTTAAAAATTTATGATTAATTACTCTCAAATTTTATAGATTTTTTGTCTGAAAGTAAAAGTTATGTCAAACTTGATGTCTGAAAAGGATTCTTTAATATTTTTCTTTAATTTACCTATCATTAACCTGCCTATTATTCATAACTTTTTTTCTATTAAGGGAATACCATTAGAGAGTACTGACGGCGAAAGACTAGAGAAATGTCCTAATTGTCAACAACCCGGACTTTGTGTCAATCCTTATCATATTAGTATTGCTATAAGAGAATTAGATCTTTGGCTTGCCAATTTTATTTATACAACAGATCCAAATAAACCAAAACCTAAAAGAGAGGATGAAGAAGGTTATTTTTGGGAAATTAAATTTTATAAAAAATATTCTTAAAAAGATGATTGCGAAGGGATTTGGGGAACTGGCGTCTTTAGTGCTTATGAATTACGAAAACTACATAAACGTTAGTTAATATAAACAAAATTAACTGGTTTTATCTTTTTAGCTTCTATCTTAAATTCAATAAATTGCGGCAATGCCATTTACTTAAATAAATACGGTAATGGGACTGATGCACAATGTGTACAAAACGGTATTTTTGTTTGTTTTCTTTTTTAAGTTTGGTTTGGGTAGATGAAAAATTGAATGAGTAACTTTAATTAATTGTCAGAAAACCCGTAAATCGAATTTACTGCTCATTGCCACATAGAAGCTGTGGCATTGAGCATTAAAACTTACCAAAGAGAAGTTATGCTTTGAGCTGACTGTTATGTATTTTTAAAAATTATTTAAACTTTCATTCTCTTTCTTATTTTAAGGTGAAGCATGCTCATCCTCTTCCCTCACTCAATTACAAAGGCCTATAAAGATAGAGCATCCAACAACGACTACAAAATTACTCCCTCCAGATTTACCAAAACCAACAGCATTAGTGCCATTACCTGGTGGAGGAAATCCGAATACAGATTCCCTTTTAACTGTATTTTTGTTAAAAAATTAAAATTCTTTTCCTTTTTTAGCAACAAAAAAGGGCCCAGCCAAGACGTTATACAATTGGTGGTGATTCAACAGTTATTGCTCGAGTTCCACAATCATTAACAGTTTCTTCCAAATCTTTTGCTAATAATAAAAATGTTGATGAATGTACAACAAATTCGACGATTTTGGAACAGGATGATGTTTGAAAAATTTTTTTTATTTCATTATTTTTCTGAATTTAGAGTTTTGATGAACCAGCAGATAAACGTTCAAGGCATGGTTCTCGTGAAAGTGCAGGTAGTGTAAATGACCAAGAAATTAAACAACTTACGGGTGCATCTCCAATTGAAATAGAAAATTGTTCTGAGAATAAATCAAAGGAAGGCAAAGTAACTTATACAATTAGATTAGAACGAAAACAACAATTAGAACATAACAATATTATTAATCAACATCCTTCTTTGGATTCCTCTACTTCAACAATTTTAAGTGGAATAGGTCAAAAACCATTTCCAAGGTTATTTTTAATAGTTTTAACTTTAGAGTTTTAACTTAATTTTTAGTGCTGGCTCTGCTTTCTCAGCACCAACTCCAAATAACAACAACAACAACAATAGGCAACATTATATTAGAAAACAAGAAATTACTAATTCAATTCCACATCAACAGGCAATTATTAAAGTTAGTTATACAAAAGAATTTCTTCCAATATTGGAGAATCACAATATTGATATTCCCGAAATTCAACAACAACAACAAACAATTCCTCTGTTTAAAATTGTAAATTTGAGAAAATTATTTAATTTAAATTCTTAATCTTTCTAATACAAATTTGGAATTTTTGCCTCGTTATTTTGTTTAAAAAATTGACATTTTATATACTAATTGTTAGAGCTGTCCGAGACTCTTGGTCTTGGTCTTGGAACCAAGACTTTTCTTGGTTTTTTTTCGGTCTTGGTCTTGGGGTGTTTGTCTTGGTCTTGTCTTGGTTTTATTTTTTGGTCTTGGTTTTTTGACCTTTTTGGACTTAGTGCTTGGCCACTTAAAATCCTCAAAATTTTTGCCTGCAGCGCTGAAAAAGTGAATTTTTTTGGCCTACGGCCTTCCAAAATTCTCAAAATTTTCGCCTGCGGCGCAGGAAAAGGAAGATTTTTGGCTTCGTGGTCTACATAATTCTCAAAATTTTTGCCTGCGGCGCTGGGATGAGATGATTTTTTCCCCTTTAAACCTCAATATCCTCCTTAATTCAAGGGCGTGGCCAGGGGGTCGGTTTCAAAGAGGGCTAACGTTGGGTGTCGCCAAAATTTTGGCTTTACCCTTTGATGTCGCTAATATCCCATTAATCCACCCAAATCCTTCGAAATAATATATCTCATTGATTTTCCACCCGTATAAATTCCCCAAAATTCTTTGAATTTTGCATAGATTTTTCGAAATTATAGGTGATGGTGCTGAAGTTGACTGTGATCGTGTCAAAATAACAAAAAATAAACCAAAAATTTGACCTATGTGACCTAAAAATTGTCTCTAGTTTTGTATTATATTTGGTCTTGAGTCTTGTAGTTTTGGTCTTGGTCTTGAGTCTTGGTCTTGGAAAAAATATTGTCTTGGGTCTTGAGTCTTGAGTCTTGGAAAAATTTTGGTCTCGGACAGCTCTACTAATTGTCCGAAAAATTTTATTTGTATAACAGATTCTTTACCCTTATAAAATCCGAAAAACTTGGAAAATAAAAACAATTTTGATTTTTTTATTAAAATTTAATTTTTAAACATTTCTAGCAACAACAAAACCAACAACAAATAGTTGATCAAATTGTTACTACTTCTCTACAACCACTTTCAACTTTTGCACCATTAGTTGCATCGCGTAAACGTGTTTTATTAACAACAGCAGCCTCTCCAAATTTATTAGAAATTGCTCAACAACAAAATTCAACAATATCTGGAAATACAAATAATATTATAACAACATCAACAAATATTTCTAATAATATATCTCCATCAGCTACAGCATTAGCAACAGCAATGGCAGCAGTACAGGCAGCAAATACAAGGAAGAATGGAAGTAGTAGTACAACATCACTTGATACTTCTTTGGTTTCCCCAATTAAAGAATTTATTTCGAGGCCAAATGAGGCAGCGGTAATGAAAAAAATGAATTTTCAATAAAAAATTATTCAACTTCTTTCAGAGTTTGATAACTCCAAGGCCAGTTTTTCCAAACATTGATATGTTTGCTGCCTCAACATTCCTCGGAAATGGATATCAATCAACACTAACTTCACCTATTCCTTTCTTTACTTCACCTTTAACAACTCCACGTGGAACACCAATTCCTGGTACTCGCCTAAATTGTGAGGATTATGGTTCTTTAGTTCAATCTGTGCTAGCAGCCAATTCTAACAACTGTACATTTTTGTTTACAAATTTTATTTTTTGAAAATTAATTTTTTTAAGTTGGAAATCATTTATTGAATTGTTTTAACGAAAATAGCCGTTCACCTTTACTTCAAGCTGCAGCAGCTAATTTTCTTATGAACAGCACACTGCAAAGACGCAGTGGTAGCAGTGGGTCGGGTGGAGCAATAAGTAGGCCTGGGACGAATTTGTCTTTGTCTAGCGCTTTGGATATACAGAAGTGCTTTGTTTATATTATTGGATTTTATTTTAATGTTTTTAATTTCAGTGCTTCAGCATTAGGATTAGCTGGACCGCCTATCTCTTCCCTTAGCACTACCGGTCTTCAAGATGGAAACTGTTTACAATCGAAGCCATCTCAATCTTCTAATCTCTCGCCCATAGTTGATTCAACAACAAATTTAGATTCTACAGCAGATGAAAAATTCAAAAAAGAACAATTAATTTTATTGAAAAATACAACTATATAGGTTTGAATGATGCCTCTGATTCAACTTTAATTTAAAAAATGCTAAGAAAATTTCTACACCGGTGTTTGAAATGAAGAATAGTTTTCAACAAAATATATTGGATGATGACCATCAAAATAGCAACCATCATCCTCAGATTCTACACAAATACAACGGCAACAAATTGTTTTCAATTGTTAACAAGCGGCATTGCGCCATAATTTGCAGTTTTTTGTTATATTAAATATTAATTAATAAACTCCCCAATATAGAGAAGAGGCCGCAACAAATACTAAATCGGGTAATTACGTATATAAGCATACAAACAAACTCATAACTGGTACTTATATTATGTTATTGAGACACCTTTTTTGTTATACAGTCAGACTTCGAATTCAGATAAACTGATTAATACATAACTTCAATTTTTGATAGTACGGCTTTTTATTTTGTCAGGGTTTTGATTCAACTCAGGAAAAATAATCGAAAAAGGAGTCTCACAATTAATCTTCTCTCCTCCTCTTCTCATGTTTTGTTTGTCAGAATTGTTGTTATCTCTGCATTTTTATTATTGTTAGATTTTATTTTAATAATATTATAATAACTCCATTTTAGTTTTTCTAATACCAAAATTCTCCACTTGTTGTTGGGTATATAAAGTCCGTTCCAAAAATCTTGGAACAGACTTCATTTTAGGTGGAATTTCCATTTTTAATGATTTTAAATAATTAATAAAGCATAAACACTTTCATTGCAAATTTAATTTTTAGAAATATATAGGTGTTTGTATTACAAAAATTAGCTGGAGGTCTGTCCATTTAACTACAAATATAAGGCATAAAGTGGCATATTGTATAAATGTCAATTTTTTCCATTCAGTCATTGATCAAAAATTACAAATCTACAGGGTGTTTTTGGACCATAGCTCCATTCTCGCAAACATTACCGGCAATCTGCGCAATCAAATCCATTTCCCTCTCACTAGGCCCCATTGCTTCATCTCTAAATTAAATTATTTTATAAACACGAATTTAGAAATTTCTCACAAATTTGCATTCACACGTTTAGCTGCCTGGCGACAAAAAAGATTGGCAATTTTTTGATCGTGGGCTGAACACCCGCCAGTTTTCTCTTGCGCATAATTACAACGGGAAAGTACTACCGCCATGCTGTATATATCAATAGCAGCATTTGCAACTCGAATTAGTTCGTATTGACGTTCTGAATTTGATAAATGCAAAAACTTTATACTTAAAATTTCAAAACTTATTAGGGTTAGGACTGGGTTTATGTGAGTATGGGCGTACGGACGGATAGAAAATTAGTAAATCGTATCCGTGATTAGAGGGTTATTGGCCTATTTAAAAATTATAATCAAACAAAACAGAATATGAAGCTCAAAAAGAATTAGGTAACCATAGAAATTTTTTAGTCCCCACCCCCAATAATTACAAACCAATAATATTTTTTCTATGCATTTTGAGTAACTGTTCCACAGTTTTGCCAAATTTAACAATTAAAGAATTAAGTGTTGAAGCATCATTTTTTAAACTTGGATGTACAAGATCAGAAATTTTTTCAGAACTTAAGAATTAAAAACAAAATTTTTTTGAGATCAGAAATTACCCATTTGTTCGAAAAACCCGTCTACTAACTTCTCCAACAAGAGCAGAAATATTTCCAGAAAATATATCATTTGCAATTTGTTGTAAATGTTTTCCAGCTATTTGCATTCCTGTTAAAGCAACAAAAAGACGGAGAATATCATTAGCTCCTTCAAAAATGCGAAATATTCGCCTAAAAGAAGGAATTTATTTTAAAAATTAGAATGTCTAATTTTAAATATTTTTTCCAGAAAAAATATTAAAACCAAATTTCTTATTGTTAATTCTACTCTAATAATTAAAGAAAAATTTACAAATCGCGAAGTACTCGCTCTAATCCACATTCACGCATAAATCCCATTCCACCATGTAATTGTATAGCATCATCACACACCTGCCAAGCATTCTCTGAACTGACAATTTTACCTATTGCAGCCTATAAATTAAAATTATATAACTCGTTAAATTTTGATTCTGTTCATGCTGTTAGATCAACATGTAAAATTTTTAAAACTTGTTTAATATTAATCCCCCAGTTTTAACATCAATAAGCTAGAAATTAAAAAAAGAGAACCCAATTTATAATTTTCAGGAATTATAAATATTGCATAAAGATTAGCCATACCTCCAATTGATATTCCGTAGCACCAGCATCCATATTGGAAGCCAAACTATAAATTAAAATATTTTAAAATTTAAAAATAAAAAGAAACCTATAAGTAATGCTCTCGGCAACATAATGTCGAATAACCATATCAGTTAAAATTTCCTGAATACGTCCAAATTCCTTAAGCTTCTTTCCAAACTGTACACGTTGATTGACATGTTCAATCTAAAAAGAAACAAAAAAATTTAAAAAATATTTTTAAAAATATAATTACTGTTTTTTGAATACAATATTTCATTGAGCCAGTTGTTGCTGCGGGAATACTGAAGCTAAAAAATTAAACATTATTATTTCTAAAGGGTCAAAATATTTTTAATAAAATTTTTAAAAAATTAAAAAGGAAGAATAATATAGTTAGATTGGTTTGGCATTATGAAAGAAAAAATAACAAACAAATAATAAATCTAAAAGTCTAGAATTTTGTTTTTTCATAACTTTATAAATTTTCCTTACATTAATATCCAGCCTTAAAAAAAAATTCTTTTACCGTCCATTATTCAATATATTCACTGCTACTTTAAATCCTTCTCCCTCCACACCCAAAAGATTCTCTACAGGGATCTTTACATTATCAAAATGTACTTCTGTTGTATTACTCCCTTTAATTCCCATTTTCTTCTCTGGAGGTCCATTTGTTACCCCTCCAAATTGTCTTTCAACTATAAAAGCAGAAACTTTATCCTTTGTAGAGCCATCAGGTTGTGATATTGGAGTCTATTAAAATAAAAAAAAATATTTTTACTTTTTATGACAATAATTATTTGTGATGATTACCCGAAAGATTTAAAATAAATTTTAGGTTAATTAAATTCTAATATGTATTTAATCCACTTTTAAGCTTTCGGTACAAAAGTTTAAAAACCATTTTTAAATTTTCTTTTAATAATTTAATTTTCTTATTGTTAATAAAATACATATCTCTCTACCTGAGCAAATACAGTAAAAACATCTGCAATTCCACCATTACTTATCCAAATCTTTCCGCCATTAAGTATATAGAATTTGCCACATTCTGACTTTTGTGCACGGCTTTGAATCGACTAAAATTACAAAAAAAAATAATTTTTGAATGAAAAATTAATTTTTAAGTTTTTTGGACGAAAACTTCTTCAACACTTTATATTTTTGTAAATATTCAAAAGGAAATTCTGCAAGAAATTTTTTAATTAAGTTTTACATTTGCATCAGAACCAGAACTAGGTTCTGTGAGACAATAAGCAGCAAATCGTTTCCCAGTTGCCAAATCGGGTAAATATTTTTCTTGTTGAGCAGGAGTGCCATACAACAAAATACCTTTGTAGCCAATTGACTAAAACAAAAAATTAAATATTTAATGATTATATTACTTGATGAGCACCCATAGTAACACCAAGTCCGAGATCATTTGCACCAACAATTTCAGCAATTCTTTTAAAAAATAAAAAGTATTAAATTATTTTTACCTAGCCATTTGTGTATTGTTCAATCCAGCACCACCAAATTTTTCAGGAACTACAGCTCCAAAAGCTCCCAATTCCGCAAATTGGTCTAATTTTTCAGAGGGAATTAATGCAGTTTCGTCATTCCTGAAAGCAATATTTTATTAAAAATAGGAGAACGAGAAACTCCAATGGTAAAATTATTTAACTTTCAACCCAATAAAATTAATTTTTGTGATGGAATAAATCATCGAAATAACCCAAAAAAATAATCCAACTCACTTAAAAGGGTCATTAACTTCTTCGAGAAATTTTTCAGTTGGTGCCAAAACCATTTGAAGCATTTCACGTCGCTCATCATCCAAATTCAATGGATATGGAAACACTTGTCCCAACACTGCTTTGCCCAAAAACAAATTCATACAGAAAGAATCACTCGTTTTAGGTGCAGATAACTTTTCCTTGTTCTCTTGATTCGTCTCAATAGGTATATCAGCGGCTGTAGGAACAGCCGATGCAAACCGCCTATTAGCGCATTTTAAACTCAACCTTGAAAAAAATTAAATCAAAGAATAATTGAAAAAAAAACAATACCTCAAATGATTTGAAGCTAAAACGCGAGAGTAAGTAAAAAACATCAATTAGCGTCAAAATCTAAAATAAAAAAGAAATATTTAGAAAAAAATCCGATAAAATCTTCAAAAAAAAATTAGACATATTTTAGTGTGAAACCAAGAAAGAAAATTTTCTTTCAAATTTTTTTATTATTCTTTGAAATTTTAGAAAAATAACACCTTTCAGGGTCACAAACTAAAATACATCCATAATTTTGTAATTAAACAAAGTTAAAATTAAAAAAACACAAAAATAAACAATATATTTAAACTTTTAGGTCTGCACATACATTTACATTAATTTAACAAAAAAAATAAAATGCGAATGATTTTTATTTTCTTCAAATCCCAAATTTTTTTAAATACATATTTTATAATATATCACATTCGCTTTTGGAGAGTTATTCAAAACTCACTAAACATTAAGGTCTTCTATTCAAACAAAAAAAAAGAAAAAATATATAAATTGGACGTAGATCATAATAAACGGGGAAAGTTTTTGGGGTATAGAGGATACATATATTTTTAGAAACAATATTGCGATACCCAAAATATGTCGCGATTTTGTGTCAATAAGGAGAGAATAACTATAAAATAATCAAAAAATTCTTATTTAAATTTTGGGTTTAATTAGCGCTTTAATTCTTCTCCGTTTCTCATGCATCATATCGAGAACGTTTAGCCAAAGGCTCTGGTCCAAGAATTGAAGAATTATTAGCATTACCACAATTGACAGAACCACCCATAGATACAGAACTATTATTGGCTTTAATGAACAATTAATTAGGTGCTAATTAAAAATTAAAATAATTTACATAGACGAGACTGTTCAAGTGACATAGCAGCAACAACTTCGGTAACAAGTCTAGGATGCTCTTTGACCATAGTAGCCCAACCATCAGTCTATAAAAATTAAATTAAAAGAAAAGTTTGTCAAAGACGTATCAAGAGAGAGGATTTCCAGAGAAGTGGCATAGTGGGTTGTACTGCAAGCCTTAGGCGTCATTCCTTTTAGCGCGCAGGCGAAAATTTTTGAAATATTTGAAGACAATTTTATTTTTAACACCTCCTCCCAAATTCTTGCCAAAAAATTTATAGGAAATATGTGTGAAGAATTAAATTCCCAAAAAAGCTCAAACTCAAGGAAAAAATTTCTGGCGAAAAGTAAAAGTTATCAAAAAACTAACAACAATAACACCATTAGAATATTGCGCAATAAAACGCAAAGCATCTTGTTTAAGCTCCAAAGCGTTGTGCATATCCGCCAATACAAGATTCCTGCAGACATTATCAACACAAAGTCCATTACGAAGTACCTTGAAAAGAAAATAACTTTAAAAGATAAAATATTAAAACTACTTGATCTGCCATTTCTTTAAGTCCAATCAACTGAAAGCGATCAGCAACAGCTAGCAAGTCCAAGGCCATCTGTTGAAGCGATGGTGCAGTCCCGCTGTACATATAGAAGAGCATCTCCCGCATAACCTTTAATTTTAAATATAAAAAATAGAAAACAAAATTTAAGAAAAAACCTCAAAATCTATGTCGTTATAGTGAACCTCCGATTTTTGAGCCTCTTCTGTATGAGGTTCAAACATAGCAGCGAAAACTGGTGAACGAGCTCCCAAAACAACTTTATGAGCAGGCAATTCACGATGTTCTTTATCGCCATCACAAATAATAGTAAAGTCCGAATGTCTAGTATCGCCAAACATTTGTTCCAAATCTTTAGCCAACTAAAAAATGTCAAAATAAAGGATTAAATTATCCAAAGAAAACCTCAGAAGGGCGAGGCTCAGGAACCACAGGACTTATAACATTTTGGCTGTTCTTAGTGATTGTATCAGAAACAATAGTCAGGTTCAAAAGAAGTTGAATCTCATCACTTGGCTGTATATGGCCGATTAAAACGTCACGACGAATGTATTCAAAATATCCATTCAACTGGAAATATTTAAAGATTCTATTTATTAATTTATTAATAAATAGGAGAAAATAGAATGATCAGATTATATGCATCCACAAGGGCACACCCAAGGATGGATAACTGACAAAATTTTAACCTGCTGAGTTCCCGTATAAACAGTTGCAGGCACTTCCTCACTCCTTGTGTTGAACACAGAGAATTTAGCCTTGAACTTGGCGCTAGTGCACGAGAAAACCTAAAAATAATATTGGGTAATGCTTAAAATTTAAAAGAAAATTACTTGAAAGAAGCAAAAATCCTTATTAGATTCTTTATTCCCTTGTGGATGAAGTCGAATTTTGAAAGTCAGATAACTGGCATTGTCTGCCGTCAACCCATTAGGCATTGCAATCGTATTTGTATTAGTCTTTACTTCACCTTTAACAACTCCACGTGGAACACCAATTCCTGGTACTCGCCTAAATTGTGAGGATTATGGTTCTTTAGTTCAATCTGTGCTAGCAGCCAATTCTAACAACTGTACATTTTTGTTTACAAATTTTATTTTTTGAAAATTAATTTTTTTAAGTTGGAAATCATTTATTGAATTGTTTTAACGAAAATAGCCGTTCACCTTTACTTCAAGCTGCAGCAGCTAATTTTCTTATGAACAGCACACTGCAAAGACGCAGTGGTAGCAGTGGGTCGGGTGGAGCAATAAGTAGGCCTGGGACGAATTTGTCTTTGTCTAGCGCTTTGGATATACAGAAGTGCTTTGTTTATATTATTGGATTTTATTTTAATGTTTTTAATTTCAGTGCTTCAGCATTAGGATTAGCTGGACCGCCTATCTCTTCCCTTAGCACTACCGGTCTTCAAGATGGAAACTGTTTACAATCGAAGCCATCTCAATCTTCTAATCTCTCGCCCATAGTTGATTCAACAACAAATTTAGATTCTACAGCAGATGAAAAATTCAAAAAAGAACAATTAATTTTATTGAAAAATACAACTATATAGGTTTGAATGATGCCTCTGATTCAACTTTAATTTAAAAAATGCTAAGAAAATTTCTACACCGGTGTTTGAAATGAAGAATAGTTTTCAACAAAATATATTGGATGATGACCATCAAAATAGCAACCATCATCCTCAGATTCTACACAAATACAACGGCAACAAATTGTTTTCAATTGTTAACAAGCGGCATTGCGCCATAATTTGCAGTTTTTTGTTATATTAAATATTAATTAATAAACTCCCCAATATAGAGAAGAGGCCGCAACAAATACTAAATCGGGTAATTACGTATATAAGCATACAAACAAACTCATAACTGGTACTTATATTATGTTATTGAGACACCTTTTTTGTTATACAGTCAGACTTCGAATTCAGATAAACTGATTAATACATAACTTCAATTTTTGATAGTACGGCTTTTTATTTTGTCAGGGTTTTGATTCAACTCAGGAAAAATAATCGAAAAAGGAGTCTCACAATTAATCTTCTCTCCTCCTCTTCTCATGTTTTGTTTGTCAGAATTGTTGTTATCTCTGCATTTTTATTATTGTTAGATTTTATTTTAATAATATTATAATAACTCCATTTTAGTTTTTCTAATACCAAAATTCTCCACTTGTTGTTGGGTATATAAAGTCCGTTCCAAAAATCTTGGAACAGACTTCATTTTAGGTGGAATTTCCATTTTTAATGATTTTAAATAATTAATAAAGCATAAACACTTTCATTGCAAATTTAATTTTTAGAAATATATAGGTGTTTGTATTACAAAAATTAGCTGGAGGTCTGTCCATTTAACTACAAATATAAGGCATAAAGTGGCATATTGTATAAATGTCAATTTTTTCCATTCAGTCATTGATCAAAAATTACAAATCTACAGGGTGTTTTTGGACCATAGCTCCATTCTCGCAAACATTACCGGCAATCTGCGCAATCAAATCCATTTCCCTCTCACTAGGCCCCATTGCTTCATCTCTAAATTAAATTATTTTATAAACACGAATTTAGAAATTTCTCACAAATTTGCATTCACACGTTTAGCTGCCTGGCGACAAAAAAGATTGGCAATTTTTTGATCGTGGGCTGAACACCCGCCAGTTTTCTCTTGCGCATAATTACAACGGGAAAGTACTACCGCCATGCTGTATATATCAATAGCAGCATTTGCAACTCGAATTAGTTCGTATTGACGTTCTGAATTTGATAAATGCAAAAACTTTATACTTAAAATTTCAAAACTTATTAGGGTTAGGACTGGGTTTATGTGAGTATGGGCGTACGGACGGATAGAAAATTAGTAAATCGTATCCGTGATTAGAGGGTTATTGGCCTATTTAAAAATTATAATCAAACAAAACAGAATATGAAGCTCAAAAAGAATTAGGTAACCATAGAAATTTTTTAGTCCCCACCCCCAATAATTACAAACCAATAATATTTTTTCTATGCATTTTGAGTAACTGTTCCACAGTTTTGCCAAATTTAACAATTAAAGAATTAAGTGTTGAAGCATCATTTTTTAAACTTGGATGTACAAGATCAGAAATTTTTTCAGAACTTAAGAATTAAAAACAAAATTTTTTTGAGATCAGAAATTACCCATTTGTTCGAAAAACCCGTCTACTAACTTCTCCAACAAGAGCAGAAATATTTCCAGAAAATATATCATTTGCAATTTGTTGTAAATGTTTTCCAGCTATTTGCATTCCTGTTAAAGCAACAAAAAGACGGAGAATATCATTAGCTCCTTCAAAAATGCGAAATATTCGCCTAAAAGAAGGAATTTATTTTAAAAATTAGAATGTCTAATTTTAAATATTTTTTCCAGAAAAAATATTAAAACCAAATTTCTTATTGTTAATTCTACTCTAATAATTAAAGAAAAATTTACAAATCGCGAAGTACTCGCTCTAATCCACATTCACGCATAAATCCCATTCCACCATGTAATTGTATAGCATCATCACACACCTGCCAAGCATTCTCTGAACTGACAATTTTACCTATTGCAGCCTATAAATTAAAATTATATAACTCGTTAAATTTTGATTCTGTTCATGCTGTTAGATCAACATGTAAAATTTTTAAAACTTGTTTAATATTAATCCCCCAGTTTTAACATCAATAAGCTAGAAATTAAAAAAAGAGAACCCAATTTATAATTTTCAGGAATTATAAATATTGCATAAAGATTAGCCATACCTCCAATTGATATTCCGTAGCACCAGCATCCATATTGGAAGTTGATAGATGTTCGAGTACTTATCAATCATTAACTATTAATAATTAACTATCAACTTTAAATTGATAGGTGTAGTAACAAACCCCCTATTCACATTTCCCAATGCCGGTATATTTTGAAACTTCTTACACTTGAAACATTTTACATTTACTTTTTAAATAACAAAACAACAATTTACTTTAAAATTAACAACAAAAAGAAAATAACTTTCAAGAGTGCTAAAGAGATCATATCACAAAATTCAGTCATTTCTTCTGACTTTTAATAGTCACTTCAACAGTCTCAAATTCTTCACTTTTACGTTTGACTGGAGTCTTGAGTGGTTTGTCAAATGGGCACAAAACAAAGTCTGTATTAATGCAGATGTCCTGAACGGAAGCATGCAGTTCCAAACACTCATCTTAATAAAAAAATATATTATTCCTTAAAACCGTTAAAAACCGGTAATATTGACAAAACACTTGCTAAGAACAACTTGGTTATATTCTTTTCCATTTCCAATTTTCTCAGCTAAAGCTTCTCCAGAAACATATAAATCACCCCTATGGCCCTTTAAATCGCCAACGATGGCACAAACTTTAGTCTTGTCGTAAGGCATAAAAACAGTAGTTAAAACGCATTTGACTTCTAAAACGCATTTAATATTAATAAATAAAGATTATTAACTAACTATAAAATTCCCCTATCTTCATTTCAGTAAAACTGTCGACGCTTTTTGCAACACTTTCCACCAAATAATATTTAGAATTAGGCTGCACAATTAATTCAAAGTCGAATGGCGTAGAAAAATACGTCTTCCCATCAAACCGGCTGACATCAAAACGCTGGGCTCTTAGCATCAAAAAGGATACAACCTATAAAATAAACATAGAATATCAAATAATCTGATAACCTACAGATCCCAAAGTACAAATCTTTCCAAAACAACCATCTACTGATTTCTTAAAACCGGTTACTGCAAAAATTGCTCCATTCGAACAGGCACATAACAATGTAATTTTCTTAGCACTGTCCATGACCTTCATTATCTGTCCACAGCAATTACTAAATACATATTCATTAAAACAAGTTCAAAAATAAAAACTTACGCCATTTTCGATCCACATGGAATGGAATTCAACATTTCCTCTGAACTAAGCTCTTGTAATTTGTAAGACTCAGCCATTTCACATTAAAGGTTTCAAAAAAGCTAAATCATTTAATCATTATTTAGTAATCATTATTTCATTATTATTTATTTAGAATCTGCTTAACAACTATTAACGATCCATTTGAAGCTATTAACTTCAACTATTAACTATGGTTCAACTATTAACTAAGATTATCAACCTTCAACTATTAATATCAATTTAAACTATTAACTATTAACTCACTTTTCAACTATTAACAATGATTCATATTAAGTAAGATCTTCACTATTAGCTATTAATATCAATTTCAACTATTAACTCAAGTTTTAACTATTAACTATTAACATCAATTTAATCTATTAACTAAAAAAAATAAAAAAAAGTCAAATCAAATTCTAAAAAATCCATTTTTTCTTCACTTCTCTAAATACACCCTATTTTCTTTTTTTGGGATATTTTGTAATTTTTAGACAAAAAATAAACACAACGCCAAACCAGCAAAATTCAGCTGCGGACAAACAAACAAACAGGAATTCTAAAATTATATATAGGACTATTAATTTTTAACTATTAAATATTTTACTATATGTTTTTTATATATTTCTTTACTATATACTATAACTTTTTTACTATATATATTACTGTTAGTTAATAATTAATAGTAAAAGAACTTTTTTACTACATATACTACAACTTTTAGTTAATAGTTAATAGTAAAAGAACTTTTTATTATATATACTACAACTGTTAGTTAATAGTTAATAGTAAAAGAACTTTTTTACTATATATAATACAACTGTTACACTACAACCGTTAGTCACTCTAGTACTCTCAAATATTTAGTTTCAAACAATGTCAAACTCTAGGACTATCAACTATTTAGCATCACACTTGTCAACCTTGCTAGTACTATCAATTATAAGCTATTTAGTATCACACAATGTCAAACTCTAGAACTCTCAACTATTTAGTGTCATACAATGTCAAACTCTAGGACTATCAACTATTTAGCATCACACTTGTCAACCTTGCTAGTACTATCAATTATAAGCTATTTAGTATCACACAATGTCAAACTCTAGTACTCTCAACTACTTAGTGGCACACAATGTCAAACTCTAGGACTATCAACTATTTAGCATCACACTATGTCAACATTGCTAGTACTATCAATTATAAGCTAGATAGTATCACACAATGTCAAACTCTAGTACTCTCTACTGTTTAGTGTCACACAATGTCAAACTCTAGGACTAACAACTATTTAGCATCACACTATGTCAACCTTGCTAGTACTATCAATTATAAGCTATTTAGTATCACAAAATGTCAAACTCTAGTATTATCAATCACACAATGTCAAACTATCTAGTACTACCAAATATCTAGTTCACACAAAGTCAAACGCTAGTTAAAGTCAACTATTTGGTATCACAATATCAAACAATCTACTACTAAAAACTATTTTGTATTACACTGGCAAACTCAAAAACTAAGACCTACCTAAAATTATGTAAAAAAACAAAACTCACAATAAAGCCAACGGCTGGACACTCGCTTTAAAATAGAAGATCAGCACCGAAAACAATCTGTTGGACAATCACTTTGTTTAAATAAATGATAGTTTTGATTTTGAATCTAAAAACAATTTTTAAATAAAACAAATTTTAAAAAACAATCAAAACACATTATAAATACAATTAACAAACAAAAAATTTAAAAAAAATCAAAAAAAAAGACAAATCAAATTCTAAAAAATTCACATTCTTTCTTTCCTTCTCTAAACTCACACTATTTTCTTTTTTGGATATTTTGTCATTTTTAATTAAAAAAATAAACACAACGCCAAACACAGCAAAATTCAAAGCTGCGGACAAACAAACAAACAGGAATTCTAAAATTATATATAGGATTTTTTCCAGAAAAAATATTAAAACCAAATTTCTTATTGTTAATTCTACTCTAATAATTAAAGAAAAATTTACAAATCGCGAAGTACTCGCTCTAATCCACATTCACGCATAAATCCCATTCCACCATGTAATTGTATAGCATCATCACACACCTGCCAAGCATTCTCTGAACTGACAATTTTACCTATTGCAGCCTATAAATTAAAATTATATAACTCGTTAAATTTTGATTCTGTTCATGCTGTTAGATCAGCATGTAAAATTTTTAAAAGTTGTTTAATATTAATCCCCCAGTTTTAACATCAATAAGCTAGAAATTAAAAAAAGAGAACCCAATTTATAATTTTCAGGAATTATAAATATTGCATAAAGATTAGCCATACCTCCAATTGATATTCCGTAGCACCAGCATCCATATTGGAAGCCAAACTATAAATTAAAATATTTTAAAATTTAAAAATAAAAAGAAACCTATAAGTAATGCTCTCGGCAACATAATGTCGAATAACCATATCAGTTAAAATTTCCTGAATACGTCCAAATTCCTTAAGCTTCTTTCCAAACTGTACACGTTGATTGACATGTTCAATCTAAAAAGAAACAAAAAAATTTAAAAAATATTTTTAAAAATATAATTACTGTTTTTTGAATACAATATTTCATTGAGCCAGTTGTTGCTGCGGGAATACTGAAGCTAAAAAATTAAACATTATTATTTCTAAAGGGTCAAAATATTTTTAATAAAATTTTTAAAAAATTAAAAAGGAAGAATAATATAGTTAGATTGGTTTGGCATTATGAAAGAAAAAATAACAAACAAATAATAAATCTAAAAGTCTAGAATTTTGTTTTTTCATAACTTTATAAATTTTCCTTACATTAATATCCAGCCTTAAAAAAAAATTCTTTTACCGTCCATTATTCAATATATTCACTGCTACTTTAAATCCTTCTCCCTCCACACCCAAAAGATTCTCTACAGGGATCTTTACATTATCAAAATGTACTTCTGTTGTATTACTCCCTTTAATTCCCATTTTCTTCTCTGGAGGTCCATTTGTTACCCCTCCAAATTGTCTTTCAACTATAAAAGCAGAAACTTTATCCTTTGTAGAGCCATCAGGTTGTGATATTGGAGTCTATTAAAATAAAAAAAAATATTTTTACTTTTTATGACAATAATTATTTGTGATGATTACCCGAAAGATTTAAAATAAATTTTAGGTTAATTAAATTCTAATATGTATTTAATCCACTTTTAAGCTTTCGGTACAAAAGTTTAAAAACCATTTTTAAATTTTCTTTTAATAATTTAATTTTCTTATTGTTAATAAAATACATATCTCTCTACCTGAGCAAATACAGTAAAAACATCTGCAATTCCACCATTACTTATCCAAATCTTTCCGCCATTAAGTATATAGAATTTGCCACATTCTGACTTTTGTGCACGGCTTTGAATCGACTAAAATTACAAAAAAAAATAATTTTTGAATGAAAAATTAATTTTTAAGTTTTTTGGACGAAAACTTCTTCAACACTTTATATTTTTGTAAATATTCAAAAGGAAATTCTGCAAGAAGTTTTTTAATTAAGTTTTACATTTGCATCAGAACCAGAACTAGGTTCTGTGAGACAATAAGCAGCAAATCGTTTCCCAGTTGCCAAATCGGGTAAATATTTTTCTTGTTGAGCAGGAGTGCCATACAACAAAATACCTTTGTAGCCAATTGACTAAAACGAAAAAATTAAATATTTAATGAGTATATTACTTGATGAGCACCCATAGTAACACCAAGTCCGAGATCATTTGCACCAACAATTTCAGCAATTCTTTTAAAAAATAAAACATACTAGATTATTTTTACCTAGCCATTTGTGTATTGTTCAATCCAGCACCACCAAATTTTTCAGGAACTACAGCTCCAAAAGCTCCCAATTCCGCAAATTGATCTAATTTTTCAGAGGGAATTAATGCAGTTTCGTCATTCCTGAAAATAATATATAGGAGAACGAGCAACTTTGAATTATAATAAAAATTATTAACTAAAATTAACCGATTTCAGATTTTGGTTATATTTTCACCTTTTTATTACAAAAAATCTGCATATTAAACTAGTACCACCATGGACATTCATCAAAGGGATCATCTTATTTTGATGAATTCCAATGGCGAAATAATCTTTCAACCCCATAAAATTAATTTTTGTGATGGAATCAATTATCGCAAACGATCCAGAAAAATAAATAAACTCACTTAAAAGGGTCGTTAACTTCTTCGAGAAATTTCTCAGTTGGTGCCAAAACCATTTGAAGCATTTCACGCCGCTCATCGTCCAAATTCAATGGATATGGAAACACTTGTCCCAACACTGCTTTGCCCAAAAACAAGTTCATGCAGAAAGAATCACTCGTTTTAGGTATAGATAACTTTTCTTTGTTGTCTTGATTCGTCTCAATTGGTATATCAGCGGCTGTAGGAACAGCCGATGCAAACCGCCTACTAGCGCATTTTAAACTCAACCTGAATAAAAATTAAATCAAAGAATATGTATATAATTTGAAAAAGGCATACCTCAAATGATTTGAAGCTAAGACGCGAGAATAAGTAAAGAACATCAATTCGCGTTAAAATCTAAAATAAAAAAATATTTAGAAAAAAACCCCGATAAAATTTTCAAAAAAAATCAGACATATTTTAGTGTGAAACCAGGAAAGAAAATTTTCTTCCAATCTTTTAGTTATTCTTTGAAATTAAAAAAAACAACTTTCTGGGTCACAAACTAAAATAAATCCATAATTTTGTAATTAAACAAAATAAAATTAGAATTAAGAAAAAACACAAAAATAAACAATATATTTCGATTTTTAGGTCTGCACATACATTTACATTAATTTAACAAAAAAAGAAATGCGAATGATTTTTATTTTCTTCAAATCCCAAATTTTTTTAAATACATATTTTATAATATATCACATTCGCTTTTGGAGAGTTATTCAAAACTCTCAAAATATTAAGGTCTTCTATTCAAACAAAAAAAGAAAAAATATATAAATTGGACGTAGATCATAATAAACGGGGAAAGTTTTTTTGGGGTATAGAGGATATACATATATTTTTAGAAACAATATTGCGATACCCAAAATATGTCGCGATTTTGTGTCAATAAGGAGAGAATAACTATAAAATAATCAAAAAATTCTTATTTAAATTTTGGGTTTAATTAGCGCTTTAATTCTTCTCCGCTTCTCATGCATCATATCGAGAACGTTTAGCCAAAGGCTCTGGTCCAAGAATTGAAGAATTATTAGCATTACCACAATTGACAGAACCACCCATAGATACAGAACTATTATTGGCTTTAATGAAAAATTAATTAGGTGCTAAATAAAAATTAAAATAATTTACATAGACGAGACTGTTCAAGTGACATAGCAGCAACAACTTCGGTAACAAGTCTAGGATGCTCTTTGACCATAGTAGCCCAACCATCAGTCTAAAAAAAATTAATTAAATGTAAAGTTTGTCAAAGACGTATCAAGAGGGAGGATTCCCAGAGGAAAGGCATACATCCCTTCCAAAATTTTATTGCGTTTTCCACAATAAATTTTTTAAATTTATTGTGGAAAAAAAAAAAAAAAATAAACAAAAATAAACAAAAACAATAAACGTTTTCCACAACAAGTACTCCTGGAAACACCCTTAAAGTTGTCAAAAAATTTATAGGAAATAATGTGTAAATGGTTAAATTCCCCAAAAAAGTTCGAAATAGTAAATGAACAAGGATAGAATTTTTGACAAAAAGTAAAAAAAAACTAACAACAATAACACCATTAGAATATTGCGCAATAAAACGCAAAGCATCTTGTTTAAGCTCCAAAGCGTTGTGCATATCCGCCAATACAAGATTCCTGCAGACATTATCAACACAAAGTCCATTACGAAGTACCTTGAAAAGAAAATAACTTTAAAAGATAAAATATTAAAACTACTTGATCTGCCATTTCTTTAAGTCCAATCAACTGAAAGCGATCAGCAACAGCTAGCAAGTCCAAGGCCATCTGTTGAAGCGATGGTGCAGTCCCGCTGTACATATAGAAGAGCATCTCCCGCATAACCTTTAATTTTAAATATAAAAAATAGAAAACAAAATTTAAGAAAAAACCTCAAAATCTATGTCGTTATAGTGAACCTCCGATTTTTGAGCCTCTTCTGTATGAGGTTCAAACATAGCAGCGAAAACTGGTGAACGAGCTCCCAAAACAACTTTATGAGCAGGCAATTCACGATGTTCTTTATCGCCATCACAAATAATAGTAAAGTCCGAATGTCTAGTATCGCCAAACATTTGTTCCAAATCTTTAGCCAACTAAAAAATGTCAAAATAAAGGATTAAATTATCCAAGGAAAACCTCAGAAGGGCGAGGCTCAGGAACCACAGGACTTATAACATTTTGACTGTTCTTAGTGATTGTATCAGAAACAATGGTCAAGTTCAAAAGAAGTTGAATCTCATCACTTGGCTGTATATGGCCGATTAAAACATCACGACGAATGTATTCAAAATATCCATTCAACTGGAAATATTTAAAGATTCTATTTATTAATTTATTAGCAAAATAGTCAGAGAATAGAATGATCGGATTATTTGCATCCACAAGGGCATACCCAAGGATGGATAACTGACAAAATTTTAACCTGCTGAGTTCCCGTATAGACAGTTGCAGGCACTTCCTCACTCCTTGTGTTGAACACAGAGAATTTAGCCTTGAACTTGGCGCTAGTGCACGAGAAAACCTAAAAATAATATTGATGAATAATGCTTAAAATTAAAAAGAAAAATACTTGAAAGAAGCAAAAATCCTTATTAGATTCTTTATTCCCTTGAGGATGAAGTCGAATTTTGAAAGTCAGATAACTGGCATTGTCTGCCGTCAACCCATTAGGCATTGCAATCGCATTTGTATTAGTAGAACTCTAAAATGATTTTTAGACAAAATAGTAAAAAAACATACCGCCGAATCCTTAATTCGTAGAGATGTCTCCAAATATCGACATTCACACTGACTGAATCCTTTAATTGTCCCTTAAATCACAATTAATTAATTTTAAACAAAAATCCTGTACATACACATATGAGAGTGTTGAAGACTACGAACTTCAGTCGACGACCAACTATCGGAAGGACGCATAGGAGTTCCACACAAATCAGCCATTGTTGAGATTTTTGGCGTTGTCGTTACACAATTAGCGTTAAAATTAGTTTATACTCTTTTAATGAGTTGAACAATATTGCTCTTAAAAACAAAAGTATTTTAATAAAAAATAAATAAATTGAAAAGTCAAATCCAACAAAATAAGTAAAAAATAAAAGTAAAAAATCAATAATTAATAAGTGTAAAGGACAATCAAATTAGTGTGCGGCAAAATCGCATTCACGGGATCCCGTAACGGGATTTTTTTCAAAATTTTTTACGGGACGGGATCCCGCGGGATTAATCCCGTAATCCCGATAATCCCGTTCAAAAATTTTGCGGGATCCCGCGGGATTTCGGAATTTTTACCTAAAAATTTTTTACGTAATAAATATCGGGGAGATCAGAGGATTTGAAGGTTTTAAGTGATTTAAAAGGATATCTGGGGATATCTATTGTGATATCTCGGTTATAAGAGGATTTTGAGTGATATCGGAGGATTTAAGGAGATTTGGAGGATAAGCCGGATTAATAGGATTAAGGGGATAATTAGATCAAGGAAAGTTGGAGTGATACCGGCAGATTAATGGCATCGGTATTTATTTTCGGTATTACCTTTGAAGCTTCTTCTAAACCTCTCCAAATTTACCGAAAACTCTTTTAACCCCTCTTGATCCCTCTATATCACGCCCACATTCCTCTATATTTCCTATAATTAACCCACATACCCTGATTTCACGCTTAGTCCTCCTAAATCCCTCGATATCTCCGTCGAATGACTTGGCCTAAGATTCCGCCAGACCTCTCTATCTCTACTACGATATTTTTTAACGAAGTACTACGATATTTTTAACGCGCCGCAGGCGAAAATTTTCAGAATTTTGGAAGGCTAAGAAGCCAGATTTCCTCAAATTCCAGCGCCGAAGGCGAAAATTTTTCGAATTTTGGAGCTCAAACAGCCAGATTTCTTCCTTTTTCAGCGCCGCAGGCGAAAATTTTTCGAATTTTGTAAGGGCAGAGGAGCAATTTACAACAATATAAAAATCCCGTAAATTGAGAAAAAATTCACGGGATCCCGTAACGGGATTTTTTTCAAAAATTTCTTCGGGACGGGATCCCGCGGGATTAATCCCGTAAATCACGAAATCCCGTTCGTCGCTTAAAAATCGGGATTTCGGGACGGGATCCCGCAAAATCCCGAACGGGATCCCGTCCCGCGCCGCACACTAAATCAAATAATACAGACTACATAAATTCAAATATAAGAGCCAGTTACAATAAAAATTAAATCACACAAGAATCAAACGAAGTAAAAAATAAGTCGAACTATAGAGAACGAAAAATCAAAGTTGTTCCGGATCAATTAACCGTAAATGCTTAAAAATAAGAAAAAGATTTGACAATCAATCGTCACCCAATGGATCTATTTAAAAATGGTTGCCTCTCATTTGGGTAAATGTTTTCCATGCTACAACACGCAAAGAAACACTACCAGTCGTACAAAATATCTGATTTCATGGTGCCGTGTGATTTGGGCAGTGAGTGATATTGGCAGTGAGTGATTTGGGCAGTAAACGTTTTTTAAAAAATAATTTTACACGCAAAAACAATTTGAGTAACATTAGAAAAATAATTTTGAGCGATTTGGGCAGTAACTTAGAATTTTTAAATTATTTAAAATTGATGAGAAAAATTCCGGAAATTTTTATTTAACTTAAAGTAAATCCAAAATTTGATCATATTTTTCCAAAACTATTTTGACCTTTTTCAGATATTTTGGACCTATCTTGAGACCTAAAAACTTTAAATAGGAATTATTTCTCAATTTTTCATACCTTAAATCTACTTATCACTTAGGGAAACGTCAAAATTGAGACCAAGACGATTTCAACAAAGGGTAATGTTGTACCTACAACGTTATCAAAATAAGAAAGGGGTGCGGTTCTTTGAATTACTGTTAAATAATTTAGAAATTCTAAGTTACTGCCCAAATCGCTCAAAATTATTCTTCTAACGTTACTCAAATTGTTCTTGCGTGTAAAATTATTTTTTAAAAAACGTTTACTGCCCAAATCACTCACTGCCCAAATTACTCACTGCCCAATTCACCACTGCCGTTTTCACCAGACACGGATTTGGATTTCATGGATTCGAGTCCTTTATTAATACATAGCAAGAGGGGTGTGCCGAAACAGATTTCAAAAAGCGAAAGGCGAAATAGCAAAAAAGACGAATATATGACGAACGCCAAAATAACTGTAAAGGGAAAATCTCTAGAGATCGGTCAAATCAAAGCTTTGTGTTTAATAAAAGCGAATACCAAAAAGGCAAAAATATGACGCTCGTGGAAGTCCTTAAGTAGATCCCTTACTTTAACTTACATTTAACAGGATCCAAGCGAATTTTACCGTAGAAGTCTATGAATCATTAGGATTGTAGATTAAAAATTATATTTATTAAAAAGAGCTACTTTTATTCTCTCAAGCTAAATTAGGTTCCTACAATTGCATAACAGTGTAGGTATATATCAGGGATCTAGCCGATATAAAAGAATAAAATCACGATTACAGCCCCAATCAACGTCGGTAATTCCCGATTTTCTGGAGTCGAGCCAGCTAGATCCCTGGTACCTATATATAATTAAAATGAGTCAATATTTTTATAAAAAATAATATTAAACACTAATACTTCCTTCACGAAAATTTGTCTTTCCAATAATTGCATTTATAATAGTTGGCTTTGAATTTCCCAAATTTAATAATTGTCTTAATTTTTGTTCAATTTCGTCAATATTTCCATCCTCAATAATTGCTCCGTTAGCCCCAAGTCCTTCACCAACTTTTTCATAGTTTGTAAACTTAAAAAATTTTTGTAATTAATGTTTCTCTTATTCCCTTCTCTTATACATTTTTTCCCAATTTTTAGACTTCTAAAAATCGAAAAACAATAAGGGAGACCAGCCAATTGTTTCAACGCCTCACATAAAACGTTGATTTGTACCCTTGCTTATTCATTCAGAGTTTAATGATGTTGTATAACACCATTTGTAACCTTAGACATGTTCGATAATTTAATTTTTTAGGGGAAAGAAAGCGAAAGAAAAACGAGAGGAGAAAATGTTATGTAAATTAAAGAAAATATTTTAAAAAATACCGCAAGTTCGCATCCTACAATTGAATTAAACCATGGAATCTGATCTCTTGCAATTTGTGACCAACAAGCATCATTACCAATTATTGCAGAAATTGGAAGCCGGTGACGTACAAAAGTATCAAATTCCATCAAAGAAAATCTTTAAGAAAAAATAATTATTTTTTAATTTCTAAAAAAGCAATTTTAAACTTCTTCGAGCAATTTTTATGACGAAGAATCTGATTAAAAATCTTTTTAAATAAACTAACCCACAAGCCCCGTCTCCAAACAAAATAAGTACAGGCTTGTCTGGATACACAGCTTTAGCGCCAAGAGCAAAACCGCCCCCAACTCCTAAAGTACCAAATGCACCGGGATCGAGCCTTTAAATAAATTTCAATTTATTTTCGTAAATATTCTTCGAATAGGGAAATCATTTAAATGTTTTTTAATATTTATAACACCTCAAAAATGGTCTTGTCTTTTTTAAAAAAATATTTCTAAAAGGATATTCCCATCAGTCAAATTTCCCAGTTGCTGTTATGATTTCAACCATTAAAATTATCAAACCATTGTAGAGGTCCTCTAGGTCGTAACATATAAGCAGCACTCCCAACAAAATCACCCCCATCTGCCACAAGAATAGTATCATCATTTAACACATTTTGCAAAGCTTGTAGTAACAACAAAGGATTTAATTTTCCATCTTTACATTTTTCCAAAGCTTTTTTAGAATTACTTTCTTCTTTTAAACGTTCACTTTCTTTTAATTGATCAAACCAAGCAGTTAAATCATCATTTTTAAATGAAAAATGATTAGATAATTGAACAATTGTTGAGGCAACATCTGCTTGAATAGCTAGAATGGAACGCCAAAAAAGTCCATGATTCTAAAAAGTAATTAGGTAATATGTCAAAAATTATTTTTGGTATCTTGTTTAATTATTTAAATTTATAAAAAATATAAAATTAACTAAAATTAAGTAAGAGATAATATTCCTTTCATTTTCAGATTTTTAAATTTTCTTTAAACTAGCCTTTAACATTTGTGATCGATTCCTGTTGATAACAACAATTTTAGCCTTTGGATTCAAAATTCTTCCATAACTTAATCTAAAATCACAAACTGCTCCTAAAAAACAAAAAAAGAATATTTTTAACAATTTATATAATAAACCAGCTAATATAATCAAATCAGCATTTTTTAAGGCTTCTTTACGATTATGGACCATTTGGAGAGGAGAATTAGCTCCCAATAAACCTCTCGACATTCCACCCAAATAAACAGGTATTCCTAATGTCTAAAATAATTTTTAATTTAATATCAAAAATAATGTTACTTTAACAGCTTCTGTAAGGATATTTGGCTCTATAGGAGGGCAAACAGCTTGTGAACCCAATAAAATCAGTGGTCTTTGAGAGGAAGAAAGTAAATTAATTAAAGAATTTATTTGTGATTGTTTACACATTGGAGTGTTAATAGAAAGTGGAGTTTTTGGTTGAGGTCTCCAAGCAGCACCAAATACCCAAGAAATATAGGCACAAAGAAAGAATTCCAAAATTTGCTGAAAATAAAGAAAATTGAATTTTTAAACAATTTTTAGTTAAAATAAAAACCTTTGATCCTTTTGGATTTTTAGAAAAGCCAATTTCCTTTTCAACAATACTATAAGGATAGAGAACATCAATTGGAAGTTCGACAAATACTGGACCGGGAGTATCAGATTTTGCTATAGAAATTGCTTTTCTAAAAATTAAAATTCTTCAAATAGAATATTTAAAATTGCCTTAAAGTTGGAATAATGTCACAAACAGCACGAACCCGTGTAGAGAATTTACATAAAGGTTTGATAAGAACTTGCTGGTTAATATCCTAGAAACATAAAAAGAGATGCAAAAATGAAATTTAAATAAAATTTACTTGTAAAGCTCCACGTCCTCTTAACAAAGTAGGAGCTGCCCCACCAATTAAAAGCAAAGGAGATTCAGCCATTTGTGCATTTTTTAGTCCAGTAATACTATTTGTAACCCCTTTAAATGTTTAAAACATTCTATAAAAAATAAAAACCTGGCCCAGCAGTAACTATAGCTACACCAATATTTTGACGGAGGCGGGCAACACAATCTGCTGCAAAAACTGCATTGACTTCGTGACGAGTATCATAAACCTAAAATATTCTTTTTTTTGGTAAAATATATATACAAAACTTTAATTCCGAGATTCTCACATGAAACTAAAATTGGAGAAATATGTCCACCACATAAAGTAAATATTTCTTTGACGTCATGTGCCTAAAAAATTAAATAATTTTAAAGCATAACATTAAAAAAACAAACTTTGAGAACGTCAGCAACTAGTTCACCCCCGTGTCGCGGAGAAGTTGTATCGACCTGAATTTAATATTAAAAATTGGGGTAGTTTTAGCATCATTATCTGTCCCTAATTTTAAATTTAAAAAAATAAAAAATACCCGAAATAAAGCAGAAAGTATTGATTTTCCATTTCGAATGTCCCAAAAAATGTCGTTCAATTCATCAAATCCGTTCAAACGCAAAAACTTAAGAGTCAACAGAAACAAAATAAAATAAAAAATAGTTGCAAATATTAAATAAATTTCCATAATAGTTTACTTAAAAATAAATTAATCGAATTGTGGAAAGAAAATTGCAGCTGGTAGGAAGGGCTCGTTCCAAAAGATCAACGCACTATACATCAACACAATTGATCAACCCTTGTTTTTATCAGTACAAGCTCTTTGGACTTAAAAACTTTCTGATATTCGGGGCAATTAAATATAAAGAAATACAAAAAATTTTGCCGGAAAGGCACTTCGCCACAGATATGATATCGAGTACGGTATCAGACGCGGATATCATAGAATATAAAATTGTCTATAATGTAGATAGTAGCAGTACAAACTAAATTTTTGGATTTACAAACTGTTTAAGACATACATATATTTTCAAAACAATTTATTCAAATTAAATTACAGACTTCCTTGAGTTTTTTCGATATGTAATATGTATAAATATTTATTAAAATTTTTCCCGTCTTAATTTAAGTACACCGGTTCCATTCTTTTCTTTTGTTCATTCGAAGTTTCATTACTATTTCTTTGTGTTGTTGTCCCCCCAATTTCTGTCCCTCCATGAACCAATGAATTAGCTGTTGTAACTGTTCTTCTCGATGCTCTACTAGATTTACTTCTTTGTATACTTCTTGTATGTCCACTTTTAATACTTCTTCTATTTGTTCCCAATGATTGAGATTCTCCAATACTTTCGTCACTTGATCCGTCATCAGAGCCAAGTGAATCGGCTTCTGGAGGTTCAAATGAACGTAATTCTGGATTTGTCATATACCAATGTAGCTAAATATAATTTTAAAAAGATTTGGGTTAACTTTAGGGGGGGGGGGATTTCGGTTTTGGGTTGGGGGGGGGGGGGGTCAAGTTTGGGCTCAACTTTAAGGTTTTTAGAAAATGAGTACACTAGATAGAGAACAACAAGTCAGAAAATTAGGATTCTCAAGAAACTCTACCATTTAGATAAGAAAAATTTATTGTTTGTTAAAATTCCTTTTTGGTACATTATTTAAAATTCCCAAAAATTAAAACAAATAATTTTTTAAAAATTACCATTAAATCATATAAATATTTATATTCATCCTTTGCATCTCCAGTCTTTTAAAATTAAAAAAATAATTTTATTTTTACTTTAAAAATAACTAACAAAACGTGTTCTAGGTCCATCAATTAATTGTGGACGGTTAAGACGAATTAATTTAACTGCATGAAATACATCTACTTCATGATCCATTTCCATTTGATCAATCTAATTATTTTAATTTAAAAAATTTGTTTATAAAATATTTTTTCTTTTACCAAAACATTTGCAGCAATAAAAATTCCACAACGAGAAACTCCATTACTTTAAAATATTTTTAATTGGAAATATATAAAAATTAAATAAACTTACTGTGACATAACAATTGTTGGTCTAGATTCTAAAAAATTAATTGTTAAATAAAACTTTTATTTACTCAATTACATATAAATAACAGGGGGGGGGGTGATTACAAAACAACAAGAAGGGAGGAGGGTTGGGGAAAGAAAATAAGGTAAAAAAGAGAAATTATTTTAAAAATAGTGAAAGTTATTTAAAATAATTATTCCGGATATTCTTCACATTTTCCTAACAAAGGAGAGGCTTTTGGGTGGCCATGGGACTTCGGGATGAAATTTGGTAGACAGATAGAACATACCCTTTCTATTGTAAATCTCGAACCATTTTAGCAAAATGGTACCGGGGACCGAGTTATAAGCCCCCAAAGTTTTAGGCAAAACTGTCACAAATAGAGTAACCCCAGTATAAATGAGACATTTTAACTTTCTCCTCTATAATCTAAATTTTAATAATTTTTTTATAAATTTAATAATCCTTTAACTATTTATTTTTTCAATAATTTACTTTCCAAATATTTTTTAAAAGTAACTTCATTACCTGGTCTATCTGGCGCCCTTTTCCGCCATGATCGTGTCATTTTCAAAACTTCAATTAAAGCTGTAGTTGAAAGAGGTACCTTTTGAAATAAATTATTAATTAATTAACCTAAAATATTTGTAAATTCCCCCTTTCTTTTTGATAAATACAACAAAAATATATTTTTAATCGAGTTAAGACGGAAACAAAAGAATATATTTTTAAATTATTTTTTCTTACTTTATTTTCAATTGGCCACATTTTTACTTGAATAATACAACAAAGACGGACTTCTGCCTCTAATTGCTGTTGGCTGGCGCCTGTAGCCATTATTTCGCTTATCATAAATGTCTAGAAAAATATTTTTTAAGAATTTCTAAAAATAAACAATTTAGTGCGGAGCGGGAAGGGATCCCTCCAAAAATTGCGTTTTTAGGGAATAGGGAGAGGCTCTTAATTTTTGAAATCCAATCTCGATTTGGAATCTCGATAACAAAAAATTCCATGCAGTGTATAGCATTTAAGTTTTAAATTTGGAAACGATTTGCAAATATTTGAGAATATTTTTTTATTTATTAAATTGACAAGTAAAATTAATTAAAAATATTTTAAAAATTAAAATACCGTAAGTGCTCAAATAATTACCCCTTCCAACGAGAGAACGAAACAATAATTACCCCGGATAATTATTTGAGCATTTACACTATGCAAATCGTTTCCTGTAGAATAAACCAAAAATTAAAATAACTTAAAAAAGCAACAAAATCTAAACTTAAAAGAGAAAAGCTTTCAAAAACAAACTAATTTTTCCATTTGTTCAGCCAAATCTCTCCTTGTAGGTATTGCACGTTTTACATTTAATAATTGTTTTATTTCTTCTGTTCCACACTTTAAAAGCAAAAAAACTTAAAAACTTAGAAAAATAAAGAAAAAACAAAAAGTTTAAAAATTCAATTAGTATTTTTAGTGAGTATTTGGAGGGATAATTTGACAATTGTTGACTAAATTTAAAAAGTGGATTGCTTTTTCTTAAATTATTTGTGCAATTGTCTCACATTTTATAATAAAATAAACAAAAAAAACACAAAAACAACAAACAAAAAAAAAGAAAAAAAATTTAAAAAAATAAAGTGGCTGGTAGGGAAAGGGAAAGTTTGCGCACGCTCACGATTATTTTTAATTAATTTGTGCTTCTTTACTTACAAGTTTTTTATTGCCAACTGGCTTTTCCACAGGCATTAAAAGGGGCATTGGTGCATTTGTGGGCTGTAAACAATTTATCGGGAAAGTTTAAAAATTAAATTTTAAAAATTTTGTAGATAATAAAATGATTGAGAGAGATAGAGAGAAGGAAGGAACAATTAAAATAAAAAAATATAACGGCGCGTATACCCTTTCCCCTCCCAGCCACATATATTTTATTGCAAATGCAAAAATAATTTTTTTTAAAATTTAAATTAAAAAATAAAATTCTAATTAGATAAGAATTTAAAAATTTTTGGTATTAAAAATAGCAAAAACTAAAGAGTAGCCAAATATCCCCCCATATATCCCCCAATCAGTAAATACAAACTATTTTAACAAATAATTAAATAGAAACTAAAAAAACTTAGAAATAGGAGAGGCAAAAAAATGTGGCCGGGTGGGAATGGGCCAAACAAGAACAACAAAATAATTACTAATTGGGTCAGAAAGGAGATATACTTAAAAAATAATTTATTAGAATTCTCAAAAACGCGTGCACACTTTCAGAATTAATAACCCCCATTTTTTCCTCACTTTCTCGAAGCGTTCCAATGTCCCAAGATTTGGTTCAGAAAACCGTCTTTCCCTTCTTTTTCTTCTTCGTTTACTACTTCCTCTATTACTTCCTCGATATTTATGGCTTTTTCTACTTTTACTGCTTTGTCTACTTCTAGTACTTTGACTAAAAGTTTTTTTAGTTGTTGGTGTATTAGATGAACATGAAGGTAAACTTGGATATCTTTCATTCCCACCACCACCTTTTCCTTCTTCTTTTTCTTCATTTTTATCATGAATATTTTCTCCTCTTTCATTTAATTTAGCAACTAATTGCTTACCCAAACGTTCAAACCTTTTATCCCACTCTCCACCCAATCGACGACCTCTTTCATCACGTTTAGGACGATGAGCATCTGAGACACTTATCTTCATTAGAATCTCCTAAAAATAAAAAAAATTTAGCAACTAATATACACCTTAGTTGTTTTGACAATAAAGTGATCAAAATAGGATTGACCCTGAGATCTTCCCAAAAAGTTTGTTATCAACTAAACAGGGGGATTGATATTTTCTAATCAAGTTTCTACTTACACCCCACACTAAAAACAAATAAACACCTGTTCAGGCAATAAAGCTCCATCAGAAAGAGGTCGTTCTCTCTCCCTTTGTCGTAAATATATTCCTCTTCTATGCCTAACAATATTTTCATTTATTTTATCAGATTTATTATTTTTATTTAATTCTTCTTCTTCTTCCTCTTCCCCTTCCTTTCCAATATTTTCACGTCCATTTTCTAATTCATCATCATCTATAGAATTCACTTCTTCCTCTTCTTCCTCCTCGCTTCTACTACTTGTATTATCTTCATCACTATTACCAAATTCTGGACTTGGCGTGGGTGTTGGGGTTTTTCTGTGTATTTTCCCCCAATATTTTTGCTGTAATCGAAAATTTGGGTCATTCAAAGAAGTCGACATTAAATCTTCTTTATCTGGAACATTTTGAGTAAAATGACTACTAAATCCGCTAATTGGAGGTCCGCTATCTCTTCTTCGTTGTTTTTCACATTCTGCCAAAAAATGTGAAAGTGTTGGCCGACGTCTTAAACGAACTCCGGCACTTCCCCCTTTACTACTTTTACGTCTAGTAAATAACCATTTGCGTCGTTCAACAACTTCTTCCATTGGCTTAAAAATTATTACAAAACAAAAAAATGAGACATTGAATAATTAAGATTAATTTCTGGAACTATTCAAAGAATTTTTAAGATTTTTTAACTACAGTTTGAATTTCATAAAATAATTAACTGAAAAGTCTCAAGATAATTAAAGATAACTAAATTATATATTTAATAAAGTTTGTATTGAATAAAGAAAAGAGTAAAATAATTATATTAAATTAATTTAAACAAATATTTTTCAAAAAACAACTGACCCGTTTAGAAAGTTTAACCATATAGGAACAAAGGCCCGGATATTGTTGGAAATTTACAATCTTAAATAAATATTTATTTATTTATTTATTTAATTAAAAATAAAAATACTTCAATTGTAAAAGGGCCATAATTTCTTTTCCCTTTATTGTGCACAAATGGGGGATATGTCTAAATTAAATTATGTAAATATTCAATTAAACTCTCTCTTTCTTGCCTTTGTATCAGTTGGTTGATTAGTTAAACAAATAACTGTGTGGACATTGTGATCAAAAACAAGTGTCCAAAAAGAGTCTAATGTTTGTTGTTTTGGCCATTCAGTAACAATAAACTTTTTAAATTTTAAATATTTTTAAAACAAAATTAGAGAAAAATATACAAATTTATTTAGAAATAGTTCCTTAATTAATTTTTAAAAATTAAATTTCTGATCTCTTTTTAATTTCTTATCTCCCTGAAATACTTGTATATTATTTACATACATACCTCAGCTTTCCGTGTAAAACCATCAACCTCAACAGCATTTATATATCTAAATACATTAATTATTTTATTTTAAATAAATTTCGAATTTACGTATAATCTTTGCTTTCTCCATGCAAAGTTTGTAAATATGGACGGGCATGGTCTGGGGGTACCTTTTTTAAAAATAATTTTAAATTTTTAAAAGAGGAAATTTAAATAAAAAATCAAAACTTACAACCATAACATCCCTGTTTTTTCCTCTATTTTCTAGTCTATGTCCACCAGCACAATCCCCAATCCTTAGCGGAGCAGTTAACATTGTTAAAAGTTTATTTTCGTGACTGTCTTGTAATTCCATCAATTCTCTATTTTTTCTTGCTTTGTACATTGTACTACGATCCTTTTAAATGAAAAATTTAAAAAAATTAATTTTCCAAAAATTTTAATTATTTTTTAGTTATTATTCTCGTTATTTAACATAAAAAATAATTTCTTTATTTACTTTTAATTGGTGCATTGCCATAGGTTGTAGATTGCATAAAACAGCCTCACAAAGAACTAAAATTAAATTAAAGTCTTCAAAATATTTTAAAAACCAACCATCATAAATAAATGTGTATTGCTCTACTGAGGACTTAAAAAATATTTAAATTTTAAATTAAAAAAAAATTTTTTTCAAACAATTAAATTTTGTCGAGAATTAATTAATGTTCTAGCATATTCAAAAACATCTAATTGTCCAGTCCTTTGCAAAAGCTCTAAATTAGCATCAACAGCTAAAAAAGCACCAGAACGCCCACCACCATTACTAAAAAATAAATTTAAAATTTATTTTTTTTTAAATAAATATTTAAAAATCTCGATCAATAAATTCAGAGGGGGAATTGTTTTTTGAGTAAATCAGACCCCTTAATTAAGCATTCTAATATTTATCCTGCGTAAGTATTGTTTCAACCTTTGCTGAAGGGGGCAATAAATTACTTGAGAGGGTAATTATAATAATTAACAGAGCATATACGGTGATCCTCAGATAATTTTGAATTTTATATTTTTATTAAAATATTTTGTCGATTTTTATTAAGGCCAACAACTAACAAATAATTTAGCTGTTCGTCTGGTTCCACTTTTTATATAATTATTGTTGTTGTTTGTTGATTATTTTACCGATTAAAAAGCAAAAAGAAAAAAGAAGAAACAAATAAAAAATAAAAAAATTATTGGGTTTGTCTACAAAATTATTTTTTGTCCCCGTTCCTCTCATTTAATTAACGTCCTCGATTCTTAAAACAAAAAAACAAAAATTATACATATTTTTCAGTCCAATTTTCTTTTTATTTTATATTTATTTAATTTTAAACTTTTCCCCTTTAATTAATTTATTTATTGTTTTTAAATTTCCAAAAAATGTTTTTTCCTTTTTTTATTCCCAAAAATATTTTACTAATTATTATTTTATTATTCTCACTTCCAAACCCAACAATTACTACAACTAATTTAATATCTAAAAGAATAAAAAGAGAAAGAATTGCATTTGATTTATTACGATTAGAAAAACAATTTGAATTATTAAATAATTTAAGTAAAAAAATTTTTCGGAAAAAATTATTTTTAATTGAAAAATAAATTTTTAGAAGGAAATTTAGAAAATGAAAGGAAAATTGATGAAGAAGAAAATTGTTATCAAAAATGTAATGAACAATTAAGAATGGGGTTAGATATGGTTAAGGTATATTTAATTATTTATTAAAGTTCGGAATTTGAAAATTGCCGGATCCGAACTAAATTATTTATGTTAGTGACCTTAGAATATATTTGTAAACCAGCAGACTTGTTACTGGCCGATTCATTTTAATTTTGAGGATTAGGGGTAGTGGATCTGGAAAAAATGGAGATCTAAAAGAGTAAGCGGTTGCTCGGAATATATTTAAAAATTAAAATAAAATTATAAAAATTCTCTCTCTTTTCAAGTCCCATTCATCATTTGGAAGTGTTGGAGTACCTTCAGTTATTGACAAATTAGATTTACAATTATTTTGTAATTTAGATTTAGAACATGATAATTGTTTAATTGGGTAGATTAATTTAAATTTAAAAATAAATAAATTTTTTCTTTTCGGTGCGGTTTTCAAGTTCAATTTAATATGCGTGATTTTGTTTGTCAAAAAAGAAAAGAAGAGGCAAAAAAATTTTTTAAATAAATAAATTAAATATTTTTTTAAGTTAATTTCACATTTAAATTGTTATTCTAATTCTTCTTTAAATTTAAAAAGAAATTGTGGCTCATTACGTTGTGGGCCATATACAGAATTAAAATTAACATTTAACGGAATGGGACAACGTTGCAAAACATTGGCAAGTTTAAATATAAAAATATAGGAATTTTTAATTAAACAAAATCTCCAAATATTTACTGTAAAAAATGAGAGGGAATAAAGGGGAATTTTTGTTTTAAATAAAAGAGTGAATTTAAATTTAAAGTTGTGTGACTTAAATTGTGCCCAAAGAGTTTTAAATAAAGAACCTAAATGTAAAGAAGGAGCCATTAAATATTTAATTAAATATTCTCAATTACAGGTATTTTTTAATTAAAAATTAATTTAAATAAATATTTAAAAAGGTATTTAATTGGTTAAAAGAAATATTTGGAAAAGAAAAAATTTTAAATTGGCAAAAATGGCCTAAAACTTGTAGTAAATTAATTTGTGGAAATATAATTAAAAGAAGAAGGGATATACAAAATGAAGAAGAAAATATTAGTAGAAATTGTAATAATTTAATTGAAGAAATGATAAATAATTAAAATTTAAAATGAATGTTGATTTTGAATTGTTTAAAAGTTAAAATAAAATATTTTGAATTATGAGAATATCTCTCTCTCCCTCTCTCAAAGTTGTTTAAAATTTTACCTGCAATGTACAACAATTGGGGAATCAACTGGGCTCCTTTCCATCCATTGTCTTACTCGTCGACGAACTTCAACAAAAGCAGAAATATATGGAAATGAATTCTAAAAATTAATTTTTCTTTTAAAAATATTTTTTAAAATATTAATTACCAATTCCCACTCTGTAAAGTGAAAATGTTTAACAATTCTTTCTTCAGAATTGTCATTAATATTCCTTAGTGTTTCACCTTTTCCATCTGTTGAAGTTGTTGTTAAATCTCCAACACCGCCTGTTTTGCGAAGTCGAAATGTTCGAATTACCTAAAAATTTAGATTAAATGAACAGAAGATGGACAACACACATTTGTGTTCATAAAAGAAGTGAAATGCCCCGTATATCGCTTATTTTAGGTTTAAAACGGTATTCTTTAATAAAATGTTAAAATAATCTCCCTCCCTCTCTCTCTCATACTCCCCTCAATTCCAAAAAATGTACATACAAAATGAGCATATGTTCGTGTATCCAAAGTCTCTACATGAATTTCTCCAAATTGGAATTGTGTTTGAGGCCAATACTGAAGGCAAACAACGCGCATAAAATCAAAAATTTTTGTGAGCATAACTATTGTCTTTAGAAAAATAATTTTTAGAAAAGTAAATTTTTATTATTTTAGCTAACATTTGCACCAATTTCCCAAACACACCGCCAAAATTCATTACTGGCTTGTTTGTTCCTAACAGATTGTGTAACAACATAGGCACGTTCTCGAAGCCAACTCTTTTTAATAAAAAAGAAATTTTAATTAAATTAATGTGTTAATTAATTTTTAATTTAGGGGGGGGGGGGTTGTGTTTAGGAGGGAAAAATTAAAAAATCAAAAAAATCAAATTTTAAAGAAAATTAATTTATAAAAATATTTACATTAACATAAGAAGCATTAATATAATGAGAATCTTCTACACCTGGCCTGTGTTCGAGAATTACACGATTTTGATCTAAAAATAATTAAAAGTTTTAAATAAAATATTTTAATTACCGTAAGGCAATGTATCTGGATATTGATTCTAAAAAATTTAATTTTAAATAAATAAATTTTGTTAAAAAAGGAAACGAAAATCAGGAGCTACTATAGAAAATATTAAATTTATCCCCAAACACTTTTTTATTCTAGATGTGGAATACATAGGGTTGTCAATCTGGTGAGACCGACAACCCTAATGTAGATAAAGTACATATTAATTTATAATTTTACTTTTTCCCCCATCCGAATTCCAACTTCAGTTGTCAACCTTTGAGGGTCTACTGAACGTTGAATCATTAAAAATTCTCCTTTAAACAATATCCTCTTTTTGCGCCTTTCCTGTACATATGCAACAAATTTAGCAGCAGAAATAGGGGCAGTAGGTGCTTGCAGCATTGCTTTCTCTTCTTGAACTGAAAAATTTTAGAGAGATAATTTAATTAATTTTATAAAAATTAATTTTATTTATTAGGCAATATTTTATTTTTCTTTGCTCTCATAAAAATATTAATAATTATTAAATATTTGAAGACACATTTGAAGCATTTTCAATGAAAATAATAGAAGAAATAATTAGGAGATGAAAAATTATTTTAAATAAAGTAAAATTGGTTACAAAAATTTGGAAGTAATAAAGATAGTTATTAGATATATGTATATTTAATTTTAAAAAAATACTACATAGATAATAATCCCCATTTTAATTTTAGATTTTACAACAATTGTACATAGAAGACATTTACAACAAACTTTTTTCAATTTAGAGGCAGAGTTCGTCCTAACCTAAAAAATGTTTATCCGTGGACGAAATTTATTCTTAACAGTATTTGACGTCTAAAGAATCAGGCCGAGTTTTTGAGTCCATTCTAGGTCCCGACTTTTTAAGAACTTAAGAAATCCTGAAGAGATCTACTTTGACTCATAAAAACTAAAATTCAAATGGGACTCTTTAGGCTTTGAAGCACAAATAAAAATCCGAGTACAAATAGAAACGTTTAGGCTTCTAAACTCTGAGAGAATATACTCACTTAATTATTCCAACTACAAAGGTCTCAATGTACAATCGTTGTTGGACTATAAGTACATTTATTTTTTCTTTTCTCACTTTTATGTGCGCGTAAATTAATATAATTTCTTTTAAATAAATAATAATAAATTGGTGGTCTTTCAACAGATATAATTTTTTGTGCCGGTCCTTTTTGTCGAAAAGTTCCATTTCTATGAAGAATTAGAGAAGAAGAACGATGATTTAAATATCTACTATTATTTTTATTTAATAATAATGATGAACGAGAAGAATCAAAATAATTAAATTTATTTTCTTCTTTTTCTTCCAAAATTCCCCACCAAACACCATTTTGTTTCTTTCGTTTTGATGAAGATAAAGAATTAATAGAAGATGAAGAAGATGAAGAAGAAAAATTGAAAGAAGAAGAAGGGCGATCGGGAATGTTAGAAGAATGTTTGGGGGTTGTTAATGGGTTTTGAGAATTATTTAAAGGAATATTTGTTGTTGTTAACATATTTTTGAAGAGAAGGGGAAAGGCGTGAATGAAGAACAAATAAAAAAACTTTTTTTTAAAATAACGGGCTTTGAGGATAAAAATAAAAATTGTGAAGGAAAAGAGGAAAGAAAAGGTTAGAGGGGGGGAATAAAAGAATTTCAATCGTATTTTATGCCGCGCGATAAGAGAAGGGAGAGGAGTTGTTCTCTTGTTTCAACTTTTATGTGAATTTTGGGCACAAAAAGCTGCATTATTTTTAGGAAGGAGAAAAGAGAGATGTGAAATAAATTTAAAAAAAATAGAAAAGTATATTTAGAGGATTTAATTCAAATAAAAATATTTTTTTGGTTTTAAATTTCAATTAGGCAATTCAAATTGGCGACCTATTTTTTTTTGTTTTAACCCTTCAATTTTATATTATTTTATTTCATAGTTGTACTCAAGAATTGAATTTCTAGTTTTGTTTTTAAAAGGGAAATAATTTACTTAATATTTTTTATCCCCCCTTTTATCCCAATTTTATTAATTTTCCAAAAAATATGTATGGAGGTATATATTCACTTAAAATTATAAATTAGCTAGGCTATCTTCTATAAATTAAAATTCAGTCTAATAGTGCAGTCTTCAGAATAAAAGAACCCGTTTAAGATATAAGAATAACCGGATTAAGATATGCCGATTAAAATCCATAGAAATAATATAACCCACAGTTTTCATAATATGGTTTGACTAAAAATATTTTTAAAATAACTTTTACCTTGAACAATTTGTCTTTGAATCGCTGCAGGAGAAAGTCTTTCCCATTGAATTTTTCGTCTTAGTGCCATTCTTCGTTGACTTTTCCTACTAAACGGTGTCGCTAAATTTCCCGTAGAATGATGATGTGGAGGTACAAAACCGCTTCTCCTTAAGCTATTAACTGCTGAAATACTTCCAGAAGAAGATTCTGCAGGTCCTACTGTGTGCATAAAATGTCTGTTTCCTCCTCCATGATTTATTTGATAATATTCATCATCAGTTGTTGTTCCCCTTCCCCAACAATCTCTTTTAATGTCATCGTCAGGCATCCCTCCATATTTTGTTCTATTAGTAGCTGTTTTTAATACTTCCAAAACTAAAGATAATTCGGAAATACTTCTTCTTTTAAACGCATCAAATTCATTGCGAATTGAACGACGAAGGGATGTTGATGAGGAAGAGAAGGGTACAACATTTGTACCTTGAGGTTGAGAGGATAAGGGTGTTTTAGAATAAGAAGAGAAATTATTTCCAACAACGTTAGTTGAAGAACTTGGGGAAATTGGAGAGGAATGAAAGGAAACTGCAGATGATTGATTACCAAATGGACGAAGATAACTTGTTGAAGCTGTTGAATTCTGTGCTGCAAGCATTGGAGCAGATCTTGATAATAAAAGATTATTTCCATCAGAAGAATTATTTCGAGAATTTTGTCGATGATTTGGAACAGAAAGTAATCCTCCACCTTCCTTTCTTGAAGAATTTGGACGAGCAGCGGCTGTTGGGGCAGTTGCTAAAACAGCAGCTAATGCAGCAACTGTAGCCCCAACATTCGAAGTTGTCCTTGTTTGAGATGTTTTATTATCTGAAGTTTTTGCCTCTAAAGGTGGTGAAGGTCTATGTCCAACATATAATGGAGGTATAATTGGAGAATTATTATTTGGAGGAGGAGGTGATGGTCTGTCTGGAACTTTTCTTAAAGTATTTCTGCTAACATTTTTATATTTTTGTTGATTTGAAGTTTTTGTTGGTGTTTGTTCTTTTGATGAAATAAATTCTTCTTTATCTTGATAGTGTTTATGATGTCTTTTATGATCCATTAATTTAGAAGAAAATGAGGAATGGAAGAAAGAAAATACAAAAAGAAAGACTCTTCTTTATTTTTAGAGTTGAATTTAAAAATTACTAAATATTATTTCATTAAATAATAGAGAGAGATTAGTAAATATATTCTCCTTTTTTTAAAAATATATAAAAATATTTTTATTTAAAAGTTTTGATTTTTTCCGTCAAAAACAATGAGTCTCGTCTAAATCGATTGAGAGATCTCTCAAAGAAAAAAACACAAAATAATGGCCAACTGACACTTAAAGCCATTCAATACATATTTTTATTTCTTTTCCACAAATCTGTGCTTTAAAAGTGATTGAAAAGGTTTTTGATGTTTTTGTGGCTGTTACACGCCAATTTCATTTTGTGGGCATGTGGCCAAGTAAAAAAGAAGAAACAAAGAAAAAAGCCATTTATCCTTTTGCCTAATAAATGGATGAATCCTCAAAAACATCCAAAGTGGCTGGCAGGTTTTTTTAAAAATAATTTTTGCTTGAATAAGTGAGAACAAAAAGAAGAAGAAGAAAATAATATTTTTTAAATAAATTTTTAACTGAAAAAAAGAGTTATCATAATCTTTACTTTATCCCATCTACACATCCCCAATCTCTTTTATTCCAAAAAAAATTTAAGAGAACTTTTCGTTGTATTTTAATTATTATGTTTGAGGGAGTTAGTATATTTTATTAATTTAATAACAACTTTGTAATACTTAACATTAAATATATTTTTTATCATCAAAGTTTATCTACATACATATTTAAGAATTTATTAGTCAATAATAAAACTTATTAAAGATTAAAAATTTATTTAGGAAAAAACAAAAATTTATTGGATTCCCCCCCCCCCCCCAAAAAAAGGCTAAATTTAAACCAAAAATGAGAAAGCTCTTTTTACATAAAATAGTGAAGACAAATAATATATTAAATTTAAAAAATAAACCTTTTTGGTAATAAAAAAAAGATTTATTAGTTTTTATTTGGTTAAAATGAATGAAAAATAAATTAAAATTTAAATAAATTAGGTTATTTTTAGAAAGAGAATCTCCTTAATTTATTTAAAATAAAATTAAAAATTTTTGATTTAAACTAAAATTAATTATATAAAAATAAACTTTAAAAAAAATATTTTTAAAAATAATATTTAAATAAATTTAGTTAATTCTTTTGTTTTTTCAAAAGAATTGCGTCATCAAAAATAAAAAAAAAAGAATTTTTTTTTTCTAAAGAAGGCGACATTGTCAAAATAAGTCAAAAAAATATTTAAAAATACTAAAGTAATTGGAAATAAATTTAAAAATATTTTTTAAAAAATAATTTAAAATTTATATTTAATTAAAAAATATTGCCTAATAAATACCTAAATATAAATAAAATAAATTTCCAAAGAAAATATTTTAAATTTAAAAAAATATATTTTTTATTCTAAACCCATTAACTCATCATAAATCCTCCCTTTTTCAAATAATTTTTAAAAATTTGACATGTTTAATCTTCCTCTATTTTCCTTTTTTTTTTGAAAAAAGAGTAACCAAAAAAACTAATTTTTTAATTTAAAAATATTTTCGGTTATTTTGGTGAGAATTATTATTTAAAAATTAATAATTAATTAAATATAATTTCTTGAAATTAATAAAGAAAATTTTAAAGTTTTAAAATTTTGGAAATATACTAAATACAAAAATCCCTCCCTCCTCCCTTCGTTACTTCCCCCCAGATTTATCCCCCCCCCCCCTCCCCCAAACAATTATTACTATAAATTACCTTCTCTTTTTCTTGTCAATTTCTTTTGTAATTTTTCTTCTTTTTCCATTTTCAATGTTAATCCATAAAGCATAGCTCTAAGTCCGGGTTTTTGTATTCCAATAGTATCTTGTCTTTGAAGGGATGTTGGTCTTAAACGTTTACCTTCATCTTTTGGCGAAGAAATAAAACGTAAAGGTCCAAATTCGAGAAATCCTTTTTTCTTTTTCTTTTTTTTCTTTTAAAAATTAAAATATAATTCCTTTCATTTAATTATTTAAAGAGAAAATATTTATTTATTATCATCAAAGCCAGAAGCTATTTTTGTACCTTTGGGTTCCGTTCTGTTGATGAACTTGCCGTTCTTGTTATTCCCACATCCATTTCTGTTGGTGACTGTAAATAGTAAATTAAAGTATAGAAGGAAATATTTAAAAAAATTTCACTTACTTTTGGTGTACTTTTCATACTCTGGGTACGTCTAATTGTTTCTCTTCTTGTTGATCCCGCCACACTTGCACGTGCCGCAACTCTATAAATAAATTAAAAATTTTAACGGTTTTAATGTGACTTTTTACTTAAAAGTTTAAACACAACTTCTCCTTAACCAATTAATCTTCCTCGTCCTCCTATTTTCTTCTTTATTACCTTGACTTTTAATTATTGGGAACTCGTATTGTACTCCTCCAGTTATTGTTTAGGAGGTACTCTTTCCATCCCAACTACTATTAGTCTGAGCCCTTTATTCGTAAAAGTCAGATTTTTTATTATACGACTTTCTAATAATTAAATATGTATTCTTTCTTATATGTATATTCTGATAAAGGAGAAAAACTTAACATGACTTGGGGATAAAGTTAATTTTGGTTTAATTTTTATTTAAGAAAAGTTTATTTACAAAAATAAAATATAGTAGGTAATCATAATCCTACTTTAATTTAAATAAAATCACCTTATTTGTGTCATTTATTTCAACTTTTTTTTATTTGAAAAAAAAGAAAGTGAAGGTGTTAACTAAACTTTTCTTTTTCTTTTGTATGTTTTCCCCAGATTTTATTACAAACAGAAAAAAGAAACAAAAAAACTTCTTCTTTTTTTTCACACCTCAAATGATCAATCAATGTAATGCCGCCCCCATTACTTATTTTATTTTCTTCTGCCTCTACTGCTAAAGCTGCCCGTCTAGAGGCTTCTTGTTGATTTGCTACAAATGCTCGAGCTATAACTGCAGCCGAAACCATACAAAATAAAAATAAATATTTCCTCACTTTTCTACAAAAAAAGATAAAAAATTTGAAAAAATATATTTCAAAACTCTACTAAAGAGGGAGATTTTAAAATAATTAATTAAGAATGTGGTTAATAAATTCTGTTAAAGTAGTAAATTTGCATTAAGTTTGTATTGCTTAATTATTTTAGTTCTACTTGTAATTGTTCTTAAAAAGTGATTGGCTATTTAACCTATCAAAATAGACTTTCTACATTTTTCGAGTTCTCTCGGCTTTTGATGGCCGATGAGTTAATAATGTAAGAAAATAATATATGTAATAATTATTATAATATATGTAGGTAATTTAATTAAATCATTAAATTTAAAAATATTGTAAAATATGGAATAATCAAAAATTTAAAAAATATATTTAAAAAATCTTTAATTAACTAATGAAGAAAAGAGAAGAATAAATATATATTTAAGTATAGTTAGCCTTTTATCTTCACTTAGAAATAAACACTTAAAAATAACATACTAGTAGCGCAGACTCATTGCCGGAAAACAAACAAACAAACAAATTTTTTTAGATTTTTTTATGTAGTTCTCCAAAAATATTTACAAATTAAAAGAAAAAATTGAAAAAAAAATAAAAATTAATTGGGTATGTTTGGTTCAAAAATTATTTTAGAGTAATTATGTAAAGGTGAAATAAAGTAAAATTAAATTTTTGAATAATAAAAATATTAAGTGAATTTTTTTAAAAAGAAAAAACAAAAAAAAAGAATTTAATACTCAAAAAAATGTCCAATATATTTTGTTTGTTGGTTAATCATTTACATGTTTTTTGTGTATTGACAAACAACACAAATTTCTTTTAAATAAGCCACTCAATATATTCCCACCAATTACTCAATCTCTCAGCTGTTTTGTCGATTCCAGAAAATCCATTCAACTCTTTATTAGCTATTAATAACGCCTCCACAATTAAAATTGAGGATGTAAAAGAAGCCACTTTTTTTAAAGACCCCAAATCCATTCCCGAACAATTTTCTCATACATTTTATTAAAAGCCCAAGATTCCCGCCAAAAATTATTTAGTCGAGGTATACACTTTTTGTTTTGATTTTACTTCAAGCTATGTATATCTGCATATACCAGGGATCCTGCCGACAAAAAACCAAAATTCCCGATTTCGGGAAATCGGGATCCCGACCCTAAAAAACGTCGGGAATTCCCTTCAGGGATCGAGACGGCAGGATCGTTGGCATATACACCTCAGGGTTATTCTCCAATCAGAGTTTCACTCCCTCATGCGTGCGTAACTTGTGTCAGTAACTCCACCGGAAACAATCCTGCATGTTTTTTGGGCGGAATCCCTACTTACTGAAATCGGGAATTGAATATATTTTTTAAGTCAACATCCCTGGTATGAATGCTGAGATATAGGGTTTCGATATACTGGGTTAATCCCGCTTTAATTGTTACAATCAATTTTTTTCCAGTAAATTCTAGTAAATACTAACATGTAAACATTTATATCCTTGTCGACAATTTGTCAATTTTTCTCCTTGTTTACATTTTGTCTTTATGCATTATGTATTTTTTCCAGTAAATTCCAGTATGATTGTTTTGCAATTTATTTACCATCAAAGTACTTTGCTCGGGTGCAGTATAAAATGAGAGAAAAAATTCACATTTTATTCATTTACATATTCGAACCGTTCTTTAGTTTTTGTGTTAAGTTTGTTGTTGTTTAGTTTTTATTTATTTACTAGTGCTATAGTTCCATTCTTGTACCAATTATCAATTGTTACCTTTATTATTTTTTTAATTTTTAAATCTTTTTTAAGTAAAATTTTCTTTTCTTAGAGATTAATGAAGGTAACAATTAAAATTATTTTTCAATTCATTCATTATTTTTCACAAATTTTTAGCGTATTTTATTTAATCTGATCTTCAAACATTCTAAAATGTTGAACATTCCTTCTTTTACTTCGACTCGCTCGATGGTTCCATGGGCCGGACACCGCCGTCATTGGATGGCTGACCCGTTAGAACAGATGGACCGCTGGATGCAATCTATTGACCGTTACTTTGATGACCGCGTCGGATTCCAGGTGTGGTTTTTGTTTAATTTTTAAACTTTTCATTTTGATTGTCTTTTAACAGATGCGTGACCATGCTGCTCAAATGAAGATTGAGCCTAATGGGGACTTCACCTATAAGGTCGACGCTTCTGGCTTCCGTCCTGAGGAGTTGAAGGTTGAAGTTCATGGGAACGAGGTTGTCATCTCTGGGGACCATCGTGAGGAGAATCAAGGTTATTTTTGATAGTAGTTCCAAGATTTAAACTTTAAATTTAGGCGAGTCTGTTCACCGTCAGTTTGTTCGTCGCGTCTACATCCCGGAAGGAGTCAAGCAGGAGACTGTTAAGTAAGTTTTTTAGTGTGAAATAATCATTTTTAATTTAAACATTAAGGTGCGAGATGGACAACGCTGGTCGCTTGTGTGTCACTGCTCATCGTGATGGTGAAGGGAAGCGTAACATCCCGATTGACTTCAAGCCGGGCAACGCGACTGCAACGACTACTGGCGAGCAGCCGAAGACCAAATGAATGCCTTAAAGGCTGATTTGAAAAGGAGGAGGCGAAATTATTTTGAGACAATTTCTCATTTTTTGATTTTATTTTAATTTATTGTATTCGCTCTCCATCCTAATTATTTAAATAAAATTTGGTTTTTCTGAGGAAGTCATTTTCTGTCTTATTTAGGTTTTATTTCTGGACCGATTTGTCGAACTGGAGAAGGTGATTCAAATGGGAAAGTCCGCCATTATTCCGTATTTTACTCCAAAAATCGAAAGTACAACGTAATACGGACAGTTCAATTCGACTGTCATTTTATTAATTTTCCCGTGTCTTTCGTTTTTCTCAATTGTGTATTGTCGGTTTTTAAACAAAAAAAAACGTGGTAGGGCCTAGACTTGACAAAAAACATTTTATAATTATTCAAAATATAGAACAAATTTAGAAAACAATTATCTCAATCAGATTGGTTCTCATCTTCGTCTTCCCCCTCATCCTCATCTTGTTCCATATCTTCTTGTTCAATTTCCTCTCTCCTTCCTCCTTTATTTTTCTTATTTTTTGATTTATTAGTTTCTTCATCGTCTTTTTGATTTTTCTCTTTTTTCTTCTTTATTTCATTTGAAACTTTGCGAAGTTTTGCAACAAAAAACCCGTCAATATTGTGCACATGTGGGTAATAACGACGAGTATTTTGCATTGATGGATCAAAACGATATTCTCGAAATCTTTTTGAGAAAATAGAAATATATTTGGAGGAATTAAAAAGAGAAATTTTCCAAAACCCAGTAGAACAAAGATGGAGTGAAAGTTCTCAATAATTATCTCAATAACTCAAATCCCTATTTAGTTATGCTTATTAAATATGCAATTAATCCCTTTAAAACTCTCTTCAAATAAATTCTCAAAAAAGTAGATTGTGTTTTAAATTCCCAATTATATTAACAAAAACATTTTTTAATTAAAAGATTAATTACTTTGTAAATCCGGGCACCCCAACATCCAACCCCATCTGAACTATTTTAACATATCTTTTACTCAAAGCATATTGAATAACTGCTTCATTTTCCTCAACCAAAACTGAACACGTTGAATAAACAATATAACCTCCATTTTTACCAGAATGTGCATTAACTGAATCTATTGCTGCCAAAAGTAAACGTTTTTGAAGAGTAAAACGTTCTTTTATATTCTCGTAGTCCTTCAAAATTTTTAATTTTACAAATTTTATATTAAAAACCTTTGTAGTTTTAACACGTTCATCCTTCCATATAACACCTGTACCTGAACATGGAGCATCCAATAATACTCGATCAAAAGAATGTGTTTGGATTTTAGCAAATTCTGTACCATCAAGATTGCTTACAACACAATTATTTACGCCCATTCGATGAATATTTCCAATTATCCCGTGAATTCTTGATGGCTAAAAATAAATAAATTTTTAATTAAGGGGAAATAGAGGAGATTAATTTTGAAATGAAATTTTGTCGGAACACAAACAGTGAAATAAAAAATATAATATGTAGGAATGGATTAGTTCCTTATAGTCCAGAAATGGAAGCTTTGTTGAGAAACTAATCCTCTAAGGAAAACGTAGCTACCCGATTTAAAAAAGGATTTGAATTTTAATAAATATATGTTTACAAAAATTTATAGTAACAATAAAATTTTACATTAGAATCATTGGCAAATAAAACGCCGGTATTCTTCATTAAAGAGGCAATATGTGTAGTTTTACCACCTGGGGCTGCACACATATCCTAATAAAATAAATAATTTTATAAAAATAATTTAAAAAAACCAAAATTCTTTCATTTGGTTGTGGTGCGAGTGCCATAACTGGTAAAAATGAAGAAAGTCCTTGAAGAATGTAATGTCCAGCCAAATATTCAGGCGTTGCACCTAAATATTTTTTTTAATTTAGAAAAATATATTTACTAACCAACGGGAACTTGAGAATCATAAACAATTAATCCAACTTTTGTCCATTTAGCTGCTGGATCTACATTCATTCCACGAGCAATCTAATTTATTAATGGAATTATTAGTTAATTGCTCTTGCAGAAAATTAAAAAATCATTCGATTTAGATGAGCTGAAAAGCTCCCCCCCCCCTCCCCCTCAAAAATTCATTCCCCAAAAAGATATTTAATACCAATGATTTTGCAAGTTCTCCTCTTCTAGTCTTCAATGGATTAGTTCGAATAGTAACAGGTCTCTGATGTTCATTTGCATCAAGAAATTCAATTAACTATTTAAAAACAATTATTTAAAAATTAAAATCAATAAAAACCTCAGTTCCATTTGGAAAAAGATTCATAAATTTTTCCATTAAAAATTCATTATAATTATAATAAGCACACAAATCTTTTAAAAATACTTGTAAATAATCTTTTCTTTTACGTCCAGGTTCAGCTCTATTTTTAAAATCTCCAAGAATTTGAATAACATCTTGCAATCTTTCTTTTAAAATATTTAAATCACGTATTTGTCCACCATCCTCAGACAATGTTGATAATAAAGAATCTGGTAACGATTGTTTTTTGCTTGTTTTGACATTTAAAGAAAGATCCTCCTCTTCTTCATCTTCTTCTAATTTTCTAAAAATATTAAAATAAGAAATTTGGAGGCAAATTTTTAGAAAAATTTTTTAATGTGAAAATGTTGAATTTTATGAAAGAACTTTTTATTAATTGCGAAACTTTAATTTTGAGTAATTCGAAATATGTACATCCAAAAAAACTACACCTATTCTTGCGGATTTATATAATTCAATTAATTATTCATTATTTCCAAAAGGTCAAGAATATTCTATATTTTAAATTCCGTCATTTAACAAAAAACAAAGAATTTAATCAAAAAAATATTAAGAAACTTTAAATTAATTTTGTAACAAAAATATAAAATAAAACCTTTTGTTCTTTTTAGGCTTCTTAGACAAAATAACAGACTCAACCATATTTTTAATTATTAATATGTAAAATAATCTGTAAAATTGAAATAAATTATTTAGGTAAGAGGACGTCTAGTAACTTTTAGCAAAAATTCTGACTTCATTTCTTTGAAATAAACAAAATGCCAATGTTAAATTATTTATTTTTGTGGGCGAAATTTGAAAAGTTGCGGACACTAACACTAATTCTAAGTTAAGAGATCGACAGTAGTAAAATTTCTATCTTATCCTCTCGTTTATTCGAAAAACAGCTTATCCCATCATTACTTTAATCCCTTCTTGTTATTATCCAGGGCATCCTCAATTCACACCTTCCCGTTATCAAGGCCGATTGAACACCGACCGACCAAAATCACGTTTACACGGTAGACTAAAAATACCTTCCATTTCACATAGAGTAACCAAATATTAAAATTTTTATGCATATGTAGGAGTACTAACCAAGACTAAATACCTAGTTATAAGGTCTAAAATAGATCAAATTTATCATCTGTAAAAGTCGGCGGTATTTTTTATTCAAATGTCGGGACAGTGTTTTAGTCGGACTTTGTTTTGTCTCCCATAATTTTATTTGCATATTATTACACTTTTAATCGAATTCAAGTCATTCGTTTTTAATTATACTGTTAACTTAAATTAAAAAATATGTAACTGTCACGTCTTTTCTTTTCACCATATAAACTCTCAAGGGGATTTTCTACGTCTCCTTTAGCTGTCGAATACCATCATTTGTTGTTTATGTTTGTCCTTGTGGCTAAACACAAATTGGATTATTCAATTCCAGAACCTATTAAATGTTTTAATTAATTCAAGAGAAACAACAAAAACAACGGGAAAGAAAAATTCTTTTTAATGTATTTCCGTTGTTAATTACGTTGATTGCTTGGGAGGTTTACGTATAAAAAATGTTTTTGTCTGGATGTTTCCTCCCTTTTTATAAATGAAAAAATAATGTCTTGAGTATTTTATTTGCGTTGGTGGAATTATTTTTAAAAATTTATTTTGTCCTTTTATTTACGTAAATGAATAAAATTTACAAAAATGGAGATAATTTGTCCTTAAATGACCAATAAATTATAACAATATGTGCTAATTATAATATTTTTATATTTTTAATCCTAATATGTGTATATTTTTAGTTGTCACTTTCATTTATAAAAGCTTTATTTTAAGATTTATTTTTTTCAATTTATTTCAAGCATTTTATTTTTTAAATGTTTAATGGTATTATTTTTTTAATTTTGACTCCTCATCTTACTACCCCGCTGTGTACTTCTAATTCTTTTGTTAACTCGACATCACAAGAGTAACGTGTATATATTCTGCACAACAATCAACTCCTCTTATAGTATCTCGATACCCTCAAAGCCTAAGGCTCAGTTAGTCAGGGTTATGCACGGAGAGATGTCTCAAAAATTTCTATAAATTTTTATTTAAAATAAAAAATTTCAGAAAAATTCAAATTTAGTAAATATGAAATCAAGGAAGATTCAATCTTAATCTAAATTAGAACCTATTTAGTCAAAATTTGGACCTATTTTGGCCTTTCTCGGATTTTTTGAACCTATTTTTGAATTTTTTGGCCTAAATAGGATCCTATTTCACTATTTTTTTTACCTAAAAACACGCTCTACTTATAAGATATTTGTTGGTAATACCAATATTTATATGAAGACTTTTGTTTAAATAAATTTTCAGAAAATAATTATTTTTTCTTTTTAATTTTTACTCTTTTTATTAGGTTAATTAAAAATAATTTCCATTTTTAGAATAATTTAAAACTTAAAAAAAATAATTTTTTGATGATTGTTAATTGTCTATCAATCTTTGAACAAAAAAAATTTACGTAATAAAAAATGCCAAAATTTACTTTATATAAAGTCTAAAATAAGAAGAAGACTTTCCTTATATAATTAAAGCAAAGAATATTTTAAGTAGTCAAAATAGCCGCCGCGTGGGCGACCAATCAGAAAGTAGAAAAAATGCTTTAAATTGGGAAGGCTTTGCTAGAGGCATTTTTGTTAATTGGATTTTTTAGATATAAAGAGGTCAAAAATGCTAAAAGGCGGAAAAGGAAAGGAGGGAAAGGACAGCCTTTTAAACCTAACCAAAAATTTTTGGTTAATGAGAGTAATGGTTCATTTTGGTTCTTTGGGCTTTCCTTCCCTGAACTTTTATTTAAAAATCCTCATAATTCCTTTAAATAATTTTAAATTTATTTTTTAAGTTAAAAATCTATTTAAAAAATTATTTCAATAAAATGTATCATTTTCAAAAATTCAACAAATATACGCCTTTATTTAGCTCATTTTTACTTGTCTTCTGTGCATATTTAGAAACAGCTAATGGGTAAATTTGTAAATTAAAATTAATACAAATATTTTTTGGGCAAGGACGGGATCACTTCCGCCTTCCATCTCTCGCATAAAATGCGGAAGGGCCCATCTCGATATGCCCCACCATTTTTCTTCTCCTTTACTTTTTAAAAATACACAAATGCTAGCTCATTCGACGTTTTATCAAACTGTTATAATGATACGAATTTATAATTCATTCTTTGTTTCGATATATTAAAACATAACTGACGGAATTAATAATTTTAATTTGATCGCAATGCCCTATTTGTTACTATCTCGTCAATGTCTAAAACATTCTCCCTTCATAAGAAAATAATAACAGCTAGTACAATTGTACATTTTTGTTTTTCAGATATTTGGTGGGAAGATTGCTTAGTTTACAGGTAAATTTCTGATAAAGAAATTTTATCCTAAAGAGGGAATCTTTTTGTGTCTTTGGCACACCAAAAATAAGATTGATCCGTCATGGACATTCAAAGATTTCCCCTTTTATTAAAATGCCTATTTACATTCATTTAATATTTTAAAGAATGTTGATGATGCCCACAAACAATTACTTGTAGCTACAGCCACGGGAGATCATAAAGCATTGCTAAAGCCTCCGCTTGTAGTAATTGAAATGCCTGAATTGCCACCGGTAAGAGGAAATTTTTTTGTGGAGGAAATTTTGGTTAGAAAATAAAAATTCCAGCCAATTTTTGCCCGCTATGTTAATCTTTTTTTGCAACCTATTTTTATGAGTACTTGTAGCTACAGCCTAGGAATCAGGCCTCTACTAATTAATTTAAATTTAGAATGCAAAGTTGCCATTTGAGCTTGCCAATAACAACGATGTTGGGGATAAAAGATTAACAATATCTCAAGTCAAAACTGATTATTCTGAACGTCCACTATCTTTAACAAAAAAATCATCAAAACAAATAATTCCAGAAGAAATTGGCAATGAAGAAATAACAGAAAATGAAGGAAATTTAAATAGAATTTTAAATATTCGTTCAATTCGAGATCCAATAGGGGCAAGGAATTGTTTTTTTACACCTATTCAATGTATGATTCATCATGATATGAGCAAATACAGAAAATTAGTTGATTCGGATATTCGATTACAAAGAAGTGGATAAAGTTAAAAAGAAACAAATTTTAAAAGTTAAGAAAGATCTCTCTCTCATTATTAAAAAGATTGTTTTTAATATAAAAAGTAAAAATATACTATATTATATATAGAAATGAAGAATCCGAGTTTAAAGTATTTTTGTTTGAAATAGATGTTATTTTACATTAAAGTTATTTAAAAACAAAAGGATAAACACAGGCCCCCGCCCCAATTTTCTCATTGTATGTTTTTAGATACTTTATATTCATCCCTATATCCATAACTATGTATATGATTAACTAAGAGGATAATAATTTCTTCTGATACTTTTAAAATATTTTATTCCAAATTCTTCATTTGTTAAATATTTACAATCAATCGAAGGATGAGCTCATTCCTATGTGTTTCTAAAGGGTAAATAAAATTCGTTTGATAATCTCGAAAAAATTGGGAAATACAACTTATAAAAACTCATCCTTTTTTGTAAAATAAAGTAGTTACTGGTTATGCAATTAATTTTAATTAATGTCAATGGAAAAGACTAAAATGGGAAGGACTTAAAAAATGGACGTATAATCAGTAAATACTTTAAAATGTCCCAAAATGTAGGTGTCAAGTTTTTTTTATTTAAAATAATTATAGTCAATTGTTCGTTTTAATTATTCTTTAGAAGATGGCAGAGGAACCCTCGAGTAAATTGAAGTATTTATGGATCCCAAAAATTGTTAAAAATATACATAAATTTGCTACATAGACGAGAAAACATGCGCCAGTCGCAATCTGAAAAAGAAAAAATTTTTTATATAAACTCAAAAGCATTCAAAAATTAAAAAATTCGATGTTGAATGATTTTAATAAATTCAAAACAAAAATTAACTAAAGAATGTAAAACAAACACAAAATATATTTACATAAACCTACGTTATAGTCTCATTTTTAGATCATGGAAGTTCCCCAACCACCATTTTCTTCAACATTTTGCATTAAGAAATAAGCAAAGATGGTAGAGAAAATACTAACAGAGCCAATGCTGGAGAGCATAAAAGCAGTCCATTTGATCTAAAAAATACAAACAATAACGAAAAAAGAAACAAAATAAAATTAGACTAATTAAGTTAAAAATAAAAAACAAAGAAAGGTAGCTAGAAAAGTTTTTTTAAAATAATTGCGGACAAACAGAACTAGAATAGATAAATCAAAAATGAAGTAATCCTAGCGATATCGAGGTCTTTAATGGAAATATAAAGCTGTGTCCCACCAAAAAGGTGTTCCCAATTGTAATAGTTTTAAAGTATTCTAATACTAACTAGAAACAATTTTAAAAGAAACAACCCCGAACTCTGATAAAAAGAGGTAAATTGCCACAAAAATTCTTATCCTATTAACCAATTTTAAAACTAACCACTCCAACATGTGCCAAAACAAAAGGCAATGCAAACGCCGATAGCACAATACCAGTCGTCCCAAATACTGCAAGCTCAATAGTTGGAGATGTTGGTCCCACATCATAACGAAAATGTTTGGCCAAAGAAATTGGCAAAGGGGAAAGTATATAAAACACCAAAACAAAAATTGGCCACCAATTACCCCTGAAAATTAAATAATCGGATATAAACAAAAAAATAAACTTGAAAGTCGGCAAAGCACAAGAAAGTACCAAAAATGTAAGACCAACAACACTTGCCAAAGAAAGAGCAACAACAGCTATAAAAAAATATTTAAAAAAATATAATTAAATTATTTAAACCACAAGTCACACGGGTAAATCTGATATTTTTGTCAACTTTTTTAAGTCTTATCATTTTAATTAAATATTAATATTAAAACTAAAAATTAATAAATAGAAAGACAAACATAAACTTTGATCTATGAACCACTTTTGAGATTATGAAGAAAAAGTTTTAAAAAAATCAATTCGAATGCCAATTCAAGTGCCAAAATTACAAGTTTAAATTAATTTAAAAAAGGAGGTAAAGAAGTTTAAGCAAAGGTTACGGAACGTGCGGATTTTTCGCCATTGTGTTTTTTGATAGGTCGATGAGGATTTTTTATATTTTCTTGTAGTTTTAGAATAAAATGTCATTTTTCTCCGCAAGGCCTTCCAAAATCCTTAAAATTTGCGCATTCGGCACAAAAATTCAAATTTTTTGTTTCAATTTTTTGCGTGAAGGCGCCAAAAAGTTTTTGCGCATTTTTTGATATAAAACTTTTTAGCTCAAATAGGGTATTTTTAAAAATTCAAGATAAAACCCTATTTTAAACTAGAATAGAGCGTAATAATTCTTTATAAAGATCGTGATTGAGTTACCCTGTCCTTAATAGTGTAAATTTGGACTGAATTTTAATTTCCATGCGTGACCATAAAATCGTGGTATTAGAAAACCGTGAAATTCGTAAACTGGACACTCTAATTTAGTTTGAACGTTCAAATTTTTATTTATTAAAACATACAACGAAAGGGATCCCTCGTATCATTAGAAACATATATTATGGGGATATTGTGGGTAACTTTAAGTTAGTTAACTAGAAACCATGGATAAATTAAAGTCATAAAAATTACATTTGTGAACGCCCATTGAAGACAACGCCAAAAATACTAATGCAAATAAGAGATGTATTTGATTTCTTGTATAAAATCTAAAAATCGCTTCAATTCATGTCTTTAGTAAAAAAATAAAGAAAAAAATATTGGAAATAAACCAAATATTATAAAAAACAAAAATAATATTTATCAATTTTACAAACAAAAAAAATCCCTAAATAACTCTTCAATAAACTTCCAATACTTCTCTAATCGTTTTCGGTAAAAGTATTATAATATGGCCGGTATCTCTTATAATTGTCTAATTTAATAGGATAATTTTCAGGCAATTCATCCATCACTTTAGAGAATTCCTCACGATAATTACGCGGATATTCAGCTTAAAATTAAAAAAATAATAATTTCAAAATTTTAAAATTTACGTCTCGGAGGCTGTTCTTTCTGACTTTCGTGTACATGCAATTTACTAAAATATCCAACCGTTGGACGTTTTATGCCCATTTTTTCTTCTACACAAATGTCTAATGGATATTGAAGACGTCGACAACTAAAATTTAAGAAAAAAATTTTTAAGAAAAAATTAAAAACATACTAAGGTATCAACATTTCACCTCCACGACAATCATCCAAACATTTTGCGTAGTCAGTCACCTCTTTAAGACAGTTTCTGCGAAGTTCCCTAATAAAGTTAACACCACATGCAGTTACTTCTCTACCCTCTTTTAACACCTTTCGAGGGTCATTCCCATACTCTCGACGTAAAAGCATGAATTCCTAAATTAATTAAACAAATTAAAAATAAATTTAAAAATAACCAACATTCATTTCCTTTTCACATTTAGCACCCATATAGACAACTACAGCTTTAAGCCAAGGTGTAGAGAGCGTAAGCTCCTGCGGAACAACCAATTCCGAGTCAGAAGGCAATTCGGTATTAGCTGATGCAGTCATTTATATAAATTAAATCCCTACATAATAGAAAATAAATACAATATGATAATTATAGTAATAAACAAAGCAAATTCTATGTAAAACCCCCCGCCTCTTTCTTGCGCACGAAATTTAATTGTTAACAATAATTTTTCCCTATACAAGTTATCTCTAGGGTTACTGACTTTTTCGGGGACACACCCAAGTAGGCGCGCGGCCATAAAGGCGCTAAGCCAAAACTTGCTGGAAAATTTCTGGCCCTTATCAATTTTGGTATCAATCTCTTTAGCTCGATGGCAGGAATCGTTTAATACTAAATTTGTTAAGAATCGGAAATCTTGAAGCAAGTTATGGCTTTGCGCCGTTGTGGCCGCGCGCCGATCCACTTTCTCGACAAGCACGCAGAGTTGAAAGATAAAAATGTCAGATAAACTAAATATTAGAATGTCAGTATTAAAAATGTCAATTTAAAATTTAATTAAAATTCAATTAAAATTTCAAATTAAAATTTTAATTAATAAATTTTAAAATAAATTTTATTAAATTATTGTTTTTTATATTTCAATTTAAAGATGCAAGAAGGTACATCCCAGAAAGTCGATGAGCCTCCTAATTTTTTACACACTGATGATGTTGGATCCTTCCTAGATCTTAAAGCTGAGTTTATTAAACGTCGAGATGCTGCTTTAATTGGAAAACAAGCTTCACATATTTATTCTAATTCTACTCTTAAAAATAAGAAAAATATTTTGGCAATAACAAAAGAGGAAAAGAAAGCCAAACAACAATTGTCAGAACGTCGAGCTCAACGTATCCGTCAAAATGAGGAAGAAATCCGAAAAGAAGAACAGCAACGGTTAAGACAACAACAAATTCTTGAGCAGAAGGCACTCATTTATGAAAGAATGAGCCATGGAGAAAAATTAACTTATGAGGATGGTCGGGAGGCAGAGTTTTTATTTGATTTTCATAATAAGAAAAAAGAACTTGAAACTGGATGTTCATCATCATGTACACAAAATGATGACTTGACAGATGATGAATTGAGAAGGTCAGACGATGATGATGAAAGGCAGAGGTTTTTTATATATTTCTTAAATTAAATTTTGGGGACGGTGGATTTTCAAATTAAATTTTTGGTTACTAAATTTTCTTGTTTATTTACTAATTTTAGAGTAAAAGAGGCACCATTAGTTGTTCATTATGATCCATTCGAGGAAAAGGGACGCGTTTTTGGTGCATCTCATGTCCCATTGCCAACATTAAATGAAGAAGCCCGTGAAAAGAAAATTGCTGAACTTAAATCAATGACAGAGGAAACAAAAATTGAGCGGAATAAGCGTAAATTACAAAGAAATGCAGAAAAGGAAGAAGAACGTTATAGAGTAAATAAAATTCGTCAAAGGTATTTCAAAGTATTGTTTTCTATAACACTTCAAATTTATTTTTAAGGATGGGAATGCCATTATTAGAAAGCAGTGATGAAGAGGAGGAACAAGAATTGCCAACTAATGGAGATATTCAAAGTTCATCTACACCTGCTGAATCTAATGTTATAGACAATCAAATGGCTAAAGAAGAGGAAAAACCTAAAAAGTTTGGTGTTCGTGAATGGGATCGAGGAAAAGTAGGGCATATGCGTTGGATTGAGGCACAACGTGAGGACCGTGATGAGGAATTTGCGCCGCCTGCTTCGTATCGAGAGACGAAACGTAAACGATAAAAATTTTAGTTTTATCAATTTTGTTTTTTTTTCAATTTTTATAAATAAATAATTATGATTTAAATTGAAGCAAATAAATTTATTTTTTAATTTCTTGTATACTTTTAAGCAAAATATTTGAATATATTTTAATTTTTACTTTGTTTTTAAAATAATTTACACCATCTTAAAATTTTACAGCAATTATTATAGTATGCTTCTTAAAAAACGAAAAGTTGCAGTAAATTTAACGTCTAAAGCGAAAAAGAGAAGAAAATTTAATTTATCTGATGAATCAGAAGATATTAATTCATTTAATAAAGAATTAGCTGAAATTGCTGAACGCGATCCTGAACTTTATCAATTTTTAAAGAAAGAGGAAGCCGATATTTTTGACGAGCAAGATAATGATAGGGATGAAATTGAGGGTGAAAGAGGGGATGATAGGTTATCTGATGATGAAATGAGTAAAAGTGAAGGTTATCTTCTTAAAATTTAGATTACTCGAATTAATTTCACAATTTTATAATTTCAGAACAGGTCTCAGAGTCTGGAGATGGTCAATCCAGCGGTGTTTCTTTAAAGCCTGATCCAGAAACTGGACGTTTAATTTTATCGGATGAACTTGTGGATTTTCTTGAGTCTGTGCTTAGTGATCCTGATTCTGTTGGAAAAACAACTTTTCGATATGCGGTGGAGACATCTGTAAAGGCTTTTATCTCTTGTATTGCTCGAGTAGGTGGTGGTTATTCAAAACTGACAAAGGAAGAAAAATTGGATTATGTTGTGTATGATGAACAAAGTATTTACTGAACTGCAATAATATATTTTAATTTTGTTTTAAGTTTTTGATCGTGTTCTTCGTCTTTGTTTTCAAACAATGGGGAGAGCACTTTATCGATTATTAAATCCTGTCAAGAAAAGCATCAAAGACGGTCAAAAAAATAAATATAAAAAGTGCTCCCATTTTAAAAATTGGCAACGACATAAATCTCTTGCAAAATGCTACTTGGAAGCAGTTCATATAGTAAATTTTTATTAATAATTTTTATGAAGCATTTATAATTAGGGAAATCGTATTTAGAAATTATTGTTTTACTAACAGCTAGTGGAGTTTCAGTAAATCAAGATTTGAAAAAAGGGAACGGAGAAAGGGAGTCTCATTTTTCTCTTTAAGAAGAGAAAAATCTTTCTGATAAAAAAATTAGATCCTGAACTTTATCAATTTTTAAAGGAAGAAGAAGCCGATATTTTTGACGAGCAAGAGACTATAAGTTATGAGCGACTTTAACCCTACTTTGGATCGATTTTCTATTTAAAATGTCATTATTTTTTTCAATTTTCCCCAAGCTAATTAAACTTTAATATATTTTTAATTTGCTTAAAAATATCTAACGATAACAAATTCAGTTTTTACTCGAACTCAACTCAAATCAAGTGATTGTAGCAGCAATTCGAGCTGTGGCTGATTTAGTTGATTTATTTATACACTTTCCAAAACTTACCAAAAATATTATTAAAGTAAAACTTTTTTATTAAATTAAAATATTTTTAAAATAATTTTTTAGTGTCTTGTACGAATATGGAGTCAACAACAAATAGAAGAGGCTCGCTGTATTGCTTTTGTTGTTATTTGTAAAATTTCGCGAATGGATTCAAATTTTTTTCCAAAAATTTATAAAGTTTCTTTTTATTATTTATTTTTTAATTAAAAATTTTTTAGAGTTGTTATGTTGCTTTTATTGCTAATTGCAAATTAATTAATGAAGAAACACTTCCGTTTATTAATTTTATGAAGGCATCTTTTATTGAATTTACACTTATGTATCCTAAATTGGCTTATCAATATGCGTTTGTTTATATTAGACAATTTGCTATACATATTCGAAATGCTATGATTGCTAAACGAAAGGTTTTCTTTTTTTGATTAGAATTTTTGAATTTTGTTATTTTAATTTGATTTCTTTGAATATATTTATGAGAAATTTTTTTTAAGTAGTTATTTTTAATTTTAGTTAAAAATTGTTAAAATTTTTTGTTTAGGATCTTATTCAACGTGTTTATAATTGGCAATTTTTGAAAGGTTTATTACTTTGGACATCACTCATTTGTGAAGGCACACAACGATTTACATCAATAACAATTGAAGAAAAATCCTCTTCTACCAATAATTTTGATGAAGATTGTCGAAATAATTGGTTTAAAGAATTAACACATCCTTTAGTTGAAATTGTTTTAATTATGGGGAGGTAGTTAGTTTTTAATTAATTTTTTCAAATTAAATTTTAAGACTCTTTCCTTCTTCAAAATATTTACCTATTAGAATTCATTGTCTTCGAATGCTTTTAAATATTCAAAGAGATTGTAATGTTTTTGTGCCGGCATTGGCTTTTGCAATTGAAGTAATTTTAAAAAAATTTAAATTTTTTACTTCAATTTTTTAGTTGCTAGATGATTTGGCACAAATGGATGTTAAAAAACCTAAAGCAGGTAAAGGAACGACAAAAGGAGTGAATTTGGAAAAAATGTTACGCCTCTCCAATGAACAGTTTGAAGATGCAGGTGTTCGACTACATTTAGCTCAACAATTATTTTTATCAACTGAAGAGGCAATTAAATTATTGAAATCGAGTGAAAGACATCCAGAAACACTTTTAACACCATTACAAGGACGTCTTAGGGTTTGATTATTTTAATAGAAATATTATTCCTTTAAAATTTTTTAAAGATATTTCTCAAAAAATGTGCAAACAGAGAACATGTTCGTCTTTTTACAAAATTGAAATCACAAATGGTTTAGGAAAGATTTAAAATTGAAGTTATGTTTATGTTACAAATACCTACTTTCCTTAATAAAGAATTTTCTTTTTAACACTGGGTAGGTTATTTGGATTTTCTTAAGATTTCTGATTTTTAATACTCATTTATACTCACAATCAGTAATACACTCATTTGTCAGTAATACTCAGTTTTCTAGTTTTCTTAATTTTTTGGTTTTAGTTTTTCAAAAGTTCTTAAATATTGTCATTTTTTAAGTTTTTATGGAAGGGTTCGATATTTTTTATCTGTTATTAATAGGGTTGTTTCCCGTCCCCGAAAGTCGATGAAACGCGTTGAATCACTCATTTGCATATTAAAAAAAGAAAGTAACTTCGTAACCAAATTAACTTTTTAAAGAAAATTTCTTGTAATTTATCTAAAATTATTATAGTTTACTATATGTAATAAAAATTTATCTAAAAAATTTATTGGGCATCTCGAAAGGTTTCCTTGAACAAATTTTCGTTGAAATAAGCGGTCATAAACCAACGAACTTGTGAGGAATACGCAATAAACACACGGGAATAAGCACACGTTTTTAGCTGTCAGGTACACCCTTTGAATTGCAGACAATATTAGAATTTTACCTGTGATATTTTGCAGTAATTTTGCGTGTTTTGGTTTTTTATATTTTAATGAATTCCATTTTATCATAAGATCTTTTTGTTTTGATAATTAAAAAATATAATAAATTGGAAAGTTTTTTTTATAATTTTTTCCTTCCTTTATGTGCGAGCACACACTTTTATTTGAATTAGATAATGCTTTTCGATGAAATTTGTCGTGCAGAAATCGGTGAAAATTGCTAACTCTTGTGATTTTCGTTATTCTAAGCTGATTGTCTGGCCATTTAACAAGTCATTCAGACATCATTTATGAATGAAAAACTAGGCAAAAAGTGAATTGAACTATTGTTTTTGCCTTAGTTTTTCTTGTTTTTGTTTTCTTGCCTTTTTAGTTTTCTTTTTTTTCAAGTTTTCTTGCCCCCTTAATTGATATGTACGTATATTTGGAAAGAGAGAGAGAGGGGTACTTTAGAAAATTTTAAATCCTAATTAGACTTTTAAAAGCTTTTAATATTTTTTTAAGAAATGAGTGCATAATGAGTACTTATAGATAATTTACTTTAAATGTCTGATTATAAAATTAGCAATTGAAAATCACGTGACTATAAAGTGAAGACGTACATACATACATATGTCAGCAAGTAATAACTGACATTTTGTAAAAGTAAATATACTATTTTCTGCTAAAATTTCATATCTTTTTTAATTATTTCCTAACCTCTTACCCCAATCTAAGGGCTAAAGGCCTATTTCATTTCATTGTTTTTTGAAAGTCCTTCCTCCAATTTTTTTTATCAACAAATTTTTATCAGTCGAGATGGACTGTTTCCCCCTTCTCCTCCTACTCCTTCGCCAAATTTTGTCCCTTCGACTTTCAACTCTATTCCTTTGTAATAATTAAATAAATAGTTCCGATTTGGTTAAAATTCTTCGGCGAAAGAAAATTTGATAGTAGCGGTGCAAATAAATTGACTGAGGAAACCCGTCTAGTTTGAGAGAAAAACAAACTCCATTTTGTGAGTACTCTTACTAACTAAAATTTTTTTTTTACAAAAATATTTTCATTTTAAATTCTAAATGTGTTTCTAAATTTTATTTTAAAATTGATATTTTTATAAAAAAAGTTTTTTTATGCCTTTAAATAATTTTTTGGTAATATGCGTTTATACACCTGCGTTTTCCTTTCTTCTTTCTCAAAAAAGGATTTCAATGGTAAATAAAGAAGGATTAAGTTACCGTATTATCTTTAATAGAATACCAGTCGCTCTATTTTTCAATAATCCTTCAAACCCCATTCTATTAGATTTGGCCATTAAAATGGAGGGGCCAATCTGTTTTTAATTCAGCCCCCAAAGTAACATTCAACTGGACCGGGGTAAATTAAAGAGATAATAGAACTTAATCCTTCTTTATTTACCATTGTCCATTTCGTAATATTTTCGAGGAAAAAAGGAACAATGAGAAGAAAAGGAAAATTTAGTTGTATAAACGCATAATACCAATTTCTTGATTAAAAAATAGGTATATTTTTGATTTGACAACTAATCCTTTTTTAAAATTCACCAAAAATTAGGAATATTTTTAATAAAATTTAAAAATTAGTTGAATATATACCTACATGTGTATATCACTTGCGTTTAATCAATTTAATTAAATTTCAAAATTTCTAAAAAAGTAATTTTTAATCAAAAAAAAATTCTAGAAAATTTTTTCCTTCAAATTTTATTTATTTACACAGCTAAAATTTAATCGACTGCTATTTTCCTTTTTATCATTTTATTGGAATATTCCCTCTCATATTCTCTCCCTTCCCCCTTCTAATATTCTCGCCAATTCCCGCCTTTATTTTATCTAAAATTTACAATTTTTATCTAATAATTTTTATTAAATAAATGATAAATAATCATCTCTCCATATAAGAAGGGAAAAGGGAGAAACCTTTTGCACTCTCACTTTTGTCATAATTTTTATAAATTAAAAAAAATTTAGGGAGTGATATTTTTACAAAATTATTTTTAAAATTAAATATTTAATTTTTTCTCCCTCAATCTCAACCATTAAAATTCTTTTCTAAATTATCCTAAATAGAGATTGTATACAAAATAATTTTTTTAATTAAAGACTTTTAAAAACAAATAAATTAAAAATGTCACCACCAAAAAACAATAATTTTAATAATTCAATAAATAATTCCTTAATTAACAACAATAATTCAATTAATTCTGTATATACTTCCCTAAAACCCCCAACATTTTTCGTTACCGATCGTCGAATGTTGGCACACAAAAATGAATGGGATTTAGACCATATCGATACTCCTAAAAGACTTGCTGCTGTTTTGGATATGCTCGAAGTAATTTAAAAAAAGAAATTTTAAAGATTCCTTTAACATTTTAGAATGAACATTTACTCGATCAATGTCAAGTAATTGATTCTGCTGAATGTTCAAATGCTGATCTCAGGCATTTTAAAAATAAATAATTTAAAAATAAATGTTTATAGATTAGTACATACACAAGAACATATTGATAAAATTCGGGAGGCGTGTGAAGAATTAAATGATATAGCTAGTATGGAGAATTTTTGTAAAGGAATTGAAGATGTTTATATAAATAAATATACTTGGGTAATTATTAAAAGTGAATAAATAATTAATTTAAAAAATAAAGAAATGTGCTCTTTTGGCTGCTGGAAGTGCTTTAAAAGCAATGGAGACTGTTTTAGAATATAATAAAAATTTAAATAAAGAAAAACAAAGAATTGGAGAAGATTCTGAATATTTAAATATACCCGCCCCAAATTCTTTTGCGGCTATTCGCCCCCCAGGGCATCATGCTTCGGCAGAAACTTCTTGTGGTTTTTGTATATTTAATAATGTTGCTATTTGTGCTAAAAAAGCTAGGCAAATGGGTGTTGAAAGAGTTTTTATTTTGGATTGGGATGTACATGCTGGACAAGGTTAGGGGTTTTTTTTTAAAATTATTTGTAAATAATTAATAATAACGTTAATTAAAGATTTATTTTTTATTTTATTCTGTCAAAAGAATATTCTTAAATTTAAAGGTACTCAATATTGTGTTGAAGGTGATCAAGGAATTTTATTAGTATCTGCTCATCGATATGAAAATGGACAATTTTGGCCTGAACTTTCAGAATCTGATATTTTTAATGAATGTAAATTAAATAGGAAAATAATTCCTCTAAAAATTAATTTTAAAGACAAAAACACAATAAATATTCCTTTAAATGAAATTGCTTATGGGGATGCTGAATATTCTGCATTAATGCATTTTCTTATTCTTCCATTAATTCAGCAATGGCAACCTGGACTAATACTTGTTTCTTGTGGTTTTGATGCTGGAATTGGTTAAAGAAATTGAGAAAATATTTTTTTAATTTTGTTTTCTCTTTTTAAGGAGATCCTCAAGGGGAAATGGAAGTTAGTCCAGCTGGTTTTGGTTATATGACTAGTTTATTGGCTAATTTGGGGATACCTTTATGTTTGGTATTAGAAGGTGGTTATTTCCTCGAAAGTGTTGTACAAGGAACTCGTTTTTGTATGAAAGCTCTTTTAAATAGGGTAAAAGTTTAATTTTATTTGAGTATATGTATTATAACCGGGAAATTAAAATTTTGGAAATTTTAGAGATTGGTAACTTGTATATTAAAATATGTAGAGGATTAATTTTACCGTATAATTACTCCGCGAATGGCAATAATTACCTGTCCCCCATCAATTGCCCTACCTCATATTTCAAAACATGAGTGATTTTAATTAATAATTACTCTCGGTTGCAAGAGCAAAAATAATAAATATAATTATTTAAATGTTAACCTTAATTTATTTTACATATTAGACCCCTCCAGTAGTCAATTTTTGTCATCGACCGCCTTCCCCAATATTTCTTGGAACTCTTTATAATGCCTTACAAACATTTAAACATCGAACAATCAACAACAATTTCCCTTTATTTAATTCATTTATTCACCAATTAAATACGCTTAGATGTGCACTTTGTTCAGCTACAGATAGAAGAAAAAGGCGTGAATTGGCACCTATTGGAGAAGTAATTTAATTGTTTTTTTGAAGAATTAAAAATTGATAATAAAATCAAAATTTGAATATAAAAATTAAATTGAGACAGAATAGGGACTTCTCTTTTGGGAATGATCGAGTTATTTAACAAATTCATTTAAATTATCAAAAAATTGTTTATCTTTTATAAATTTTTTAAAATTTAATTTTTAAAGATGGAAAACGGCAAATCAGGCAATAAAGAAGGAGAATTCCCGTCTTCACCTTATTTTGGTGATCGAAAATCTGTACAAATAGCCTTAGCAACAAATACATATCCAACTAGAGGACAATACCCTCCAAGAGTTCCTGCAATTGAAAAACAATTCTCTCTTCGTTTAAAACAATTAATTGAACAATATTCATTAAATACACAATATGAAGTACATAATTTAAAATTAAATTAATTTTTATTAAAAAAATTATTTTTAAAGAGAGCCGTTCTTGATTTTGAATTAGATATTAATGGAAAACTTTTGTTAATATTGCCAAATGGAATTATTAAACAAAATGGAGCTAATAATAATTTTAAAGAATTACTTCAATTTAATAACTGTCTACAATTTTTGCTTTTATATTTTTATGTAAGAGAAATTAAATAATAATTATTTTTAATTATTTTAATTTTTTGGG